CGAGCTCGAGCTCGCCGGCCATGGCGAGCTCCGCCCAGATCTGGGCGAGCTCGAGCTCATGCCGACCCTTGCCATGGCTGTGTGGGCCGGCGAGGGGGGAGCTCGCCTAGATCTAGGCAGAGCTCGCCGGCCATGGCATCCTCCCCTTCCCGCTCCAAGTTCTCCCCACGGAAGCCCTTGCCGGAGTCCCCGGGCTCCGCCGCCAGCCCCGCCCCGCCCGATATGGCCCTCGACAACCCGGATCTCGGGCCCTTCCTCCTCAAGCTCGCGCGCGACACCATCGCCTCCGGCGACGGCCCCGCCAAGGCCCTCGACTACGCGATCCGGGCGAGGCCGGCCTCCTCGAGCTCGCCCAGATCTGGGTGGAGCTCGCCATGGCTGGCGAGCTCGAGCTCGCCCAGATTTGGGCAGAGCTTGCCGGCCGAGCTCGCCCAGATGGCCGGCAAGCTCGAGCTCGCCCAGATGGCCGGCGAGCTCGAGCTCGCCGGCCTCGCCTCCGGCCCTATTCGGTCTGTCGGAATGTCGGCACGGTCGCACAAATGGAGAACACTTTGGGGCCGGCAAGCTCAGTCCTTATTTGATACTAGTTTGGCACTTTGGGTCTTTAATTGATACATTGTCTACTTGAGGTCCTTTTTTGAAAAAAGGCATCCACTTTGGGTCCTTATTTGATAATTTCCTTGTTGCCCAAACCAGCAACGGCGAGGTACGAACAACTGAAAACGACCAAGGCGGTGCTTCTTCGTGGTGTAGGGACAACGGACGGAGAGAGAGAAGAGAGGAGGAAGGTGTCAAAACTATTTCTCAGTTTTTTTTTTTTTTTGGGGTCGAACTCAGTTTGGGTTGAAAGGTGGATTTTTTTTGGTCAAAGGTTGAATAGTGGATTTGTTACCCACTAAATCAATTTTTTTGAATTCATTTTGACTCATGTTTTATGTTTAAGTTGATCCATTTTAATCCATATCCACAAATACGAGTTAAGATGTGGATTTATGACCTATTTTGGCGACCTTACTAATATCCACAATGGACGCCAAACTTTCTCTAAATAAACATAGCTCGTAATTTCGCTTTCGCAGAAGAACGATAACCTTTTGTTCTACAAATTCGCCTCTCAAGATACCTACTTCATCTCGAATTGCCATGTGATACCCCCATCAATTTTCACTTTGATCCATTCACGATTCATAAAAAAATAAACATGTTATAGTAATTTGTAAGTTACATTCAAAAATCAAAATGTCACTGGCAAATAATATCCATGTTGGATAGTTGTCAGCTTACATTTAAATGTATAGTTTATCACTAATTTATAAATTAAATTTGCACTTTCTCAATGCTATCATAATTTTATCAGTGTAATTGACATGAAACTACTGTACATATATATTTGATTGAAGGTGCGGGTTTAAAGTTCATGAAAACAACTTTTTTTTTGTGGGTTAGACGCTTTTTTCCTAATCGAACAGCGATATCGATAAAAATAAATCTCTATAAAAATCTAGCGTTTAGTCGAGCCAAATCCAAAACTCTCTCTCTCTCTCTTCTATTGTCTCTTTTGTTTGTCATTTTCATATAAAATTCTAATGAAACCGGAAAAAAAAAATAGAAGATAACTCCGTAGATAAGAAAAAGAAAAAACGACTTGGGGTAAACGAATAAAAGAATAAAAAGATTTGTCGAAATTCGATGGTTTCATTTCAGCGGTCTCTCGTCCGCGGTCTCTCTCCCTCTCTCCCTCTTCCGTTTGCAAAGTTCTCAGCTTTACCTGTCCCGCGTCTTCAAGAAGAGACAATAATAGCAGAGGAAATCACCAGATACACACACTGAGAGAGATGGGGAACACATGGTGTGGGTTGTGCTCCTGCGTGGACCAAGCGGGCGTCGGCGTGGTGGAGCGATGGGGGCGCTTCGAGAAGCTGGCGCCCCCCGGCCTCCACTTCTTCAATCCTTTCTGCGGCGAGGCCCTCGCCGGCGTCCTCTCCACCCGGATCCAATCTCTCGAGGTCCGCATCGAGACCAAAACTAAGGTATAAGCCTGCCCTTCCTTGTTTTCCTGCACCCGCCCCATCCCTCAATCCATGGCTATGTGTATGAATTGTATGTATTCTCGTTTGATTGCACCTCTTTGGATGACATTCGCTTTTGATTGGAACATGATGAACGGAATAGGATTTTATAGCAATTTTGCATCTAAAGCAATCAAATTTATTGACTTTTTTTTTTGTTTGGGGGGGGGGGGATTTGGAGTAGGGCAAATAAAATAATCAGATGGTGAACTCCGCAAGACGTGGTAAATAAGTTGGAGAAGGTTCTTGAATAGGTGATGAGGTTGTTGTAACTTTCTGAGCTCTAGGCGAAGGACGGGTCGACACCGTCTAAGTTGGAGAAACCTTTAGTTGTGGAACGTTGTCATCAATGACAATTTTTTTCTTTACAATTCGTTGTATTTGCTATAAAAAATGCAGAGCAGCATAGGCTCGCGATATGTTGATGATTTCGGGAAGAATGAATATTCATTCGACATCCCTTTGTTCACTTTCGGAGGAAAAGAGATTGCTTTTGTTGCAGGTATTGTTGGGTGCTTACCGACGGCCCATTTTAATTGTGCCGGGTTCTTATCATGTAGCTTATACGCTCGATATAGACGATTTTTAAGTCTGTACAGGTAAACGAAATATGTATTGAACTTTTGGCTTCTTACACTTGCTTTGACAATTGAATTCAGATTAGGGATTGAGGCTTGGAGCTTAACTGCGGATGATGAATTTCTGCTAATTTAGTCATTTGCAGGATCCGTGCATGTGTAGATACTTAGTAGGATGCTGGAACATTTTGTTTGGCTTTATTTGGAACAATGCTAATGGGCGAGTTTGCAGGATAATGTCTTTGTGCAACTCATATGCTCAATCCAATACAGAGTGGTCAAAATGAATGCTGATGATGCATTTTATGAACTGCAAAATCCTCAGGAGCAAATTCAGGCTTATGTCTTTGATGGTAATATTAATGGACTAGGGGATCAACCCATCCTTATGGTGCAATAAAATTTTCGTTATGGCTGTTAATTCTCCCTTTGATGTACCTGCTATTTCATACAGTGGTTCGAGCTCTTGTTCCGAGGATGACCTTAGATGAGCTGTTTGAACAAAAGGGCGAGGTTGCAATAGCTGTCTTGGAGGAACTCGAGAAGGTAGTATGCTGATTTTATTACCAGACTAATCATGTATAACGGTTCTCAATAATTGCGTGAGGTTTTTTGTGAGAGTCTTGCAATTATATGCTTCACAGTACTTAATTAGTTTGAGAGGCACTCTTAAGAACACCTCAGGGGATGCTGGGGGATAGCTCGGTTATTTATTTTCAAACGAGATACTCTGCATATTGCAAATATCCAAGAGTGGTACGCTTTGTGATCTTTCAGCAACTGGTCTTGCCGTTGCTGTCTAATCAGATTATCATGCTGTTTTACTAGTCCTGCATTGGAAGGTACAAATGCAGTGGATGTTTTGTTTCTGAGATGATAGATAAGGATTGTGCTTCATCACATGGCACTTCACTACTCAGTTCCGATCATGTTTGTGTTCTCAAGTTATCTCTTTCTACAATAGTCTGTTTTATTTGCTTTCTACTGCACTGACAGATCGAAAAAGAAAATGCATCACCTACATTTTTCTATGTGTAACTTTGGGGGAACTTTGTTTCAGGTGATGGGAGCATATGGTTATAGCATAGAGCACATACTCATGGTTGATATCATACCTGACCCCTCTGTGCGCAGAGCAATGAATGAGATTAATGCTGGTATTTACCTTTTATTCTGTTGTCTATTTTATCATTTTTCACACGTCATGATAATCAGCGTAGAAATACACCTTTAGGCGAGCTATACATGGAATTGTTACTTCTCTATACTCTTTTTACTGGCTTGAAATTCGAGTATGTACCAAAATACTGTTTTGTAAGAGAAAGCTTGGCTTTGCAGCTCAGAGGCTTCAGCTTGCTAGTGTATACAAGGGTGAAGCTGAAAAGGTGCTACTGGTGAAGAAAGCAGAAGCTGAGGCTGAAGCCAAGTATCTGGGCGGAGTTGGTGTAGCCAAGCAGAGGCAGGCTATTACTGATGGCTTGAGAGAAAACATCTTAAATTTCTCTCACAAAGTCGAAGGCACCTCCGCCAAAGAGGTGATGGATCTTATCATGATCACTCAATACTTTGACACGATTAAAGATCTCGGCAACTCTTCCAACAACACCACAGTTTTTATCCCCCACGGCCCCGGTCATGTTAGGGACATTGGCGACCAGATACGTAATGGTCTGATGGAAGCAACTAGTGCCAAGATACATGGCACCACAGACTAGATGAATCACCGCCCTTCGTGTTTTAGACGTGATAATCAGCAAACTTGTTGGTGCTGCCTTTGAACGTGACAGGATTGAATAAAGTCTACTCGTTTTGCTTTCTTTCTTTTTTTTTCTTTTTTTTTTTGGGGAAAGAGGGTGTGTCACATAGTAATAATACAAAGGCCATTCCATCTATTAATAGTTGCTTTGGTGTTTCAGTTTTTCTTAAGAACGTGCAAGGTGTAAATGAGTTTTCTTTTACCCATCCCAAATGTTAAACTGGTCATGTACATAGTTTGTTGGAGATTTTTGTCAGTGGGCCATCTGAACTTCTCAAAAAACTCAATTGTTTGTGAGTGATTCACCTAAATTGATTTAAATGCGATATAAACAATCGGTCGCATTACATGTACAAGAAGATCCACAAACCTAAAAGCAACGGGAGAATTGGGAACCAGAGACTTTCTGGTGACATTGCCAGAGGTCGAATCTGATGATAGACATGTCCAGAGTGAAATTAGCAATAAAACTTCTGCGCTTTTGGGGGGAAGGGATTCGACCCAAAAAAGAAACCACAATTAGAGATGGGCAGCGCGTCCCTACCAGTGTCAAACATAAATTAAGGTCTAGTAAATCTTAAGCAGTTTTGTGACCAAATAACAAAAATCCTAAGCAGTTTTATTCATAGGGATGAAAGGAATCAGATACAACACGTCAATGCGATTAATTAGAAGCCTCAAATCCCATCAACTAAGGCCGGTAGGTTCTCCAGTAGAGAAAGACATTTCATTGAGAGAAAGACAGTTTATTGTCAACAGCGAAACTCATCAAGTTATTGACAGGATTAATGTTCTCTCCATTGAAGGAAGACCATGATGTAACAATTGTTTTTACTCCACCATATGCACCCAATGGCTGTTCATCACGGGAGGCGTGGGAAACAGTAACAGCTCCATTTGACACGGGCTCAAGTTTGTGCCTCTTCGGCTTCTGTTCCATCTGATGACCTTGTAAGAAACTTCCGACGATCACCTGAAATGCAGGATAGAATGTTAAGGCAAAGCATAAGGATTTAACATGGTGCACGATGGAAGATGTTCAAGTAAATAACTTTAAATTCATTTCCCTTAGATGTCAGCTTATGCTTTGTCATCTTTGGCATAATGAGAAGAATAGGGAAGGTGGCATCAATCTGAATGCTCAAAGTGCATTGCAGAGATGGAAAGAAGGCTTCAATTCTGACAGGCTGAAATCTTACCTGCACAGGGCCAGCAGCCAACAATAGACCAGCTAGCCCTCCCCCAATAACACGACCATCCGGGCCTGACAAAGAGACACTCATCCCGCCAGATCTGCTGATTGTTCCCCCATTCATGATAGGCGCAAATGATCCAGACAGGGAAAGAATTTCGAAGCAACCCTAGAGAGAGAGAGAGAGAGAGAGAGAGAGGCTAAACATCATCCTAGATCTAACTCATTTTGTAAGAATCAGGACAACAGTGACAGAAAAATGATGGTAAAAAGCAGAGACTAGTAAACAAGCATAACAACAATGGGAAGAGTCAAAATGCACATGCTGGTGGTCCAAGAGGAAGGGCAAACGAGAAGAAATCATCTATGTCAGGGTTCAGCCCCTTAGTTGAGAACTAGCTCCTCGGGCAAATCAACTTCTACATCTCTCCATGCAATTTTCCATGAAAATGATCATCTCTTAACTAAGAAACTTGCATATGCTGAATTTGTTACTCCAAAGACAGAACGAAAAGTAGACCGTAAGTCCATGACAGGAACCTCCAATTTCACAACCAACAACTCATGCCAGTAATACAATCATCTACAGCAATACCACATCCAGTAACAAATTTCTTCAAGGTCGAGAGTGATACCATCTCAAGAGAAGCTATATTCAGATACTGCCAACTATTGGTACCTGGTCAAAGTATAAGAGTCAATTGACTATATACATTAATGAAAAGCATAGATGGATGGTTAGTGGTTACTATTCTCAATTGCTACCATCCGAGCCCTCGTGTTCCAGGAGCAAAGACTGACGAAAAATAAGTACTCTCTGTCCACTTCCCTCTTCTAGTACAATAAAATCATCAGCCTTTCCCCAGTAAGGTCACTGATCTTTTCGTTCAGTTTTATTGTGTTCTAATTAATCTGACATATACAACATCTAATACCATGTGAATAAGCTCAGCAGACTTAAGCTGTATAGAGAGTGCCATTTGATTACTATTTCAAAAAATTCACTCAAACAAATCAAGTTATTTCTAGAGAACAAATTATGTGACCATACCTCGTATGTTAAAGTACCCCCACAAGAAGTAGGCTGACAAAGTGATACATTTGAAATTGTACCGCAGGCAGAGAGAACACAAATAGCTCGAGATCCTTGTCGAGAGAATGACATAACCTTCATCATGACATCCTGTAAATTCAGGTGAAAGGTAGCGATACAGAACACCCACAATAGTTAATTTTGTGCCACAATGTACAATGTTCAAACTGGGAACACATACATAATATGCCGCCATTGCACATCACCATTTTTTCAGTAAGTTAATTCAGTACAGCAAATCATACAAGACATAATTACTGCAAAAAAATTTCCCAGATGTATGAATCTCATGATATATTTCATCAAAAGGAATCTGTTACTGACGGAAATTGCTAATTGCAAGGTCTATTCCTGTAAATATGTCCTAGGAACAGTTCAATCAGAATAATAATCCTTAACTGGGAAGCAAAGACTATAGACCAAGTAGCTTATATGAACTTTTATATATAAGCACACTTAAAACAATTTAAGACAGCAGCAGAAAGTCTAGCAACTGTCTAATCGTGTATAATCCAATGGGTGAAGGCTTCTGTGCCATTGAATCAACTTCATTTAATAATTAGACCTAGAGAACCTACCAGAAACCTTTCCTTTGACAGGTAAGCCTGAGTTAATGTCAATGAATACAGAACCTCAGTTCAACCACGCTATGTGTCAATGAATACTTTAACGCATGAATCATTGCATTAAAATATTGGATACATGTACTGCAGGCCCATATATGTGATAAGAATTAGCTTTTATCTTTACATTATGCTACATACCTCACCGGGGTTGACAATGAGCACATGAGGCGTAAAATTGGCATCAACAAAGTATGCAAACCCCTTTCCTGCAAAATAGAAACATATTTTGGGAATTACAAATAGACAGACAAGAAAGCAACCGATCATCAGACATGAAGACACAAGGGTGAGGAGCCCCAATTTATACAAATAAATCTAAGTTATACTATACCTCAGAGAAAATTAACTTCAAATAAATAAAAATGACTAAAAGTTCCAGATATGAGCTTTGCAAATTTGTGAGGCATTTTCCAACCAACAAAAAAATATTTGTGAGGCATTTCTCTTGTTAAACTAGACTACAATAACAGCTTACACGTTCTAATGTTTTTTTTCTCAATAACAGGATGAGCTAACTTTGCATATTGAAAACGTCTACATGCAGACTGAAGCTCAAAATTTGTACCTGGACTTTCATGCTTGACCTTATGCTTCTTCATCACCGTGTCCACTGACGCCCCTTTACCTCTTTCCCATGCCGAAAATTCACCATTCAAGGGAATCGAAGCCGAAATCGGCATTGGCGACAATGCCACTCCACCACGACCAGCCTTCCGTGGCCTCCCTCTCTTTTTCGAGACCTTCATGCCGGGCACTGCCGCGCTCGTCGGCAGCGCAGTCGCAGCCGGTAAAGTGACCACCATTGCCGGCCCATCAATTTGTTTAGCATTTTCAGTTCTTGGTTCAACTCTGAAGCTCTCCGCACCTTCCTCTCCCTCAAATTCAGAACTTGTTTCCTCTTTCTCCTCCATTATTATAAACAACCCAAAACCAAGAAAGAAAAACCCCCCCAAAAACCCTGAACGAGCTTAGAATCTGGGTAATGAGCTTCAGCTAGTATGATATCCAGTTCTTGAATTTAACTGCTGAGTGATCAAAAGAAAAGATTTCAGTGCTCGGGAAAATTGAGACCTGCAAAGAGAAAACTCGCTATACATCGGCTTCAAACATGATTCATGGAAGACGAAATAATGGAGCTAGAACATTGGATTTTCGGGCCAAGAACTAGAAAATTACTTCAATTAACAAGGAAACATCAACCCAAATGTTGAAGAAGCAGATCCTACCTTGGAAGATTCGGACTTCCGGAGCGATCACGACTCATTGCTGAAAATTCAAAAAAAAAAAAGGGTGAAAATTTTCAGTAGCTAAAATCAGCGCTGCTGCAAGGAAATGCAATCTTGTTGAAATTAGGGTTTCTGGCATGAAATTTGAGAAGAAATAAATAAAAGTAGGAAAATGCTACAAAATTCCCATAGTCGTAATAAAATATTACGGATTATAAATTTTTTATGAATATTTAACTGCGTAATTCAAAGTATAAAGTCTGATTAAGAAAAGGCTTGGCGTCCGTCTTCGATATCTAATAATGGAAATTAAATAATCAAGGTATTGAAATTAATTAATAGCACTAAATGGCTGCTCAAATTGGGGGAAATAATTTTAATTTAAAATTGCCAGTTGCTAAAAGCTCATTGATTTTGAATTTAAATTTACGAGGAAAAAGAAAAGAAAAAAGGAGCATGACGAAAGTTCAAGCTCTGCGTAGCTATTTTGTTTTCTTTTTCTGATAATTATTCTTATCAAAAAAGAAAAGGTAATGGTCGAGCAAGAGCATGGCCAATTTGCAGTTACTAACATTATTATTTTTTCTTTATTTTGCCGTTTGGTTGGTCGATCTAAAAAGTTGAACCTCTTCATGACCAAAAATAGAAGACGAGGACCGAGAGAAAACGATGTTTAGCTACTGCCGAGGTTACCTTTCGTGCTGATTCAAAAATCTGCAAGATTGAAACATTTCTTGTACTGTAACATGTCTCGAGCGCACTTTGAGCTTGCAACTGCAAAACCATGTATCGTCTCCATCACCGTTCAACATTAGTTTCCACAAATAGTTAACCGATGCAACTCGGGCAAAACAAAATAGCTTGTAAACCCGTGTCATCAGCTAGTTATGGAAACTTAAATGTTTTTTTTGGTCAAATCGTTCTATTTGGGCTGTTTGTAAGAAGACAAAGGTAAAAGTCGTTCACTCGCTTCTTAACAATGATACACTTACAGCAGTCACAAGTCATGGCTGAATCAGATGGACTGTACTACACACCCTCCGATCAGTGAGGGTTGTCACCATATTTTTGTTCTTTTGATGCTCGTTCGGTAACCATCAATGTCGTCTCGGATTTTAGCAGCAACAACTTACACATGACCAAGAGAAAGTAATATTTAGCTAGTAGACTCGAGGAGGTTTCCAAACATTTTGCGCGCCGAGATGGCAGTTGCAGTTACCAAACTTCTTTCACGCATCCTTTCTTTCCCGTGAGTTCCAGTACATGGGGAGAAGGAATGTTGCAAAAGGCTTAACAAGCCTGTTTTTGAGAAAAACAGGATAAAGCAGTTGCGACCAAATAGCGACACTAATCAGGCAGGAATTCGACTGTCCCTATGTCTACGCAAATTACTCATAGACCATGTACATATAATCAGTAAAGCCGTTATAACTGACTAATCCATCACGATATTGAAAGGCAATGGGTGAATGTGGAGAAGTATCCAGAAACATCTTAAGATAATGTTCCCTCATACCATCAGACATGGATGGCTGACTTGATATTCGTTCTAGGAAGCACGAATCCAGCTCTTCGTTCTTCAAAAGAGTATTCTATCTCCTCAGGAATTTCTTTGATGGTCATGGTACCGACACTAGAAGGCAAGGACAGAAGATCTGGTGTCATAGCCGTGTGCATAGGAACTGACACTGTGGAGGGTGTGGTGGGAACATAGATTGGCATTGTCCTGGGAGTCATATTCTCGTCTTCTGTTGTCAGAAGAGTCTTCTTTGAGGGAGTAGAAAATGTGTTGCTGCTTGGAAATGCTTTTTGTAGCATCTCTCCGTGTGTTACATTTGCATTGTCCAAGGAGTTAGTCCTGTGGGCCTTTGTTAACCCTGAAGAGGTGATGGGTGAGAAGGGTTTCCGCCTCATGGGTGACTCCCGTTCATGAGCACCAAACGAGTTCTTTGCAGGGCCAGCCACGTCCAACCCTCTCCTACCTATATCACATAAAATAATGAAGCTGAGCTACATAGTGGGCATAAGGAAAATGTACGATGACCATTGACCCTTATACATGATTTTGGGAAGAGCGACAGTCATTAGCCTGTTCTCCACATATAGAAGTTGAGATATTACCATCGGCCCTAGAGAAGAGTTTTCCAAGAGAATGTTAAGCTTGTTCTATTCCTTTGGTCAATCAATCAAACTTGATAAACTATCCACCAATTGCAGGAATACAATTTATTCCAACATTCTATCAGGTTGGAAATGCCCATGAATCAATCACTAAGTAGACAACATGAGAAGTTCAAGCAGTTTGAGAGGTGTCTGTAAGAGATTTTCCAACACTAACATATTTCAAAGCTGATACATGCAAATTGGTATTATTGTAAATGTCATATTGAATGCAAGACTTCTATTAAGAAGTTAAAGGAAGGTTTTATTTATAAGTGACCGACCTCAATGCATCACATCCAGCGTTAACGCCCCAACCCATACACTGAAGAAAAATCACTAACACATGGTAGCTAGCTACAGAAGGAAGGAACTTACCAGCTGAAAAAGCTGCAAAGCCATCTTCTTGTTGATTATTAAATCTGTTCTGAGCCCTATCACTCTTCTTTATAGGACGAGAATGAGGCACAGCTTTAGGAGTTTGAAGCGCTGCTCCTCCGAGAGAAAGTCTTTTGCTGCTTGCGCCACCAGTCGACATTCTAGGAGCTTTTTTCGAAGTTTGAACTTTTGAGGGGCTAGGTTTTGACCCGTATAATGCTTCTTGTTCTGCTATCAGCTGTCCCTGAAGCTTTTTTTGGTCCTGGAACAAGTAAAATTAAGCAGAGTACCATTTGGATTCTTTAACTATATCTCCAGTCTCAAAATTTGTTTGCACCTCTGTGTGGACGTATTGACGAAATATCAACAAAAATTCTTATGAGAATATTTGAGATCGATAAATATATGTCCTTCACAGATTCATACCCGCAGCCTACGACGTTCTTGTTCTTTCTCCTGCTGTAGAAGAGTATACTCTTCGAGCATAGAGAGTAGTCGGATCTGTATAGAATGATTACCAGTTTTAGAAATACAGCATCGAAACAATCAGAATTACTGTTTGAACTATTTAAATACTTACACCATCATAGGTGAACTCAGTCCCTCTTTCCTTCTCCCATGACACAGTTTTCGAAGCTAAGGCCTCAAGCATTGCTATTGCAATGAGATTGAAGCAGTGCATTAAATTAAATTCATCAGGTCATTATGGTAGAGATGAGGAAGGAATTTAAGACAGGAGCCCATGCTCTGAGATTTACATATATAACAAGAGCAACATTTCTTATAAGTACCTGGTAATTTATTAACCAGTGATCGAGCTTTCTCCGCACGTTTAAGGGTAAGATGGGCCCCTCTTCCAGCATTATATCTATTTTCATCCTGAAAACAAAGAACATAATAACTAAGCAATATAAAGTGGATAAACGTCCATCTGTAACTCCAAGGGATGATTGAGAACACTCAACCCTGTTGTACTCTTCAAGCCAGCACTCCTCATCGCATGCAGCCAACCATTTCTCGACCTTTTCAAGCAATTCTTTTCGGCTAAAAGCTTCCTCTTTGACTTTCGCAATATAAACTTCAATTTGTTCAAGTACACTAGCAGCATTCATGGCTCCTGCGAGATCAGTGAACAAAGAGAGTTCAAGCAATTGCTGAGTTGGTCTTGCCAATGTGCTCAAGGGTATTGAAACTACCGGTCTCCGTAGCTTCAATGATATATTTCACAGTACTGTCTTCTTCAGGGATCAAATGTGTCTTCCTACAAATCTCCTCTAGCTCTGACCTCTTCTTTAAAACAAGCTCTTTCATTTTGCTCAACTTCAATTCTTCCAACCGAGCTACTTCTGCTTCAACCTAAATAAAATGCTCATACGTAAATCCATTAGCAAATTTATCTCTCTCTTTAGTGTAAGAAACCGGACACGACGCTTGTGATATATGTAGATAATTAATGTTACTTATATCTCACATGATTTATAGAAGCCACTGAGAGGGCATTGGGCTCGCTTATTTCATGCTCAGAAGCAGCTACATTGCAAGTAACATTCTGAAACATTTGTTGCTCCTCAAGAGGTGTATCCATCAAATTCCATAGCTCCAGCAAGTTAGTTGCAAGGTCTTGAAGCTGTGGACAACCAAACAATTACAACTCCCCAGTCCCCACTATGATTACTACTATGAGGTAAATCTTGATAGGTGAAAGGAATAAAACTTACCCTCTGCATTCTCTGCACTTTAACCTCTCGCAGATTTTGAATCAAAGAAGCCAACTGCTCAATCGTCCTGTTGCTTATATCTTTTGATCCTTCAGCATTACCTAAACTGAAATGAACCTCAGAAACTGTGTGCTTGAAGTCAAGTCCAAGTACCACGCAGAGTGAGTTCAGTGTAGACATATGATCCTGAATCTGCTTCAGGCGATTGCTCTGGACAAGAATTTGGTGCAAGAATATATGTGAATTCATGAAAAAGTAGCAGCCAACACAAGATGGTGAAAGTAGCAACAGTAAATAAAACAAACTAATTTAACCTTCTCCTGTTGAAGTGCATGCAGCTGTCTGTGGAGTTCTTCAAGCTTCCTCAAGGATAAATCACTTTCATCCACAACTACTTTAGAAGAAGTATGTTCTTTCGACCTATGTAATTCATTTATAATACTCTGTATTTGCTCTAGAACTTCAAGAAATTGTTGTCTTCTCTCACATTTTCTCTTCCGCATCTCCTCCAACTGAGGAATAATTATCTTGAGCTCTTCTTTCAAGCTTCCTGCACTTTGATCAGACTGGAATAGAATTCCAAACCGTAAATGTTTCTGGTACACTCAGAAAATCAAGACGAATTAAAGGATCTATAGAAAAGGATTCTCAAGTCCTGGAAAGATTTATAAAACATAGTAGTAGCGACATCCTACCATCCCAGAGAGTCTATTATTGTGATTTACCATGAAATTTTCGAAGAGCTCGCATGGAGCCTTCAATAGCAATATGCTAGTTGTCAACACTGTAATCTTTTACCTAAAATGCTGTATAACTCTTAGTTGGCTGACAGTAACCTTCTGAACTATAGAATATTTTTTTCAAATAGTATGTAGCATGTAGGATTTAGAATTGAAATCTAAGGATTTTATTTTCTATTTTTGGTTTTGAGGGGCTACTTCAGACTTGTTTTTGAATCTCATTATTCATCATGTAGTATGCTCTTGATTGTGTCATCGCAAGATGATATTTCCATGTTATGATTACTGAAATGGAAATTAATGCAATCATGTAGAAAAATGATGCTTAAAGACCCAACAACTAAAAACCCATAACATGTTCAACTTGATTATACTTTTGGAAGCCATTTTTATGTTGGACAATTGTTCCTAACCTACTCCCAAATTACTTTTAGACAATATGTTCTAAATAACTCATTATTGCTCTAAAAGCTTTACACATAAATTCAATTATGAACTTGCTCGAGCAGACTAGTTCTCGATATTTTTATTAGATATCACTTCAACACATTGATGCCACATTTATTTTTTATGTGAAAAGAGGGTAAAATCCCTAAGATTACAGGCCACTTTCACTACACCAAAGTGAGATTTGACAAATTATAGAACTGAGATGGATTTCAAGGTGTCTTGATGTTTTGCAATCTTCACTAGTTCTGAGGTCTAAAAGGATGGAAGAAAGAACATTATTTCAAAATACTCAGACTCCTACAAGAGCTTTGTCAGGACGGTCCTAACCTGCCTTATGTGTACCGGCCGCTCCCCCATGGCAGAGCAGATTGCTGCAAGTTCTGCTTCAGAATCAGCTATTTTCTGCCTTAGCTGAGCTCTATAGCGGTTTGCTTGATCTACCTTTCTCATATATACTTGTAGACATTCCTTTTCAAGTTCAAGAAGCATTTGATCCCTGTCTGAATCCGACTCCCCAACTTCATCCCAAATTATCTAGAGAATCCAAATCATGAAAGAAAGTCTGTAAGTATCTATGCTGACAAAACTACTATCTAGAATAGAAAAGTGACCTCCTTCAACTAAAACAGAACAATATATACGAACAAATCCTTATTCTGTTTAGGATAAACCTGGAGTTCACATAGAAGTGTTCCACATGTCGTTTCCACTTGCAGAAGTGGATCACTTTGAAGGCAAGACATGTTTAACGACCGCTATACCTGTTGGCAATGATCATGTTGACAAGTTACAGAAACATAAATCTTATATACACACGATTGTCAGAGAACTGATAGATTGCAATGGACAGTCAAAACCAGAAAAGGTAAATGACATCCACACCTCCAAAGAATGAGAGAGCAATAAATGCATTCTCCGGAAAGACTAGCTCTTTAAAGCTTTAAAGAATGCAATCAACAGTCTAATGTTGTACTGGGCTGGTATTTGGTTGTAAACTAAAGGTGGTTTTGGGCCTGTGAGGAATCTGGCCTTCCCTACACTTGGTAGCAATGAAATTTTTCCCAAAACAAAAAATTGCTGAACAATATACTAGAATAATATAAGAGGGGAACAAAAAATGCATAACACAGAAAGACCAATCCTTACAATTATCGACTCAATAAATCCTCATAGACAGATAAAGTTTCCATTGCGAAATTGATTTACTAAGTGCAAAAGCTGGACGCTCGAACTCTTTGAAATAGCCTCCACCATACATGCTCAGACATTAGTTATTGGTAAAACTTTCAAAAAACTACAAAAAAGGCATGATTAACAGTCATCCTTTTATAACCCCACTTTTGGATTTAGCTTCAGTTCAACATGCACATCACTTAAGGTAATCAAGTTTTAGATATGCCCAATCTCATCGGATGAAATAAACAGTCAACTCTATGTCGAACGTTCTCTCTCATAGGTGATGCTTATATAATGACCAGTAGATCAATATAGTGCAAAGTTGAACAAATTCCACATAATTCGTCTAAGTTCGACTTTAACAGGAGCTGGAGCAAAATAGCGAAGAAAAGCATTGACTCCTCGGAACGTAATTCAATAAGTAAATTCGATGGAACCAATTCAATTTGCAACATACAAAGCCTAGTTCAATGCAAGCTCTAGCTAGTAGCTGCTTCAAAAGCTTAGCAAGTGAAAGGCATCTGAGAGCTAAATCATCTCCTTAACCTAAAGAGAGAGAAAAGCCGACCATGGAAGGAGAGACTAAAAACCAAGAGTGTACGTCTGAAGACAAACACCGAGGAAACACAAATTGCACTAAGCAGCTCTGAGCTTCAAAGGTTATCAAATTCAGATCTCCATGGTAAAGAGATTACAATAGAACAGCAAGAGGTCTTCGCTTCGTCATAAACTAGCGACGAAATTCCATGAAAACCGCTGAACCTCAAAACGCTCATCATTATCATCAGTTCAGCACGAACTCCTGTCCCGTCCGGAATTTCGGAAATGAAGATCACGAACACGAAATCCGAGAGCAAGGACAGCTCAAAACCAGAGATCAAATTACGGTCAGCTCAACTGGAACTGGAGCTTAACGTACTGAGATCTCCGCGTTCGAGAAATCCGCTTCAAACTCATAAAGCGGGGCACTCCAGCAGGGCGAACTCGTGCCTCTTCGAAAGCTTGATAAAAATGAGGAAATCGGAGAGCGCGTGGGGGAAGAGGAAGACGAACCTCGACGGACGATCGATGCTCGGCGATTTCCTCCGTCTCCAGAAACACAATGCAGCAGCAGCAGTACGGTACCCTCTGAAGTGGAATTTTCCTGAGAAACTCCGAGTTCCTTCCGGGGAAAATTCGCAGTTCGTTCCCGATTGATGTCAGAGCTCTGAATTCCGGGAAAGTTTCTGAGAGAGATGCGGTTTTTTTTCCTTCTTTTGTCCCTCTTCGTATTTGAACTTGGAAGGGGGGGGGGGGAATAAAGGGGACCGTTAAAGAGCGGACGCGACGGACGCGTCGTCATCTTTAATGACGGAGGACGTAAATGAGAAAATCGCAAAGGTCAAATGGAAATCTCGACGACGTTTGAATTTGAAATCGGGCAATAGTGACGAACATCATCGGAGGGTGGGCCCCCCCCCCCCCAGAGGACTTTGAACGCCTCGCTCTCTCTCACGAGCTTTTCGTTTCCTGTTCTCTTCCTATTCCGCGGGCAGACAGGAGGCAATTCGAGCATAGTCTTTTAAAGTACACGGGGATTTGATTGGGATCCGTGGCTGAGTTTGCCGACGATTTGTTCACTTAATTCATCGGAAACTTTTTGATTCCGTATGGAAAATGTACTGAGGTGTGGATAAATTGTGATAATTCATTTCGAAGTTTATGAAAATTACCGATCAATAAATTTGTAAGTACGTATATTCTGCGATCATTCTTCATGAAAAGTTCCGAATCATGTTATGAATCACCGGTCAAATTGACTTTTTCAAATGTAGTACTAACATTGAGCATTTGCTAACGTAAATTAGTTGGATGATTTTATAATTTTTTTTACGTCTATTTCAGTATTTTGTGATGAGAAATTGGAAAGAAACGTTGTTAACAAATGGGTTGAGAGCACTTGCTGAATAATCAATGAAGAAAATTTTTACGATTTTTAAGATTAAGTCTTTCTACGATATACAAAATTGATTTATTTTCCGTTCACTTTATAATGAAAATGTCCTAAAGATACTCATTATTAAGACCCTATAATCTTTTTTGTTAGCTTCTAGTCCAACAAAATATCTACAATCGCCTAAAACGATTTCACGTAATTGGCGATTAGACACCAGTGATTTTTTATTTTTTTTTGTGGAGAGCTATATCAAATACTCACAAATAAAGATTTGAGAGGAAACAATCCAATTTGTTAATACAAAGGAAAAATCACCCATTAAAGCCTGCCATCACAAGACAGCGCGGATTTCCAGAGAACATTGAGAAAAAAAAAAAGAGGATATAACTCATGAGGGGGAGGAACCAACAATTTAGGCAATGATCCTGATGTACATCCAAAACTCCATATCCATGCCGACTAGAATATCCTCCAGATGCTTGCCACTGACTCCTCCAGATCATCAGCCAATAAGTGCGAATGATCAACCCGTCACACTTATCCGACTACAGGGGATAGTCATGAAAGAATACTAGTCCAGAAAAATTTCATTAACTTATATCTGTCTAAACTGAGAACAGAGACTAACATATAAATTACAGTATTCACTCTGACTAAAAAATGCTTTGGGGAGTACACTTTCTTCCCTAGTGTGTATGTTTTTAAAAAGAAGAAGAAGAAGAACCAAGCTAACTCTGGCCCTGACATAATTTAAATTTTTGCGGCATAGTAACCCTTCGAACTACAAAGCTACAAGAATGCCACATTTTCGTGGTAGAAGCTTCAGTCGCCATCAAGCTCTCTCCTGATAATTTCAAGCACAAGTTCATTCCAGGTATCAACTGGGCCAGGCATGCACCAGTGTAAGCAATCCTGTGGAGGAGGCTTTCCGTCTGGACCACGTTTTGTGATCTTATTTGGGTCAGGGCTTCTGTACGGGCCAGGATGCCCGTCATGACGGTAACCAAAAGCCTCGGTGATATCCATCAACCTCAATTTTGACTTGTTGCTCGCCTTCTTAATTGCACGATAAAAGCCTGTCACTTGTTTCTCAAGCATTATATTCGTAAAACCATTTTCCACCAACTCCCCAGCTGCTAAGGGCCGCACCTTCCCAGTGCAAGACCCCCCTGTATTCCAAGCTCCACCCTCATAATGATCAGGTGAATAGGAACGGAGAATGGTTACACCAGTGAAATTAGGGTGCGTGACAATAGCAGAGAGAATCGTTTCAACAGATATTCCAAATGCTTCAACATTATTGACCTTCATTTTTCGAGATTTGTCTGGCCACCATAATTGTCCACCAACAATTTTGTTGTCCAAGACATAGACTGATTGCTTGGCAAACCAGTGGCCAGAGGAAAGAACGACCACATCAAACTTGGGAAGAAATTCCATTATATCTTTGTCAGGGGCATCGAGGTTAAGCTTCACCACGCCCTCTGGAGCAAAATCAATTGCTTCGTTGCTTTGATGCACAAGCCATGAGGACCACATGCGAACAATCATGACAGATGTTGACTTGAAATACCATCGTTGCATTCTTCGGTTTCCCCGGTTTTTGGGGACTTCAACCTGGAAAACAACCCAATTTTTTAACAAAGAAGCATTCCCCTAAGCAGAGAGCAACATTAAAAGTTGCAATTCTCCCATGTCATCATATTATCCATTGAGCCAGCTGCATTTTGTTTCTTTGCCCCCTGAATAGCATCTATTTGTACTTAACAACTTTCTGGCAGATAAAAAACTATGAGATTGGTATAAAGAAGCTGGTGAGTGTTTACAAGGACTCTAAGTTGGACAACCTCAGAAAGAAAGTTTGTTTTGCAATAGCAACTTATCACATTAAAAGCTACTGATCAATTGAAGCAAATATATCCAATTCAACTATTTATTAGCCTAAGCCACAAGGATACAAAATAGGAAAATCAGACATGGGGTAAGAGACTTGCCTGCCAAAGGATGCATAACATCGATTCCATCTGGTTACGTGCAACAGAATCGCCAATAAAAGCTAGTGTTTTTCCTCTCATCAACTCCAAAAACTTCTTGGCATCAAATCGTGGGAGGTCACACTGAGATGGTTTCCACCGCCAATTCTCGTATTCCTTATCTGGCCTTCCATTCCCCTGGCAGTTCTGCATCTGCGTCAAAACTGGGCAGGTGTTGTTTGTGTATAACGGTCCCAGTGAATCATAAAACCAACTTCCACGGTACAGATCACAACCTAAATATAGCATAAAACCAATAATCAGAGTCTAATTGGATTACAGCAGGAACTGCAGGACCACAACCATGTCAATTTTATGCAAACGCGAGAACTCGCAAGAAGAAGATAACTGAAAGATCATGGCTTAATCGACTTCAAGCAGCTAGTTAACAGAAATGGACAAGAGGCCAGGACCAGAACAACAGTGAACGGAGCCTCCCATTAGGAGTGACAAGCTGCCATCTAAGACAGCATGATTTTCTATTGACTTAAGTGCATATGCAAACATCAATTCCTGTATAAGAAAACTAGAACTCTGAGATTGCATGAGATATCACAATCTACAACACAGCAAAAATTCCCGAGATCTAATTCTGAGCACAAGTCAGATAAACAAGAAAGGCAAGCTCTCACAAGAATACGCATAAGATAAATATAAGGAATACCAATTTCAACCGAAGTGTTTGCAGCTGCTCTTTTACCCAAAAGGGTCGATAATGGTGTAGTTCCTGATGCTGAGTAAGCAGAACCATCAGGCGCATCTGACGAGACCGGCTTAGTGATCTCAGTGTTCTCTATGAGCTTATCATTCTTAGAACTGGAATTGCCCTCCTCTCCCAAGGGCAATCCAGACGAGACGGGTGGAACAGGGTTCACTGGATATTCCAATTCCTTATTTTCCACCGAGGCCGAAGAATCATTCGAACCCGTGTACACTTCGGAAAAAGGCTTCGACGAAGGAACCTCGCTAACTCCATCCACGCTCTTATCGACGGAGTGGGCAACTCCACTGTCATTATAAGGAGAGACCGCTAAATCAACTTCGCTCAAGCTATCGACGCCGTAGAAATACCCGCGAACCGTGGAGCCGATGGGATGAGAGACGAGGAGCAAAGAAGCGACCATCAAGAACATGGCAAGCCCTCCGACGGCGACAGCAATTACCGAAAGTGACCTCGGGAACGAACTGATTGCGGACGAACCCTTGGGCGATGATAGCGTCATGGCTTTCCCAAAAGCCGAACCCAATTGCTAACTTCACCCCGAAAGGGGAAAAGCGTCTTCCTTTTTGGCAAGTTAATCCTTAAACTACCCCAAACGTCTCGGCCACAAGCTACATTACCACCGAGCCGCAACACCGCCGCCCGGGATCTTCAAACTTCCCAGAACAAGACGAATCTCCGGCGACATCCAACTCAGCGACAAGCCACGCGAAACCCACTCTCGAGCAAGCGAAGAAGAACGATTTGCTCATAGAAGCCAATCAGGTGAAGAACGGCCCAAGAATCTCGACGCTGTAGAACGTGAAATTCAGAGGGCGGGATCAGATTCGGGAGCCGAGCACCTTAAAGAAACGCGGCGAAGCAATCGATGAAGATGAGGTGAGGTGCGGAGGAGGGATCACGAGGAAGGTGACGCATGGGCGCGGTGAAAGAGAATGCGAAAGAGAGATCGCACGGTGACGAAGAAGAGAGCCAGATGGAGATGGGCTACAATAGGGATCGCACAGCGAGACCAGAGCGAGATTTCCGGGGATGGAGAACGGCACGCCTCGATTATTTTAAGCCAATCGGCGGGGCGAAAAAGGGTTATATGGAGCAAGTTTCAGAGGCCGAAAAAAACCACGAAGGCAAGAGGAATAAAGAGAGGGCCGCCTAGAGGCATTGAAAAAGAAAACAGGTGGTTTATAATTATAATATTGAGGGGAATACTTTTTAATTAAACAAAGGATTATACGCAGGCCCCGGTAATAACTTAAAAGATTATCGAATGTTGTTGGAATGACATGTTTGGATTTTGTTCGAAATTCTTGATATCTTTAAGGACCGGGTAAGGTGATTTCTAATCATGGCTTTTTTACTTAAATATTTCAAATGTCGCATTGTGTCTTTTATTTGACTTGAAATACGTAAATCTCTGTAAAATACTCAAATGTTGACATGCGCAGTTGCATATAATTTTTCGTGATTTTATTTATTATCTAAGTAAAGAAATTCTTTAGAGCCACGATGTTAATAAGAAGAGAAGGGAGAGATAGAAGCGGAGGTAAGTATAACAACTTGTCATGTAATTATTTTGATATATTTTGAATCAAGGCAAGTATAAAGGCATGTAAAATAAAATTTACCAAACAGACAAATTTATTAAAATTACATCATACTTAAAGTTATTATAATATGATGCAGAATTTATTAGTGGTGCGTTTCTAGACCGATTGAACAAACAGAAGTCCAAACGGAAAGCGAAACGGTGATGCAATTAGATAGTTTTTTTCCTATTATTTTAGTATTTTTTTTATGAGTTAATTTTAAGGGCCGTTTTTGTAATTTTGCTATTTGATGCTTATTAACTTTCCTATTATGATTAGGTTTCCAATTCAGATTAGGTAACTTTCCTATTATAATTAGGTTTCCTATTGTAATTAGGTTTAACCCCTATAAAAGGGTGTTTAGGGTTTGTTTTGAAAGAGAACATTATTATCATCAATATTGAATTTCGAGATTTTTCTCTCTAAGTAAGGTTTTGCTTGAATTATTCGCTGAACGCTGCGTCATAATATAAAGTAAACTTTAAAATTAGTTATGTAACTATATTTTTTTAAATTACTTTATAATTAGTTTAACTTATATCATACTTCCCTTCAATTTATTTTTTATTAAATTACGAGCGAATATTACATTCATAGCGATTTTATGGCGACACTTTCAAGACAAACTTCGCTCTGAAATCGTAAAAAATAGGTTATTCCCGTTCCGTGGGAAAGTATTGTGGTGGAGCCGTCACTCACGCATTCTCCAAAGAACAGCAAGAAGCGGCCAAGAAAAATAAAGAAGAAAGCGAGTTTAGAGCATTTCATCATGTCGCCATTATTATTGCATTTCAAAGAGCTGAAAGTACACAATCTATGAAACCCATTAAGATATCTATGCGTACAATGGAGTCAATCAACTTAATGATTGTTCCATATGTTCATTAGAGCATTGTTTCCTTGATGGATGCTTCCTCAATTGAAACATGATTTAATGGTCACTATGTTCTTTGATTCCATCTAGAGACTGCCGTACAGATGTGGACCAATATGAGAGTCAAAAGACATTTGAAAGCGGTTGACCATTAATCCCTTGTTAGATGCTTCCATTGAGTGAAATGAATATAGAAAAAATTCTAGATGAAAACTTGATAGGATATGTAACTCTATGAAATTGGGTGAAACATCCCTCATATATCTGTGTATGTAGTCCACATGATCAACTATAGAAGTAAGGGGCCAAAGCAAGGGTTGTTAATCCCCGACCCCAAGCAAGCAAGATGCTGCCCATTACTGTCACTTCTCTCTTAAAGAGAATAGAAAGTTTTGATGCGTTAATTTTGTGTAGTTAATCACAAATTAAGGTACATATTAATTTTCTTGAGTGGGATTATTTAAACTTAGCAACGGGGAGAGTTTAATCTCTCTAATGAGATTGATTTTTTTTTTTGTGAATTAATGATATAATTGCTCATTTCATAAAATAAACCACATCAACTAAATATATTTGTAGGGCTACTTCACTGAAAAAGCTCCACCTTCACCTTAAGTGACAATTTTAGGCCAAATTTTTTTTTGTCACAATAAAAACACTAATTTTTACTCGAGTCTCAAATATAGCCCTATAATGTGAAATTTTCAAATTGTTCAAACCAGATTTGAGATTTAGGTAAAAATTTGTGATTTTTTATGAGATAACAAAATTAAGGACTAAAATTATTACTCAAGATATAGTTTGATGCCTTTTTCTGGAATTAGCCCCATATTTGTATAGCTTTCTGTTCTTTTATACACGTTACAATAGGTAGCAGATACGGATATGTTACTATATTAGCGCGTTTTACTTCTTTACAATTTGATTCAGAACTTTATGTTTTCTTTTTTTCAGTATTATAGGTTTTTTTTTTTTGTTGCTAAAACCAGTATTGTAGGTTTTATCATGACATTGCCGTTTGCCGTACTTATCATAAAAAAAAAAAACCACCGGGACAAGTGACTAGTGTAGGAGGGTCAGTTTTTCAGGCATATCAAGTCGAAGGATGAAATACAAGGAAACTATCCAGTTGCTAAACTCAACCTCAGGGGGCTCAAGATTCACCTTAATCCTCAATTGTACTCCTCAAAGTCGCTTCACATTGCAATGCTTCTTGCCCATTACAATAACTCTCTCGGATGAGCCGATGAAATATTTACATCATGAACTACAGCAGTCGGTCGGTAAATAGCTTGGCTCACGTGCCAACAGCTCACTGGTTGAACCACTCTAGTATATTCCCCCTAGGCTGCCGTCGCATCTCATAGAAAAATGTTCCCTCAACAAGGTCATTCAAATTCGAGAGATCTCATAGAAAACTTGTTCCCTCAACAAGGTCATTCAAATTCGAGAGAATCTGTGAGCGAGTTGTTCCTATCTGGTGCGCAATCTCCAATTGTTCATCCAAAGAGAGCAGCTCGTAACTGCAAATGCATCATTCAAGACAACTAAATGAGCCCGGATATACAGCTTTTCACAACTTAGAAATGTACAGATGCTTATTTGCTTTATATGCACGACATATGAAAAATCATTTGACCAACAATCCACACAGTGCTATATGTTGCAGAGTGGCCCCAACAGAGGTCTACAATCAAACTGTTGGTGAGATAGTAAAGCACCAAAAAGTGTAGCGCACCTGCTACATCAACTGAAAAATGTAAAAAACGTGCTTATGTACTAACCTCACTGCATTTCATTTATGTATTTATTATGCATATGCTTCCGACTAAACTAGTCAATACAAGAACGTGTTCTTTCTTTTCTTTTCTTTTTTGGGGTCAAAAGGAACATGTTCTTTCAAAGAACTGATAAAAATTGCAAATGATAAAACTTACTGGTAAAGCAGTTCACAGTCAACAATACTGTCGGGGCCCGGTCGATGTGCTTTCCCATTAGAGCAGAACTGGCGGAAGGATTTTGGATTCAAGCCAGCAACATGGGGAACAGCATCAACAAGCTTTCTCTGTAGTGACTGGAGCCTACGGAATGTCAGTTCATCAAGAGGAGCAATGCAGCCGATGCTGCCATCTAGGGTACCAAATAACAAAGCAAACCGGTTGGTCTTGTCTGAAACAGGAGTAGGACCACTTTGACCGGATGAAGTAGGAAGCATCTGCAACCGCATGAATTTCGTCACATGAGCACCTACATGAAATTCCGCCCTTGAGAGAAGTTTCTGTCCCTTCCAACTCTCGGACATCTTGGGTGCATAATAGAACACCTGATTATTAAAAAAGTACAGGAACTTCCATGTTAATAGCCAAGCATTTTAATTGGAGCATTATTTTCACACAAATTCTCAAAAGTAAATAGGTATCCATTCCTTTTTACTGTAAATGCTAGCTCTCAAGTCAACTTGAGAATTTCTTTAATTGTTAACTCCAATTGTTCTCAGAATCCAACATGTGCAAGATTTTTACACATAAAATGGTTCCGTTCAGTAATTTGTTCATCAATCAATTTCACCAGTTTTCACCGAGTCCATCACAAACAAGATATTTTGCCAAAAAATATGTTAACAAAAAGCTTCTTTAGCATATTGAACGCATTAGTTCCCGCATCTAAATCTAGACTAGATATGCTGCTTCTTTCTTTTGGGTCGTTAGTGATAATAGTTCAAGCAATATTGCTTCCTTTGGTTTACTGTTATTCATGTGTTTTCTTCCTTTATGTGCTCTCATGTGTATTATTGGTGGATAAGGTTACTTTTTCACAGAAGGAATGAGAACCAATAAACCAGCTGATCTAAAGGCAAGCAACGTCATGGTGAGAGTCCTGAATGAGCAAAAATCTAGACAACGCAAATATAATCTTAAAAAACCTCATCCATTTCAACATGTCGACAACAGGGCAAGCAAATCAACACCATTATCACCTCACTTTAGTCAAGCAAGAACAAACTCAACATGCGTAGGGAGTGAACTAACCTGAACATTTTTTTGCTCATCAGATACAATCAGACTCAATGTACTTCCATCAATTAGAAACTCTGTTGCGAAACAATCCAGGGAGCCAAAATCTTTGGCCAACAAGTTAAGCTGAGAGCCTTGTTCTTTCCAGCTGAGGAAGTATATGCTCTTGTGGATGTCGCCAAGTAAAATGAAATTTTTTACCTGAAACCACATGCAGAGGCACAAGTGAAAAAATTTACAGCAAATTCCTCCCAATTGACAACATTTATTTGCAAGAGAATAATCACATTGTTTACAGTTGGGTAACTATGATAGAAAGCATCAAAGCCTTCTCAGGCATCATGTTTAGAAGCCTTTTCACTTAAAAAAATAGCAATGAGAGACACCAGACCGATACTCTAGTAAAAAGGAGGAGGAGAAGAAAAGGTAAGGAAGTCATACGTACAACATTCATGCTTACAACATGTAGAGGTGGGGCATCAAAAAATGCAACACCAGTCAATTCAGTTCCATTCCATTTGTGTAAAATTATCTTGGGACCAGAAGCTATCAACAGATAGCCTTGAAGAGAGGCTACAGCAGATATAGCACCCTTCAATTCCTTTGAGTAAACCTCTGAAACCTGGAAAAGATGCTGCCAGAGTCAGTTTTAATACACCAAGCAGAAATTGTAACATCTAAGACTATACTGCTCTACGTTCACCATTACAAGAAAGGACACGAAGATAATGAACAAACATCCAAAACGATCACATGGCATGACAATCTCCATATGATTGGTACGAAGAACAGGGACTCATTAGATTTGATTGATGGTTTTCCTATCCAGCTCAAATACATACCAAAGTTTGAGGATTGTCGGCATCTTTCCCCATAGAAAACAAAAGTATGCGCCCTCTTGCAGCAACATCCTCACCTTGAACATAAGCAGTTCCAATAGCTAAAAGTGTCTCATTTTCCTTTGTCGTCATATTCTGCCATGTTATAATATAATAAGCAATATATCCACACATGAAGGATGACTTAAATGGACAAAAGCGTTTTTCTTTTACATGCATCACCTAAATGACACTTCCACAGACCAACTTTCCTTTGGAAAAAAATGGCAGCAGGAGAGAAAAAATTAGAAAAGTCAAAAAAAGCTCGGTTGACAAGGTTCAGACTTACAAGCAGTGTTACAACACGCACGGTTAATGCATTCTCAGAATTTTGCATGGGAATTGTCGCCTTAGTCAGCCAAGGTCCTCCAGACTTTTCTGGTTCCAAGATCCGAACCTCAAACTCATCAACTGCATAAGTTCGATGTACGTCATCAGGATTTAGACTGTGATTTTCAATCTGATGGCTAACTTCTTGATCAACGAGGGATGAAGCAACTTGATTCAACGGCCGATGAACCTGCATAAGCAAAGATGGACCAGATGCAATCAGACCTCAAACTGCATAGGAAGAATATCATATGTATCGCATCTTAAATTCAAAAGAGAATCGAAATGTGGTTGCCCGACAGTAACTGCCCATTAGAAGAAAAACCTTAGAAAAGGGAGGTTGATGATGCAACTTAACATCACCAGCAAAAACATCATGCTTACGGTTATAAAGTTTAGCAGGGGAAAACAAACCAAGCAAACTCCAATAGGCACTTTTTGACAGTTTGACAACAAGAAAACTCCAAAAAAATCGACCACATCATCAACCAGCCACTCTTAAGTCATGACACTACTTCCATGTATGTGACAGTAGAAAAACAAACAACATCATCTAACAAGTATATCTGTGTGCATTGCTGGCGGAAAGACAGTATTCAGCTGACAGACACATCATAAAATGCATATAAATGCTGCATTACATGTTATGCACAAGGATACATAAGCTTCTAGTACATCCGTGATACTGGAGAAAAGGATGTGAAGGAGAAAATGTCTTACGCATTACTTACCGGAGTTGAAACTATAAGTGGGTACAGATTCTTCTCGGCAAAGAAAGTAACTTGATGTGGAGTTCCTTTCAGTGGAATCTGATAAAAAGTAAGCGATCACCGGCATCATAAGCAAGAAGGTTGATTTGCATTTTATTAATGGATAGATACCTTTTGTACCGGCCAATAGTTGTCATAGCTTGAATTAGATGGTAGTTGGCAAATTTTTAGAACACCCTGGAATATCAAATCATTTTAGAGGGAAAAAAAGGAGGAGATTCAGAAACTGATATTGCACAAAATCAGTCAGCAAAATGCTATGCACTAACCTGTGAGGTCACATATATAAGCCCACGATTACAGTTTACATTATGGAAAACAGTGAAGGCGACAATTGATCCATCACATAACTGCATGAAAGTTAGCACAGTTAGATGCTCCACACAAAATAAAAACTAGAAAGATGGAACCTATGATGATCCACCTAACAGCAGTAACTTTAAGAACTTGATTAGTTTGTTGCACCAAAGGAAGAGAAGCCTCCAGACTTCATTCATAATAGATGAAGCAGCAAAAGTAAGAAGAACTGTCAAATAGTTCCCTCTTATGAAAACATTCGTCAAAGTTGGAAGATAAATTTATGGAAGGAAAATGTACTTGGACAACATCAATAATGAGTGCCAGCTTATGTCAGTCCAAAGTAGCGATTATTCATCTTTGAGAAAACTCATTAACATGAAACTGTAGACCAAATTCAAGTTAATTATCATCTAGTATGCACATACACACGGGGTAACAGACGAATAATCGCATCAGTTAAGAAAAGAATGAGCCAATTCCATCAGGAGGCAGTTCTTCTCCAGTAAACTTGCGAAGATCCAAGCAGAAAGATATTCAAAAGGGAAAATAATACTGCCACATCTTAGTTTTCCAGGGCACAATAAACAATCACCCTGCCTCAACCCAAAACTTAATATCTGTAAACTTATCTATAAAACAACACTTGCATCTGGAAATTTCCGTCAAACTTCAAGAAGTATAGAGTATTTTAATCAAATAATAGGAATATCAACTGGAATCTTTCCACAATAAGTATATTTGATATTCTGGAAATATGCATCTAAAAGGTTTGATTGCTCCAAATACGATTGTCACTAACAAAAACAAGGTGTCCAAACCTGTGGATGAATTCGAAGCCTCTCTCTGATAACCATGAACCAAGTGGGCCTTGAACCAGAAAGAAACAATCCTTGATATCCTCCAATGTTCTTGAAGAATGTAACTCTATTGCACGAGCTTCCTATGGTCATCTCTTCTCTTGTATATGTGTCCAAGGCAACACGTAAGAATCGAAGATTTCTAAGCCTGGAACCACTATTGATGCCTTTGCTGATAAAATTGTTATTAGAAACTGCGACTTCATTTTTTATACCACTTTCTGAACCTTCAAACAAAAAGGCATGATAACAAAGAATTGTCCCATCATTCAATATTGCGAAGAGGAAAGGGCGGCTATGCTGTCCAGACCATCTATACATGGCCAACTCTAGAACCTTTGTATTCTGTGCATTTTCTTTCTTCCCTGGGCCAGCTGATTCATTAGAACCTACCGAGATTCCTTGCTGAGAATCACCAAGTTCTTCTTGCATAAAGGAATCAACGAGATGCATCTTTCCAGACACAAATTTATCCACAGAGAAAACACAACTGAAATTAGGCACATCAAACATTTCGAGTGCACCACTTTCATAGCAAACCACACAATATATATCTCCCTGGTCCTGAGTTGCACCATCAGCACCGTCAATGGCCTCATCTATACCTGTTGTTAGCCAAGCATCAGGATTGGTCTTCCTAAGCCAAGGTTCTGGACCTTTATCGTGATAAAGTGTACAGGCAGCGACAAACTTTTTTGAGCCATCAAATGTTGCTGGAGTCACAACAGAAACAGTACATGTAGATGGATCTGCAAAATGAAATATTCAAATTAATGCAAAAGGGAATTCCAAAGCAGGGCTGCAGAAAATAGAAACATAATATCCAAAGACAGCTCATGCAAGGTCTATGCAGAATCAGATGTCTATCCAAGTCAAGTCTACAGATAATCCCTCTTTGAAGTGGCCTGTGCCAACAAGGCATACCCAGTCCCACTCAAAAGTATCAAGTGCTGCTGCTTATTGAACTCTCTTCTTTCATTTATTTGGATCCATGAGGATATCAGAAGAACAAAGGACTAGAAAATAAAAACCAGTTAAATCTATAAAAGTAAACTCCATAAAGAGATTCGTTGCCGATTGCATTGAGCATCTCTATTCTTCAGAGATAGGTTCGTTTTGAAGTTTGAAACCACTTTCATAGTGCAAGAGAAATCAAATCTTGAAAACATCAATATATGACGTGTATCAATTATAAGCATACACTCTGCATGAGCCGTTCCAAATTTTTTAAACATAATATCACAATAAGGCAAGTCAGTGACCTACAAACTCCAAAGTGAAAAATGTACAAGTATAACTGGTTAACATGCGTGAGGCCTCCAAGATGTTGATAATTTGGATCATGGAAATTAGAATCTATTGCTCAGAATAAATTAAAAGCACTAAACAAGTTATGCTGTCATCCTTATTTGGGAACACTCAAGGACCTAAAATTATTTGAAAAGATTCGGCACAGATTGCTTGCACTTCCAAGTATGCCTCCCTCAACAGATTCAAAAACCTGATCACAGGTTACTATTGTCCACAGTTCCATAGAATAACTATGGGTCAAATATGACAGATTCCAGATTTTTGATACCATAGCTGGGCAAGATCCTGGGGCCACGTTCACCGGAAAAATTTATACAAAATTGACAATGGAGAAAAGAGTAAGTGAAACTAAGTAAATTGCACAACTCATACAAAAAGGTCTTAATAACCATCATTATTGACACTTCATCCCAAAACACAGATGCATGAACTATAGAATTCTTTCCCATTGAACACATGCTTTATGAAGTAACTCTCATATAGTCTATATAATTCTAGCAATTAAGTAGATTAATCTCAAAGTAACATCTTCAGACATAAAAAGTGGTAGTTACCTCCAACGAGAAGCCGAATGCTTCCATCAGTCATCTTTAGTAAGACAAACGGATCAGCAATCGATACAGTTAAGACCATGCAACTCTCAGACGCTAATTCAGAATTCGAGGCCACTAAGTTCAAATCTTGTGTCATAGAAGAACCATTGAGGACACGTGCTCCACGTTCAAAAACCTGAATAACTCGTCGCCTTCATACAGGAAGCAGGAAGAAGATATTTAACGACACTAATTGCAAAACAATGACTCTCATATGCAGAAAATAAAACCTACACGCTAAGCGATTAGTACTTCAACATAACTCATTAAAGAAAACAATACAGAGGGTGGAAACAGCCCAAAATCTCTTACTATCAATTTTCTGTCAGAACATCATTAAATGAATATCTAAGAAAGAAAAACAGAGGAAGGAAGTTAACTCAAATTAAGTTAGACAGCAACAAATGCATTCAAAGCTTATACAAAGTATGCAGACCGCAAATCGTACTCAATAAAGTCAAAGGGTGAAAGCCACAATATTATATATGATTCTCCATGTCAACATTTGACTATTTGAAACGTTTTTAAGTGTTTCAGGTTAAATAAAAGTCAAAGTGAATGTAAGAAGTTCAAGGTGGATCACCGCAAATAGAAGAAGAAGAAAGTTAGCTCCAATTAAGTTAAGACAGCAATAGATGCATTCAAAGTTTATTTGAAATTAGCAGACTGCAAAATATTTGCAACAAAGTCAAGTGTGAAACCCACAAATCTATACATGACTCTAAATGTCAATATATGAACATTTTGAAATGTTTCGGGTGTTTCGGGTTAAATGAAAGAAGTGAATGTAAGATATTAAAAGTAGAATCACCCCATCCAGCTCTTTCCTTGTACTTCAAACAACAAACGTATTACCCACTCATCCACATTTTCTCATGACTCAGTAAGCAGATAATTCCAAGGCAGAATCTGACAATTGGAATTCATACTAAAACAAAGACAATCTTAAAATAAAAACACATTAAGAACACAAATATCTACTTCTGATGATTACATGTGTCTAATTAAATAGACACCAACCCATGATCATAGTAAAAGAAAGTGCGACGTCACTTGTCATTCCGAAACAACCATTGGTAGTAAAATGCTTTTCTGACTTGTAGAAAAAATTAACAATAATAACTGAACACACCTTCCAAATAGATTCCCAGCAGCAATAGTTCTTCCTTGCACATAATAATCAACATTTTCAGTGACTTCATTGAGAAGATCAGCCGTTTCAAGCACCTGATACAGAGTGATGCCAGCTGCAGGTCATGATGGAGGAAGAAAAATGCACATATATGTGTGCATGTATCTGCAATATTGAGATGCATATCTGCATGTAGCTTACCCTAGGATTTGTTACCGAGTGCCCTTAGGGATTCTTGAGAACATCACAAAAAGAATGAGAGATACATGCTGCGTGTTTTTATGCAGAAAGATTGATGCCGCATGTTTGAAGGCAGGGAAAGATCATCTTCAAATCACTAAAATTTGCGAGGGATATGTACAGGTATCACATTTAGGGTGCATTAGGCGATGTCCAACTCTAGAAAGAATCATGTGAGTTCAGGATAATAGAAGGCAGTCCCTCATTGCATCATTTCTCACTCACCATCTTATGACTTCAAGCATATTTATGTACTAACAATCCCACAATAACAGAGAGCAATGACTGATTGCAAATGCTAGCAAAATAGAGAATAGAGATTGTAATGCATATCGAAAGGCCAATCTATATATGATTATCTCTACCATAGAGTTGCCACATGGGCAAAAGAACCATGAAATTTCTGTGAAGTAATATACAATTGCAAAGAACGCAATGTGGCAAAAGCAGCGACAACAAGCTAATGATCGCATTCTGCCAAGTCTATTACCAGATGCAAACAAAAAATTAACTACACTTTGGAAGTCTCTAAAGCACAAATATTCAACATAAAGCAAGAGAAATTACCATGGTACGACTTTCCAGACTAATAATCAAATATGCATGATATTCATCATCATCAACCCCGACTTTGGAAGAATCTAAACCACGAGTGTTCTTGTGGTAGACGGTCCAAATGCCTTTGCAACCTGGTAGTTCAACCTGCAAAAGGATTATCAATATGATGACAGAAAATACTGCGAAGTGCAATGAATAAAGGCAACACAAGAACAAGTTGATGATAGTGTAGAAAGAGCCACTAAGAGCAAGTTTGTCCATTCCTCACTTATAGTCCACCAACAGCTAGAATTATGTGGGATCACAAGAACAAACTGTCAACAAGCCCTCATCAGAATAAGAGTGTCAACGATTATATAGTGTAGAAAGAGCCACTAAGAGCAAGTTTGTCCATTCCTCACTTATAGTCCACCAACAGCTAGAATTATGTGGGATCACAAGAACAAACTGTCAACAAGCCCTCATCAGAATAAGAGTGTCAACAATTATAGAGAACATATCCAGTCCACTGAATTTTTTTTTCTCTGGCAATATTTGTGTCTCATAGATTAACCACCTGTCGAATTAGTGATCCTCCAGTAATCAAGGCCAATAAACTGGGTAATTACACTAGCTGGCAAGCAAAAGTTCCACGGAATACCACTGACCATATCATCCTTTATCAATCAGCATCATACATTTCAACAGAAATGTTCCTTGGCCAATCTAACCCGCCACTACTCACCATTGTAATTCAAGATTCCATTAAAAGGGGTCAGAATTTAAAAATAGAATAAATAGATATCGCATTAATCTACTTGGCAACGAAACCATTCAGACCAATTTTCCATCAACTTGCACTTGAGAAGGAACAAAACAACCATAAATGTGGCAGAAGACTCTCAAACCTTAGGTAAGGAAAGGGTAGGAAGCAGACAAAGAAGGCTAAATAACGTTTGCTATCTCCCAGCAATATAACTAGAACAAATAGATCACTGAGAAGATCATGACCATCAAAACTCAACAGACTACACCCCTCTTTTTGCCCAATAGATTGGCCGACTCTTGAAAGTTCAACCAGTACCCTGTCCAAGTAACATATTAAAAGAAGAGAGAAGAGGACAAATTATTTAAGGGACGTTATTCTTATGCCCCCATTTGTTTTCTGGTACAGTGATGAAGAGACCTATAAGAGAGCTGAAACATTTAACGAGATATTCTAAGATAAAGCACTGTGCCACACACCTCAGTAATTATTTCTGGACGAACTGACTGCCTCAGAACACACAGAGAACCATTCTTCCCATGACCAGAACAACACACCTGCACGATCACTGGAAAGGTATGAAGAATGTAACTTTTCGTTTAAAAAATGGAAATGTGCTAACTTACAATATGTATCGAATTAGTCAGCTGGTGTTAGTAAATGATTGGTGAAAACACTCATGGATGCAATAACAATAGACATGTCGTACAATCATGTGTACACTGTACATAGTCAAAAGCAGGAGTTGCTACTTGCTACACTGACCAGTTCATAGTTGCTTTGTTTTGCAACTCCAGTAGCATTAGCATCAGCGTTGATCCGCAGGCCATATGCAAAATCTTTCAGAGGGCCAATGTTAATCAAGGAATCCCTCACTGCAAATGAAAAGGTTTTCTGCAGATAGGAAGGGGTTACAATCCAATACCTAAGGACAAAGTAGGCACAACTTCAACAAATAATAAGTTCGCGAGTTTGGTCAAAGTCAATGCTAAGATCAACCATTACACAATAACATACTAAAAGATTATGATAATGCATTGAAGATAACTGTCAGTTTGAGGCAGGAAAAGCTTTCATTTCTTACGAGAGACATGTACTCGTGCTTCAAAAAGCAAGATGAAGATCGAGGGAGCGCAATATGTTATGCCAAACAAAAATTGCACCTTCCTCTAGCACAGTGAGCATTTTAAACAGGATTCAACTTCATGAAATCTATGTTTTAATTGTTTCAGCGGAAAGGGAAGCATTCTAGCCTGCGAATGTGTGCAGAGACAGAGAGAGGGGGGTGGGAAGAAACCTGCGCAGATTCTGCATTACTTGGCGTCAAACCATGTATCGAGAGCTCCTCTCCACCAACCATGTCTTGCAAAGCATCAGAAGAGGACATGCGCAACCTCTTCGCCAGAGGGGCATCACCTTCAATATCTCCCACCTAGAAAACTCATCAACAGAAGGATTCATCAACATCCCCAAGAAAGGACAGCCAAAAAATCAACCAAATGTTTCAGAAATTAAGAGCAGCTTCATTAATTTTTTAAACATCAAAGTTTTAAAGGCAGAAGGCATGGAACAAGTGCTCAAGAAGTGACGTGTCACAGAATCCCAAGAGTGAACAGTGAATAAGACATCGCAAGTAGTAAAATTCTTCATTCCACCACAGACCTCGTCCTTCAAACCAGATGAAGACTTTGAGGTTCCAAACCCGCAAGTATATTGCACCAACAAACTGTCTCCCAATCGACTGCCTAGGAAAAACAAGGAATTTCCGATTGTTGTAATCCCCTAAGACAAGGAGCATAGTCATCAATGATGTGCCAATGCAAAAGCAACCTGATAAGAGAGTTCCATACATGAAAATAACTTACAGAAGTGAGCACAGAAGCCTTTGACTTTGCAAGATCCAATCTTTGCACCACACTGTAGATGGGAAATATTATTATGGAAGTAAGAAGATTCCAGCCATCATAATTAAAGTGGCAGGAACAGAAAATACAACTGCAAAATACTTCAAAGCTGCGATTATATTCAGCAAACAGTCATATAAAAGCAAAGGCCGGTTGCTTTTAAAATAGGAAGAAGAGATGAAAATGCCTTCGGATCAAAACTGGCACACATACCTACTGCAGTGACAACATTATGCTCAAAAATCAAGACAGAATCTATTAGGAAGTCTGTGCTTTTTTTTTGGAAAATATAGACATGTAAAAATAGGAATATATATGGACATGTAAATATCAAAAACTATGTCCATCACAGTATCCCAAAAAGTAAGTACAACTCTTATAGATACATGAGATCAAAACATATCTAAAAGCTCCAACACAGACAAAATTTAAGAAGAGAAGAAAAATCAAGCTTTTAAGCCAGAAGAGATGGAACAGAAGAAAGTAGAAAAATAATAGTGATCACCTACCGCCCGTCATAAACAAGGGTAAGCAGCAACAACTCCCCAGTTTTGGTCGACAGCAAGACTACGTCATTCACTAACCAGGTGGCATTGGCAGCATCAAGCTCAACACTAAAACTCGACTTTGGCATCTCTTGACTGAAATCCCAATAAAATAATATAAATAATCAACCATAAGGAACAATGATGAAAAAACCTGACGGACATGAGAAAACATATTTCAAAAAAAATTTGAACTAAAGAAGCTTTGATGAGATGCTACTGAATATCACTCCTAGTCCCAAATCAAGAGTTAAGATATTGCTAGAAACACATGAAGGACGCATGATTCAGTGATCTTCACAGAAAATCAATGCAAATTAACTTCCTATATATTCTTTATCTTTTCAATTCTTTTGTTGTTTTCTAATGTCTTCTCCTACTAAGGGTGCGGTATTGGAATTAAAAAGCTGCAGAAAACATGGTTTGTCTTTTGCCAAAAGATAAACCATGAGAAGTTGAGCAATTAACAACTATTAACTCGTTAAGAATAAAAAATTACCAACATCACTTTAACAAACCAATCAAGCATGTCATGAAACCACAGATATCAAGTAAAATTTCAAGAGTAGGAAGATTACCTGCCGTCAGTAGAACTGGCATAACTATTGAGAGCCAAAACACAAGAAGTAGACTGCAAATAGAGGAAACAGCTGTTCAGGAGAACACACTTCTCACACATAATTTGATCAATAACTGTAAAAAAAAAAACAACTGCAAGATCCCACTAGATAAAAGATGATAGAAACAAGCTAGACACTTATACGCATCTTAAATGCATGCTTCCGAAAAGTCAGACAAACTACCTGACTGTGATAATGAATAGCATTAGCAGAAATCACAAGAACCCCACCAATTGGAGAAGGAACTGCAAGAAGCTTGTACGCATCGTGAGGGAGATTCTGACAAGAGGAGAAGACAAAAAAGTAAAGAAATAAAGCATCTTAAAACAGATATAACTATCATCAAGGGCTGCTCTAGGTTATAGAATGGTTTTCCATATTTTGGCAGTCTTCAGAAATCAAAGAACATGACAAAGGTTTAACGTGAAACATTGTCCATACAATCCGTCCTAATTCATGAAAGCAAAATCAAATGCATGGCTCATCAGCAACTTTCTCGCGCAACTGATATAAACTTAATTTATGGAGGGATCAAACAAAAACAGGAAGAGAAGTAACATGTTTCATCAAGCACAGTAATAACCACATGAGACCATTCTGAGAGAATTGTTCTACATTAGAATATTGAGACAATCAACCAATCATCTGAGGAAGAAAAAGTCACAAGCACTTGGTCATCATTTCAATAATGCATTCCCAACCTTTCAAAAAGATTTGTTTGTCACTTTCCTTTTCCTTATTGAACAAACTGATGGAAAGTAATTCAAAATGAAAAAGAAAAGTTGGAAATGGTTAGAGCCACAACCATGATCACAAGATCATACAAAAACGAAAGCTAAGCCCAAAAAGTACTGGCACCGACTAGGCGAAGATATTCAAGTTACACTGTCCAGTAACTATGACTTGACCAAAGAGAAGAAAATAGTAATAAGACTTTATGAATAAAAAAAAGTGGACGGATAAGTACGAATCGAGTCTCCACAACACATCTAGACAGACATAGATGCAGTTAAAGTATCAAAAGGATAGGTAGAAAGATATATTTGACAACTGGAGAACTTACTGAGGCTGACCAAATCAGAGGATGCTGCTTCAGGGTTGTGCTAATGCTGAGTGCAGATATCATGCAAGTATGGCGCTTCCAGGAAACACGTCCCGCCCATGTAAGCTCCCGCTCATGAAGTATTACCATCACAGGCTCAATATAGCCTTAATAAGACATGGAGGCAAAAAATCTAGCATGTATTAGTTCACACAAGTGGCTAATCAAGTACAGTAAAATAAAGCTGCCAACCCAGTGACTTTTAATCACATAAGACAACATGAGATTTCAAGCAGTACTATCAAGAAAATATTTCCGCAAAGGAGACATGGAGTTTGCTAAGCTAATGGCGGCATTTTCAAATATTACAGATATGATCTACAAGTTGTCGCAGCTCGCAAGACTAACACAACAAATTGTCTCTCCATAGTCACCTCAGCAAGTAAACCATTTAAGTAGTAGTTTGCAGTCTCCGTGACATTGAGCTTACACTTGCTGGCCTAGATGCTACTACCGAGTACATCTTGGCATATATTCTACAGCAAAAAAGACGTGGAAACATGGTAAAAGAAGTAAATCTTGGAAAAACAGAACTTAGTTATTAACTTCCTCACCGTGTACAAATACAAAATCTTTTACATGCTTCATTTCCAACTCCCGGAGACTGATTATGTAGGATGATTCTACTCGAATGGAAACTGCACCTCCAGATTCGAATGTGTCCTCATCTCCCACCAAGCCAGAACCAACCTGAGCCCCAAAATCGAAAATGATGTTAAGTCAATAGGAGCAATGCTGCTAAACATGTGTTGCACAAAGAATTTAGGAAACACAACAAAAGCTGACTTGAAAAATAAGCTTGCACTATCTCTTGGAAAACACAACTTTCCTAGAACTAAGATGTGAATTGCCTACTTGCACTGGTTGGCCAATTAAAAACCTACTTCTATTAACAAAGTCATTTGAGAAATGCACTCGCCTATCTCTTGACACCACGAACTGGAATAGAAGATATTGCTCCTTTCACTATACTCTATGATTGCCTCAGGGATAGAGGGAACACAATGAAATTGAGAGGAGAGTACGAATTGCCAAAAAGATACAACTGTTCGTCCAAACAGCTACATAAGTTTGTGCATCATATTACTTTAAATTTTAGATTCAAGCTAGGAACAAAACTGAAATCTACAAAGTCTTAGATGACCAAATTCCATTAGAACCTCCAACACAAAGGAAAGCAAATTCAACAGAAAGGGGACTAAAGGTCTATGACAAAAGATCTAAGGAAATAGGAGAGACCTGAGAAGCCTTAAGCATTATCATTTGCAGACCATAAACAAGAACCCCTCCACACCTGCCTTGAGGATCAACCTTCACCAGTGGGCCTCTCGCAAAAGATTCTCTACCTCTTTTGAGATGAAGCCAATCTGGACCCTCAAAACAATGCATAGATCTGAAATACCATCATCGAGGATTATGTTTCATCATATAAACATAAAGAACAATAAATTGGTAATATGAGACCAGCCTCCCAATGTTGTGCCTTTTAGCTTAAGGAATAAGGAGAAGCAACAAGAAAAGGAAGAACAGAAGGCAAATATAGCCTAAGAGAAAAATGCAAAACTAAAATTCAGGACCACTCACTGCACAATTAAACATATGTCCTTAAACAATCAATAAAATAGCTGCTAAGATGGGTGACGGCATGAACAATTGGTGAGATGCATTTCTTGTAGATTGTGGGATGCCAAGCATATCAAGGGTCAGCACTTGGAACATGATGGAAAAACTAAGATGCCACAAAACTATCACAATGAACATTAACAAAGAGCTTGTTGAAGCCTGATGAATTCTAGAGCTATCTGAGTCAGTTCTTTATGAAAACAATATTTTCTAACAAAAATTTCAACCGCCCGAAATGGAGATTATATGAAAAAAGGTGTAGATCCCCTTCTTTTCTGAAATGTGGGAAACAAGGCAAATGACTATTACATAAAATTTTTAGAATAAATCAAGCAAAAAATTTCCAGTTACATTGAGTTTTTAAAGAGAAAAGAAAAAAATCCAACATTTTTATGATAGTCGTGGGTGAAAAGAATGGTTCTGTTTTCTCCTCTAAATAATTGAAAATTAATTCGGTACCACCCTAAAAATACAAATCATCTGCGGTGGGGAGAAGAGATTCCTGAAAATGAAACGATCTGAAGAACACCAGCCAAAGGACAACATAAATATCTGACTAAAAGAAAATTCAGAAGTAGAGATATAGATTGAATGTAACCCAAAGACATGGATAAGACCAAATTATTTAGGCTTGTGTCATTACAGAAGCATCAAAAGAGGCAATACTGCAATAATTTCGCCATAAATTTTTTAGTATCTAATTCAAAGAGCTAAAAAATGACCTAATACAACTAATATAGCATAATAATCATCCCCCTGTCCCATCATGCAGTATGATTCGCGTCAGAAGCACTCTATGCCATAAAGCCACTCTTACGTTGTGCGAAGTCCATGAATTGAATCATCAAACTCCAAAATGGAAATTTTTGCATCTTGAAATGTTAAAATGATCGAATCTCTGCTCCTGGAACCATTACCACCTCCAGTTGACAGTACTGCCATACTTTCAACATTACCGTGCAACCTGCAGTTCAATTTAAACACAACGTACGGAAAAAAGAAGACGAAGTCAGCAGACAAAGACTTTATAAACATATCCATTCATCTTAAGAAATTCAGTGGAAAAAAAATACATACTTTGTTTAACTCGAACCAAAGTCTAACAAACTTCACTTTAGTGGATGAGCCCAATAAAATTGTCACAGGACCCAAGGACCAAAATACCATCGAGAAGCTCAGGTAAAGACCCACAGTGATAACTGACCACATCCTTAAAAGACACTTTCACAAAAGAGAGAGGCCCTAACAGTCACCCTGCATTTCTAGGAGAATGCTTTAAGGTGTGACTGATATTGTCTAATAACAAGAGTAAAGTTATCTTCACATGCTATAACAAACAGCAACTTAAGTCCCCAATCATGATAAAACAATTATAAATCTACATCTCCTCTTCTCCCTCAAATGTTCTTTAGTTCATTTCCCTGAATTTGAACAGAAAATAGCTACAGAATGAAAAGATTTTTCCCCTTTGCCATTGGCTCTGATAGCAACCAAATCAGAGCTTCTACAGATGATACCCAAATGTTTCATGGTTCCTGATCTAAGAGTTGAGTCTATCCCAAATATGTCATGTTTTAGCTAGGCATTGACAAGCAGCAGAACCCACAATCTTCATTTTTTGTGAATATGAGCGCATTGTTGAAATCTTATAATGAATGCAAAATGAACAATATCAAGAGGTATCATGCAATGATGAGTAGTTTACCAATATGTGTCTTCTTAATTAGTTTGAGATAGTTTCTTCCATCTAATTATGCTACATGAAAATGAAGTGCATTGCAAGTGTATAAGAAGCCGTGTTCACAGTCCAGATTCATTAAGCAATAAGATTTGGAAAGTTCCCTCCATTATTGTGTGCTCTTCTTGCTCTAAGAAAAGGTTTGATTTGGATTCATTTTTAATGTTAAGAAGACATGAACAATGTTTAAGAAGAGGGTGTGAATTCTCGTTGCCGTTCGACCCCCCTTTGGCCACGTCTACCATTTCATTTAGTCAGTTCGGTAGCTAGGTCACAAAACCCAGCCATTTATTGATGGGCGAATGACGGGGATTGAACCCGCATGTGTTGGATTCACAATCCACTGCCTTGATCCACTTGGCTACATCCGCCCTTACCCCCGCACATAGCTAGTTTTCTAGAATAGAGAACATAGAAGGAAAACTTATTTCAAGGGAATTGAACTCCACAGAGCGAGTGACTCAAAGAAAGAAGTCCCAACGCCTGACCCCTTTGAGGCGCCTCTCTCATTTCCTTGTTCTTTTTATTGGAAAAAAAAAGGGAAAAGTATTAATCTCCTTGCTCTTTTTATTTTACTCTCCTCAGTTCTCTCCCTTATTCTTCTAAGAAGATTTCTCTACACCATGTTGTTCCACCTTAGAACAAGAAAACATCGCTTTGTTCAAAGACGCCAATATTTCAATATGCTTATCTGGACTAATGTAGTTCCCTCAGAAGCAACTTTTGGTTGCAAAGTGCACTGACAAAATTATCCAATGAAAAGAAGCCATAAAATGACCACCGTGCGTGCACATAAATTCTAATTCTAAGCCTCAGTGTACTCTGCATAAAGCTGGGCTAGAGGTTGACACATGTTACTCACCCTGAATTAAACTCCTTCCCAAAATCAAACTTATCTAACTTTTTTAGGCGTGGCATTTGGCTCTTTCAAAGCTGTCGCATCAGAGTGAGAGCGAAGAATCATGTGCTTGAGTTAGTCGCCTTAGTCAGTTGTCGGATTTGCGAAAAAATGAGCTTGACAGTTGGTCGATATTCTTGTTAGAGATGCTGATCGTATTGAACTGGCTGGAATGCATTAGCATACGATTCAGCTACACTCGTGCACTCAAGAGGATTTTGATGAGTAGAAGTTTCATAATTCTCTCTCTATAGCTTGCCTCTGCCGTTGCTCATTTCTCTCCTAAGTATGTCTGTACTGCATCACAGGGATTACGGGATATCTCCCACTACGTGTCTACATCGTAAGAGAGAACAAGAAGAAAGACAAGAACCTGTAGTGGCAAACGAGCTCGAGCGAAGCACCGGAAACACCATCCATGGCTCCGCCGCGCTTGGCCTCGCCGGAATCCTTATCGCCGTCTTCCTCCACTCTCACCACATACACTTCGAGAACGTTCGCGGCGGCGACGATCAGGTTCGGGACGGGTCCGATCTCTCGCCGCGGCGGGCAGTCCGGCTCGAGATCGTCGGTCTGCAGCGGCGGAATCCGAGGAGTGCAGTCGGAAGGGCTGTGGGTGACGAACCCGGAAGCGCAGCTGTCGATGCCCGTGGGCCAGTGCATCATCTTGTAGGCCGCGAAGCTCATTCCGTACGGACGCGAGCGTTGCAGCGAGCGAGCGTCTCGGAGAAACGGAGGGAGTAGAGAGAGAGAGAGAGAGAGGACAACAGAAGCTTTCCTCGCCGGATGGCGCAGTGAAAGTGGCGGAATCGAGGATGAACTTGGCAGCGATGAATAATAAATACTCTGAAATGCAGAGTGCAGAGAGATACTAGGGTTTCAGCTTGAACCCTTTGGCGGGAGTGCGATGTCAGGGAAGGAAGGAACAGCTTCGCCCAAAGCTTATTAGAAAAAGTGAAAAAACCAGCAATAACCCCAGACGACTTTGCCATATGACACGTTTACCCTGAACTTTTTTTTTATGACATCAAAAATTCCGAACTTTACTTTTTGTGACACATTTACCTCAATGTATTTAATCCATGAACATTTTCATCTTTTTTGCTCTTTTTTTTTTGCCTTTTCAACGAGGGGGGCCTCGCCGGCGTCGGGCGAGAGGGGGGCCCTCGCCAGTGTCGAGCGAGGGCGGCCCTCGCCAGATCCGGTGAGGGCAGCCCTCGTCGGCGTCGGGCGAGGTTCGCCCTCACCTGGGCGAGCGAGGGCGGCCCTCACCCGACTCAGGCGAGGTCGACCCTCGCCCGACGCCGGCGAGGGCCCCCCTCGCCGAAAAAAAAAAAAAAAAAGAAAAAGCAAAAACAACGAAAATGCCCATGGACTAAATAAATTGGGGTAAATATGTCACAAAAAGCAAAGTTCGGAATTTTTGGTGTCACAAAAGAAAGTTCGGGATAAATGTGTCACAGATGGCAAAGTTTGGGATTTTTAGTGGTTTTTTCCCTTAGAAAATCGACATTACCCCTAATTTTGAAGTAATATACACTTGTCCCGAACTTTCAACTACTGCATAATATTTTAAATTTTTATTGTGTTTAAATTTTCGTTATTTTTTATTAGTATGTGCAATGCACGTGATTTTTTTAAAGGGTACAAGTAATTTTTTTAATCCTTAATTGCTGTGAAAATTATAAATATAGAAAATGGGAAATAAATAAATTAGCTAAAATTCTAATAATAGAACAAATAAATACGAATAACGTTAAACGAAAAAATAATTTTAAAATTTAATAAATATGACCACTTTAGTAAAACTAGATAAGATACTTCAAGAAAAAGAATCGATACAAATAAAATAAGAAAAGGAAAAGGCCTCGATAACAAAATTGCTAAATGTAAAAATTGGCGGCTCATTGTTTATAATATAAACTTTATATAAACTTTATATATAAAAGATTGATTAATGTAAAAAAGTACTTTACTAATAAATTATTTTGAAAAATTATAAAAGGAAATGAGTTCTTCCCCTTTTATAAGGAAATAACTAATCGAATATAAGGTGATGATTTTTAATATTTTTTATCGATCAATCGTACTTTGCATTAATTAACAATTTAAACTCATTTTTTCATTTTGTTTCTTTTTCATAAAACATCTTATTAGTTCTAACAATATATTCATCAAATTTTTACGTTTTTTATATTATTATTGATATTTATTTCCTTAGTAATGCTTTAGTGGATTTATTATTCTCCATTTTCTTTATTTGTATTTTTTATGGAAATCAAAGGTAAATGAGAAAAATTTTTAAAAAAATGAGATCAAAATTAAGGGTGATATGATCCAAGGTAAATAAATTCCGGACCAAATATTAGAAACATATTCTATCAAAGTAGATTCCTAGTATTTGGAACCAGGATCCGAACTAGGGATCGCCCTGGAATTGAACCAACCAGTAGGGTTAACTCAAAAATAGAACCTATCTTTTAAAAAAAACAAACTTTAAGTTTTATTATTTTAGGAAAACATGCCACGCAACAAAATCGTAGTATAGTGGTTAAGACATTGATGGATTTTGTAGGCTAGAAATCCATCTTTAAACAAAATAAAAAACAAAGAAGGCCAAAAACCGATTCCCGATTGAGGGCAAATGTGTACTCCTCTAAGGTTAGGCAGAATTTTGTGAAGTTTCCCCTATAACATGATAGAAAATTTAAAGACAACAAATTGTATGTAAAATTATTAAGCTGAATTATTTGAGAAAAATTGTCCAAAAAATCCTACACTTATTGTACGATAGCTAATTTAATCATAAACCTTCCAATTGTGTCAATTGAGTCATAAACCTTTCAATAATTTGTCAATTTAGTTCTAAATTTTTTGAATATTTATCAATTTAGTCATAAACTTTTTAATTGTGCCAATTTAGTCATAAATCTTTATAATCTGAATATAATCAATCGATAGTCAAACAAAAAACTTAACATGTGCACAACTATGTCTTTTGACAACGAAATGTTCATCGTTAATGGACATCACTCAATTCGACGTAAATGACGAGCATACCGAGCGTTGAGTCTAGTACCGAGTAATTACACTAAAAATAACTTTCACGACATGATTGTTAGCAATGGCCCCAGGCCTAGGAAGGGCACGTGAAGGCCTGGCACCTTTATGTGCCGGGCCGGGCCCCGTCCCAAGCAGAAGAAAAGAGATAACTCGTAATTCACAGGACCTGATGAGCTCTGCTGCAGTAAAACAACTTGGACGAAGGCATTGTCTGATTCTTAACCAAAAATCGAGAAACGATCAAAGGAAGGTGATGGACATGTTAGGAAAGCACAAACTTGACTCTTACTAGAACTCTCTTGCGTGGGATCGGTGTCAAGTTGCAAACATTCACCAGTTTGTCCTTTTGTTATTTAAAATTCTTGAGAATCACACGTCAGAGTGCAGGTAATCCTACTCTCTTATGGCAGGAAATGGTGCAGGTAGAACATAAAGTTGGTCAACTCCAATCCACTCAGTAGCATCCTAGTACGTTGGAACGGTTCAGGCAGGACATAGAACTCCCATGCACACATATAACGACTATGTAACTGCAGATGCAATAGCACATAATCTATCTGCCACTTCTTCTCCACCCAATATGCCTGAGAAGGAGGTGGAAGATCCCAAAAAGAAGCGTGTCAGGCAACCGCCTTCAGTGCCATTTCTTTGGGAAGAGAGGCCCGGAATGCCCAAAAAGGACTGGAAGGACAAAGCTTCTTTGTCTAGGCCATTTCCACCACCAGCCAAGCTAGTTGCTTCAATCCCCTTCACATGGGAGGAGAAACCGGGAAAACCACTCACCTCTATCTCACAGCCACCAAAAGAATCCAAAAGACTGACCTCGAACACAAACCTCATTGGCGCACCATTGCCTCTACCTCCCTCCCATTGCCTTGAAGCCAATGGTTCTTATAGAGAATTTAGCGATGATGATGGTGATAGTGGCTCGATTGACGAAACATCTGAGTTGGATGTTGAACCATTTCTCTTTGAAACGGATGATAATTCATTTAGTTCCCCACCCTCTGTTCTGGTAAATTTGTTTTTGTCGTCTACAACGATCTCTACAGCCGTTCCGGTGCAAATGATCTCTTCGAGGGACAATTCTGGTCCAGAGATTCAATCCGGTCTTTCATCACCAGCTTCAGACTCTAAAAGTAGCAGGAGCAGTTCTGTGTCTGGAACTTCAAGCCTTGTGGGTGCTTCCTTCTTGGAATGCCTCTTTCCAATAATTCCACCGAACTCTGGTTTCCTAGAAAAAGTTGAGTCCTCTGAGAGAAAGCCTTCTAGTGTATCAGAGCTAAATGCTACGACTGTGGATAGAGAAAGTAATAGCAGCCTCATGGTAAGACGACCGAGGACTCTTGGGGAGCTCATGCTGATGAGCCGGAGGATGAGTTGCAGGAGGAAAGCCGTGCACAAGAGAAAACAAAACCTGTCGATGGTAACTCAAAAGCATCTCAGTATTTTCGTTATTGCACAAACATGAAAGTATAAGTGTCATTTAACAATTGCGCAACACAAAGAGTCCCTAAGAAGAGCATTAACGGAATTAGAATTGATGGGGCTTCCTTGTTGACACTAACAGGACTGAGACTGAATATGTTTCTCAAAATATTCCCAAGAAAATTAATGAATTACCTTTCTGTCATGCTATCGCAGGAATTTGCAAGACAGAGTGCTTTCGGATGCGGCATCTTTGAATCAGGCAGCAAAATGCTCAAAGGTTTCAGTTGCAAGCGTCAGTTAAGATTCAAGCTGGCCTGAGGTCATAAAGATGAAAGCAAGTTCTATTCCAATCTTCAGTCAATTTCTATTCGGACAGCTATCCCAAAAGCTAAACTAAGTATCGTTCAATCTCTAAATAGCAGTGCATGTCTCCTTAACTCCCCTTTAACTTTGCAATGGTCACAACATATTTATGAGAAACAGTATGTACAACTGATAGATGATTCATCATCTTGAAGGTTTACACATTTCAGCAACTTTACGAATCCTTTCTATTACAATACGAATGTTGTCTCTTGATAATGTAGTAAAACAACAACGGAACCAGCCCGGTTCTATGGAGTGGCATGCCGAACCAGGTGTTGCGTTGACCTTTGCAACATTCAGAAGCTTGTCCCACAACTGAAGCTCCCCCTTCTCATTGTAGGAGCGAATAAGTCCACTCATATCCACCCAACAATACAAACCACCACTGCTCTCCACGTACTTGAATCCTAGTTCTTTTAGGCCACCCACAAATAAATCATACATCTCCCGTATCCTCTTTCTATTTGTTTCTAGATATCTCTCAATAAAGCTTGTGTCTGAAAGCAAAGAAATTAGTAACCTCTGAGTGGGCACAGAGACAGAAGAAAATCTGGTTAGTTTTTTGGCAGCAGCCAAAACATTGTCATTATATGAATATATAACCCCAACTCTAAAGCCCGCTAGAGATAGATCCTTTGACAGACCGTATAATATATGAACCCTGTTCTTGTCAAATTCTCCCGCATCCAAAATCTCGGCCAAGCTCACGAATTCTTCGTTCCCATGAATGGAACCTGCAAATATCTCATCAGAGATTATGTGGATATTCTTTTCTTGGGCAAAGTCCAAAAGATTATGGAGCGTTTCACGTGGCAGTAAATTGCCCACAGGGTTTGATGGGTTAGAGATAAGGATTCCCCGAACTCTCTGCCCCCTTTTTCTGGCTTGATTGAAAGCTTGATCAAGAGCAGCGATGCTTGGAATAAAATTGTCGGCGCTGCGACAATGAACTGGAATCAGCTCAACTCCAGTTCGCCAGGTCATATCCCTGTCGAAACTGCACATTGGATGCAGCATATATATGCACAATAAAAACATGTGTCAACAGTAACACATTTAAAAAAAAACACACACACACACACACAGAAAGGGAAGCTATTTGTGAAAGCTAGAAATACCCGGGATAATAGGGTGTGGGAACAATAAATGCATTTCCGGGATCAGCCAAGCAAAAGCACAAAATCTCTACAGCGGGAGTTGCACCAGCAGTTAGTACAATTCGCGATGGATCAAACGAGGCCCCTCGTCCCAGAACCTTTGACATGAAGCCCGCCATTGCCTGCATTATCCACAGAACAGAGAATTGCAACAATGACCAAACATTCATCTAGCATTATCCATACACGAATATTCTCCAATCAAAGCAGAGTAGTTTATATGGCACCCTTGTTCCAGCTCTCAAACCAATTACCGATGAAGGCAATGGTCATTCGGTAATAACTACCACTATTAGATGGGTGGATACTTTTCCCTGCTGTTATAAACCATAGCTATTAGCTAAAAAACTATCGTACTTCTGTTAAGAGAGAAGAATTACCACTTTCAATTCCATCAGGCCATCAGAAGGCTGGTATTCCGTGATGCCACCGATGCCCGAATGACCCTTGTCACCTCCATGTCCAATCATTGCACCAGTCAGATTCTCAGACAGCCATTCTTCAATCAAATCCAAGCACAACTACACCAAGCAAGTAGGATAACATTGATCATACACTCTCCCAATTACTTAGCAAGAAAAAAAATCAGGACACGGAAATCACACAGGAGGAAATATTCCACACACAACAGTCGGAACACATCGGCACCGTCACATGCCAATCGATTGCAAATGAATCATAACACGACCACGCTTAGTTACTGAAACAGAGGACAATACCCTGTTCTCGGACAATCCTAGCTGGATAATCCCGCCCGGGTTCTCAACTTCGTCAAAAGGGTCCTGCGAAACTCTATCTAATCCCACATAGTACGGCGATTCATTCGGCCTCGCAATCGATTCGGCTCTATCGGAAAGCCGGGCGGGAGCGAGGGATCCGCGGGTGGAGAGAGGAGAGCGGGAGGCGGAGCGGGGGAGGTCGGCGGGGCGGGAGGGCGAGCAGCGGCGCTTGAGATGGAACTGGAGGAAGTAGAAGAGAGCGCAGGGGATGAGGGAGCCCAGGATCAAGCCTCCTCGGCCTTGGACTATGCCTTGCAGTGGGACTATCAGTCTCATGATCTTGTTTGGTGATTGCTCGGGAAGAGTTCAGAAGTAGAAGAAGAAGAAGAAGGGTGGATCAGGAGAGAAAACAGAGGGATGGAATCGTGTGTGGCTTTGTGTTTCATGATCCCTTTCTTCGTCAGCATGCGAAGCTGAAGTATGAGTTGCCAAGCTTTTTCTCCATGTCCGATGCTACTTGAAGGCCCAAAACTTTCAATAAATATAATCAAATCCAATAACTTATCGCGAATGTATAATCGAGTCCTAAAACTTTTAAAAAGTATAATTAAATCCTAAAAATTTTCAATTTGATCCAATCAAGTCCTTCCTTTTATTACACTTTTTGAAAGTTTTAGGATTCGATTGCACTTTCATAACTATATTATTTTGAAAATATTTGGACTCAATTGCATTTTTGTGATAAATTTTAGAACTTGATTGCACTTTTTGAAAGTTTTATGACTTAATTGCACTTTCGTGATAAATTTTACAACTTCAAATTCACTTATTCTTTAATAAAATTGAATTCCTAAACCTTTTTTTCTTTCACACCATGTTCTTTAAATTTTTTTTCGTCTCGTTAATACCCAAGTTTGTACCGTGGCATGTAATACATTTTCTGTTTATTTGGCCTTTAAGGGTGCGTTTGTTTCGCGGAAACTCAACAATAAAGGAAAATGTTTTCTAGAAAATCATTTTTCACGAATACGCTTAGGATGCGCATGGCAACGATTCTGTGCATGATAACTGATTCTACTCAGAAATGATTCTTTTTTATTCCGTGCTAGGGAACAATTTCTAAGCATTTAAAGGAACTGCCCAAAATTTCTATTCTTTAAATAGAAAAAGAACAGAAATGTGTTTGGTAACTACACAAAATTTCTTTTTAATAATAATATTTTAACAATATTTTGAATTTTTTAATATTTCTTTCTTTCTTTTTTCCTTTTTTTTTTTTCTTTCTTTCCCTTTCCTTCCTTGGCCATGGCCAATTGCCAGCACCGGTGACTGGCCACAAGCTAGGGCCGGCGAGGGCGTCGCGGCCCTCGCCGCCGGTCACGATGGCGAGGTCAACCTCGCCTTGGCTGGTCGAGGCTCGACCTCGCCCAGATCTAACGAGGCCTACCTCGCCGTCGCCTGGGTCGCGACGGCGAGGTCGGCCTCGCCTTGGTTGAGACCTCGCCGTCGCGACCCATCTCTCTCGCCTGGGTTGCAACGGCGAGGTCGGCCTCGCCTTGGCTGGGCGAGGCCTCACCGTTGCAGCGAGGGCCGCGACCCTCGCCAGCCCTGGCCTGTGGTCGATGGTCGGCGACAGGCCAGGAAGAAGAAGAACAAACCAAGAAGAAAGAAGAAAACCAATAAGAATCAGAAATGGAAAAATTGTTTCCAGAATCAAGAATGTACTTTTTTTTGCTTCTTGATTTTGTTCCAAAACTAAATTTGGGAAATTTTTTTTGCAATTTTGTGCCCGAGAACAAAAAATTTAACAAACGGATTCATGTTTCCAAACTGATTCTGAGAACAAAAAAACGGAAATTTTCACTGTTTGGTAATTTGCCAAACGGGCCCTTAGTTTTCCTTTATTTAGTAATCCACAATGGAAATCGTTTTCTGATGTTTGGATTTCATTGGAAAATGATTTTAATCTCATAACTTTATTTTAGGAAAAAAAATAATTTTTAAAATATTTCTTATTTTAAAAAAATCGAATTTTTAATTATTTTTAATTTTCTTTTTTAAAAAAAATTGGAACTTTTTATTATTTTTTAATTTTATTTTTTCTCTTTTTAATTTTTTCTTTTCTTTCCTTTTCTTTTTCCTCCTCCCTCCACTGCGATCACCTAGCAACGGCCACAGGCGAGCTCGAGCTCTCCGGCCTCGGCCGAGACTGGCCTCGGCCGAGACCGGGCTCGGCTGGACGCGGCTCGCTGGCCTCTACCGAGCTCGGTCGGTGGAGCTCGAACTCACCTGGATCTTGCGAGCCGCGAGCTCGCCGGCCTCGGCCGAGCCTCGAGCTCATCGGCCTAGAGCGACCTCGAGGCTCGCCGCTAGAGGCCTCTACGAGCTCGGCGGCCGTCCCCATGGCCGGAGACTAGCCTGAGGAAGAAGAAAAAGAAAATGGAAGAAAAGAAAAGAAAATAATAAATAATTCGATTTTTTTTAAAATAATAAAAATGATTTTTTAAAATAAATAAATAAATAAAATTCGATTTTTTAATTAAATATTTTTATAAAAACAATTGTTTCATTAAGGACTCGAGCCTGAGCGCTGAAGACCTATGCACAGCCTTTGTGGATTCGGGTTGGAGGGTCGGGACTAGAGCTCGAGTATCGGTGACCTGAGCACGGCCTTTATGAACCCGAGTTCGAGTGTCGGAGCATCGGGTATGAGCACTAGGGGTTCGGGCTCTGCCTCAATGGACCCGAGCATGGGTGCCGAGGGCCCGGGCCCTAGACACCGAGGTCTCAAGCCCGGCTGTCAAGACCTGGTCCCGAATTTCGGGACTCGGGAACCAACATGAGGGTTTTCGTGCTCAAGTGTAGAGTTTCAGGTTCAAGCGTCGATAGCTAATCATATTTCGGAAAACGTTTTCCGATTCTTTTAAAGGGGAAATCACTTTTCTGAATTTAAACTTTGGTAAGAAAATATTTTCCGTTGACTTATTTTTCTAAGCAAATCAAACGCCGGAAAATAAGGAAAGTGTTTTTCTGAAAATTGTTTTTTACGAAACAAGGGCACCCTAAAAATCCAACATATTGAGAGTGTGCATAAGCATAGGCTAATAGATTTGACTTGGCTACGCTCTCGGTGTAGTCTTGAAATGACACATCAGGCTCTAAATGATAACCACATCTCTATAATGAAATTGGGACAAATTCTCGCAAAGGGTTAGTGTTTCTTTGAAGATCTTAGCTCCATCTGAAAGAAGAAATCTGTCTACTTGTGTTGAGGGAACCAAGACTATTGAAATGGAGCCTTCAATTCAACTTGTTTCGTGATTACGAGACTCATTTTGTCCGATTCATTGATTGGGTCGACACTTTCAGGTTTTTGCAGGCAGTGAAAAAACTTTGGGATTTCTTTGTGGGAAGTGATGACATTGACGATCTACTCAACATCTAATTTATCGGTAAGCCTACTCACATTTTCTTATTTTTGTACTTGCAGTAGGGTTCCGTGATTTGATTTGATTAACGATTTAGTATCGATATGAACAAAGGTGAAGTATAAACATGTGTTTTTGCTATTCTGTTCCAAAATGAAACACCATTTCAAAATAATACTCCACATGGATGGCGCTATAGAGTTTGGATAAAATGTGAGAAATGCTTATCTCTTCGTAATGGGGGTATAAAGTCTAAATGTTATGGTATAGAATTCTTCATTATACTTTGAAAAGTGGGGTTGTGCATATTTACAAGCAATGGTCAAGCGCTGCAAATCGGTGGGGCTAGCATTAGAAATGGGTAACGTTGACTTTTATGCTGAAGGGAAATTGATAAAGATCGTTGATGTTGAATTAGTAAAACAAAGTCGAGGGTAAGGCCGAATTAGTAAATGAAATTAGGGCTGAAGTTGAGGTTGAGGTTGCAGCAAAATATGAACTTGAGTTTCGAGCTGAGCTAAGGGAAGAGGTTAGGTTTGAAGTTGGTGGTAGGGTTGGACTTGAATGTAAGGGTGCTAGTCGGGGTGAAGCGGATACTTAGGCTGCGCATTGCAACCATTCTGTGCTCGAAAACAGATTCTGATCAGAAATAAAAAAAATTTATTCTGTGCCCAAAAACAATTTCTAAGCATTTGAAGGCGTTCGGTAACTGCCCAAAATTTCTATTCTTAAAATAGAAAAAGAACAGAAATGCATTTGATAATTGCACAAAATTTCATTTTATTAATAATTTGAATTTTTTAATATTTCTTTCTTTTTTTTCTTTTTTTTTCTTTCTTTCCCTTCTCTTCCTTGGTCAAGGCCTGTCGCCGGCGCCGGCGATTGGCCACAGGCTAGGGCCGGCGAGGGCGTCGCGGCCCTTGCCGCCGGCCTCTGAGTGGCGACGGCAAGGTCGGCCTCGCCAAATCTGGGCGAGGTCGAGCCTCGCCCAGCCAAGGCTAGGCCGACCTCGCCGTCGTGGCCACGAGCCGCCCACGCCGGCCCTGGCCTTAGGCCAGTCACCAGCGGGTGGCGGGCCGAAGAACAACAACAAACCAAAAAAAAGAAGAAAATGAAGAAGAATAAGAAATGGAAAAATTGTTCCAGAATCAAGAAGCTACTTTTTTTGGCTTCTTGATTCTATTCCACAACTGATTCTGGGAACAATTTTTTGAAAAATTATGCCCGAGCACAAAAAATTTAACAAACGGATTTCTGCTCCTAAACTGATTCTGGGAACAAAAGAACAGAAATTTTTACTATTTGGCAAGTTGTCAAACAGGCCCTTATACCCTCACCGGGAGTGATGATTTTTAATTTTTTTTTCCTAACTTTTTCCCGGTCGCCGGTCCGGCGACTGGCCAAAGGGGAGGGCTGGCGAGGCCGACCTCGCCGGCCTCGGCGAAGCTCGCCCGCCACCGCCGAGGGCAAGCCTCGCCCGCCCCGCCGGCCACCGGCGAGGGCAAGCCTCGCCCAACAAAGGCGAGGCCAACCTCGCCGTCGCTGGGTCGCGACGGCGAGGTCTCTCCTCGCCCGGCAAAGGCGAGGCCGACCTCGCCGTCGCCTCGACCCGGGCGATGGCGAGGTCGGCCTCGCCTTTGCCGGGCGAGGCGAAACCTCGCCGTCGTGACCCAGGCGACGGCAAGGTCGGCCTCGCTAGATCTGGCGAAGCTCGCCGGTGGCCGGCGGGGCGAGCTTCGCCAGATCTGGCGAGGCCGAGCTCGCCGTTGCCTAGGTCACAACGGCGAGGTCTCGCCTCACCAGCAAAGGCGATCGCTTCCTCTCGGCGAGAGTCACCGGGCCACGTCAGCATCAAAAATTAATAAAAAATACCACGTCGGATTTCCGGCCAAATTGTCACTTAAGTGATCTCTTTTCCTCCGATTTGGCACAAAGTGTTCCGAAAAAAAGTTATAGCACCAAAGTGTCATCCGTACACAACTTATGGCACTTGTAATGTCTGTTTGCCCGATTGGTTTGATTCCCCGAGTTAGCTATTTGAAAACCTTGAAGTGGGCAGAGGTAACGATCGTACGTTCATAAGTCATCAACAAAAGGTAAAATTAATGCACATTGCATTAGTTGTTTCGTAAAAAATAACAGTTGACTGGATATTAAACTCACTTGGTATGCATTTCAATTATGTTTTGCAGGGTCTTACCAATGTAGTTTTTACACCGTCTCCTCGTGCAAAACATAGGGATTGTGCACGGCACACTCACGCGAAATGGATAAGAAGTTGTACAAGGGAGAAACATTTTGACATTACTTATGGAGAGCTGCATATTGATGGCTTGATGGCCATCATGAAATACACACGAATAAACTAATTCTGCAATACGAAATAGAAAGGTACAATAATGCGTTCGTTGATAGGTTGAAAACCAAAGAAGCAAAAAGAAAAATAAATGTAATTATATTAGATCGAAAGAGACCCGAAAAAAGAAAAGAAGAAAGAGGAGAAAAACAAAAGCAACATGATGAAAAAAAGGGGCATTCGACTCTACTCCCTTGCAGCAGCAGCAGCAAGTATTCTTTTGGTCGAGAGATCCGCGGAAGGGGACCCCGCACGAAACAACAAGACGAAATCGCAAGGAGCGGCTTTTCTTTTAGAGCAGCCCACCAGGCGCAACTCCTGCTCACGCCCCGCGCGGGCGGACCCAATTGTTTTTACTCGGAATCGCTTTTTCCTTTTTCCTCGTCTTCTTCAATTGTTGAAAGTGAAATAGAGAGAGGGCATAAAATAACTTGCGCAGGAAAAAACGAAGAAGAAGGAGAAGAAAAGAAACAAAGAATATGAAGTTTCTAGTGGTGCTGAGCGATGCGGTATTGAAATGTACCTCATTTTATTGGGTACAGTATACGGATAATAGGACGTAGATTAAACTTTATAATCTATCTCTCTGGATAGAGAGATTAAGACCTTCGAAATTTCATTCAAGAAAGTATTCGCAATTCACATTAAGGGAAAAAAGAAAAAAGGGAAATATAAGGACCGACTACCCGAGCTTGTCATCACAATCACAGGCATCAAGATATGGCTAGTACGCATCGCTCCGTACATTTCAATATCTATACTAGATTAGATAAGGCCCCGCACGCAAAAACACCAGGTAAATTTAAAAATGAGGCACTGATATTCATCTATAATCTGTTAATTCGTATGACATTGATGCTCGAATTAAAAATCTTTCGAATTTAACCATTCCGGTAGGAAATATTAAATAGCTATTCACTTGATTTTTGTAAGAGCAGATCAAATAAACGGTGATTTGAAATCCGGGATAATGGTACAAATAGTTCTTGAACTTTGGTCCCCAGACTTTTAATTTGTTTAATACAATCTCCGAACTTTACTCCAATATGTAATGCGGTCCCTGATTTTTAGTATGTTCAGTATTGTCCTTAAATTTTCAGTAGATGTTCAATTTAATCCTCAAACTATATAAAAATATTCAATATTGTCATTTCATTAATTTAAGTTCAGAGACAATATTAAAAAACATGTACCTAAAAATCCAGAGATCACATCAAATGATTTTAAAGTTCATGGACTACATTGCACATTGGGCTAAAGTTCAGAGATCATATTGAACAAATTAAAAGTTCATTGAACACATATTATTTATGTCGTTTTCCCTTGAAATCCAAATGAATTAGATAATGAAAAGTGGGCAATTATGACCATATCCTTTTACAATCTATTTTTTCCCCAAATGCGGCATTTTCTTCATCCATCCATCTCAATCTCAAGTGACTCCCCACTCGACCAAAAAAAGTGACTCCCACTCGATATAAAATGATTGCATATGGAATGGATTCTCTTGGGAGCATAGCATGTAATTTCCAAAAATTGTACTTTTACGTGACCAAAAGAGATCAAGGCGAGTAGGTGCGTTGACGCTTCGTTATTGACGCAAATCCAAACTTTCTCTCGTTAGTCAACCGTCGACCTCATCCGTTTTCATTTTCTTTTTTCAAATTTAGAGGAGCGTGGCCGTATTTGCGAAATGACGGAATCACCCTTTTGCTGGAAAAAGTGCGGGGCGCCTCTGCAGTTTCCTAAGTTTTGGAATTTTTGTTTTCTTTTAGGATTCCATGGAAAAGTAGACCCTTTCGCAAGGGGGAAAATAAAAAGAAAGAAAGAAGACAAAACCTTGCTTTTGTTTTTTAAATTTCAAAACTGGACTAGTCCAAATTCCCGAGTCTAATAAGGCCAGAACAAAAACCAAGAAAAATAGACAAAAGGAAAGAGTAAAGTCTCAATCATGACAATTTCTAAACGGTGCATGCACTTCGTGGGCAACATGTCAGTCCACTGATCTTCCCCGTAGCAAGACATCGACCAAGTTTCTCCATTTTTTCCATTTTAAATCTCCAAATTATAGACAAGCACAGAAGTTTATCAAATAAGATAAGAATATAGAAATGATAAACGTTTTCAAATAACGTATCAACACGATACTTGATAACCGAAAAATGTGTGATTTAACTTTTTTTCATAGTTGCATAATATTTTCATGTTGTTGCAATGTGGAACATTGCAATTTCATATAAAAATATTTAAAAATTACTCAAAATGCGATCCAACTCATTTTAGGAACTAAATTTAAATATACTACTGTTAGGTGGACTCTTTTAAAAACCATAATTCTTTGCATTACTTAAAACCATATCATGACTCTTCTTCAAATTTTTCACTCAAAATTTCGAGATTGATGTCTAAATAATAGGTAAAGATAAAGCCGAAATGTGCTTCGCATGCGCGAGGGCAAAATGGTCATTCGGGGCGTGCGACAAATAAACAGTGCCCGAAGTTGGACCCACAAATTCAAAAATTTCGGATCCTATATGACCATCGCCTCCGACTCCTCCTTCCGTCCCCATGATCGCATCTCCCCCCCTTCCTGATCGTCTCTCCCTCTCAATTTTCCCGAGAAAATCCGAGGGAGAACTGCGAGAAAGTTTTGCGAAATCGGGGACTCGATTCCGACGCTCCCGCCATGTTCACGATGAAGCGAGGGATGCTTCGCGGTTCCGCTGCAGTTGGCGCGTTCCGTTAGCTCCGGTCCTCGTTCCGATGAAATTTTTTGTTCGAGAAGCGATGGAGAGTTTTGATTTGAATGCTTCGTGAGATTCTCCCGCCCTGATTTCTCGGTCCTCCGGTGAAGAGAAGGAGCCGATGGATGACGATGAAATGGAAGGACGGAGCGGCGAGGAATGCGATCCTGATTACGAGTTCGACGCGGCTCGTTTCTACGATTTCCGTCGGTCCGAGACGTGCTCGGAGGCCGAAGCCGCCGAGCGTTGGTTTGAATCCGCCGGAACTTATCCGCCTTCGCGTAAGCATCGGATTATCCATCGCAGACTTCTTCTTCTTTTTTTTTAGAAGTGATTTTTTTCTTATCCGCCTGTCGACGATTTTGAGCGCTCTCGTTCATGATTGTTCAACCGAGTGCGTCGTCGATTTTTCCAAGAGTCTGACGTGTTTAGAGACGGCGATCATCTCGTGCGTATGAGATTTCTAATGTATTCTTCGTAGCCTAACTTTCATCCGGTTCGCGATCGTAGAAGGCCATGATGCCTGCCGCGAGCACTCAGAGATTTTCTTCCAGTTCTGTTGTTGTTTTCTTCCACCATCAGTGCTCTGCCTATGACCAACTCTTAACGTTGGCAACCGTTCACGCTTCGCTGCTTTCCAGCTGAAATGATGTGCTCCAAGTGTAGTGTTCCTTCAACAAAGTTAATCCTATTTTTTTCATCTGCCTCCGAGCAGAAGTTTGCGAAGCTGTTGGTTTTTGATGATTTTAGTCGAACCATCTTTATGCCGCTCACCTCGCATTTACTTTTCTGTGTCAGCCTTTATAGTGAAACTGAGGTGGAGCAATGATGATCTGAGAGGAGATGCAGAGACGTCCTCGAAAGTGGATGGTCAAGAAGACATGAATTCTGTCACTACAGACACAGATCATGACATGGACTCGGAGGTTTCAGCACTAAACTGCAGCGACCAAGGTATCGTTTATTTTACTAATCATGTTATACTCCTCTGAACATGGTTCATCAAGGTAGAATTTGACATAGGTTTTAGGAGTCGTGAGTGTCTAAGCTTTTAGCATCTTTTGGCAGTCGGTAGGAAGGCTATCAGTGCTATGTAAATGTTCTCTGTCTTCTTCTTTTTCTTTTCCTCCCTCAAGATGTTGAAGGATTTTCTTGGTGTCATCTTATACTTACCTGCAGCCAATAGGGAGAAAGAGGCAAATAAGCAAGAAGTCTCACGAGGTGATCTTTTTATACTTAAGTGGAAGTTTGCATGTCATTAAGGGTTGCATGGTTTGAGATACATTGTTTGTTTGCCATCGGTGTTTCTAGGAATGAAGCTTCAAATCCTGTTATGTCCTCTTTTCTCATTTGTGTTCTAATCATACAGCGGAAGAGACCCCAAAAGTCAAAACCAAGCCACTGGTGAAGTCATCCTCACCTAGGAGCTCAACTTTGATGAAGCCCACAGCCAGCTACTTGGCCAAGCAAAACTGGAGCCTAGAAGTTCGCTTTAGTAGTTTCTTGAGGTGCCGCCTCCGTTGGATCTGTTGGGCTGGTGAATTTTCCTGTTGGATTCTGTCTTTAATTGTTTGAATTGTCACTCACTCTCTGTCATCTATGTTTCCACATTGAAATTCTAGGTCCGACAAGTTTTCAGTCAAAAATCATAAAACATCTTTGCAGTGCTCACCCCTAAGTGACAATCGAGCGACCAAACGACAAAAGCTAGAAGCAGGCTATTTGCAAAAGGTGCTTTATTTTGTTGTGTAATGACATTCATGGGCATCTTTCATTTCTTTTGTTATATATGAGCCGGCACCTAAATTTTCCTGCTAGTTTTTCCATTTTTTAATTGCAATTGATGATCACTGGTGAATTTTCTATTTAGGTTGCTAATTTGAAGCACCAAACTCCTCTACATCACAAATTATCTTACAAGGTAAGGTACACCATTCGGAGATTTTCATCTTTGACTTCAAGATGGGTCTGAGTCTGGCAAATAATCTGTCATATCCGCAATCAGTTCAATAAAATGGAAATGTTTGCACTATCTTGACCCTGTATCAGGTTGGATATGACATCGACTCAGTGCTCGTTAGACGGAACTTTACAATCCCGAGAGAGTTTTCTTTGGAAACAGCCCGTAGGGCACAAAAACACAGGTGTAAACCTTTCCATCTGGCCAACTATACTGTTTGGAAATGTTTATCAGTTTTCATTTACACATAAGGAAACTTATGGATTAGTTGTAATTTCAAGTTTCAGGTCCAAAAATAGAGTAGAGTCTGGTGAACATGCCAAATCAAACTCGCCAGTTTTGAAGGCATGTCGATTGCATCATAAAGTTAGTGCAGTTTTTTTTGGTTTATAGTCCACTTTAAAAAATTATTCTCATTCAAATTGTATGATCTTAGTACGCATGTTTTGGCCTTGAAGGTACCGTTAGCAACTCTCCATAAGAAAAGTACATTAGGGTTCCAGGTATGCTCTCTGTCAAATAGCATGAAACTTGTTCATTTTCCAGCAAACATTTCTATAACATCTGATGGGGAGAAGTATTTTGTTGAATTGCATATAATAGTTTTTAATGTGGACAATCTGCGTGTTGGAATTCTTCTGAGTCATTATGTCTCTCTTGTTGGCTATTAGGCCTTTACTCTGGAGAATCAAGGTGGTCACATGCTTCTATAATCATGCTAACCTGATTAAAAGACGCATAAGTTGCATATGGTCGTTTATCTCACTATATATAGGAGTTAATTTGTTTGTTTTGGCAGGAAGTTGATGTTTCTTCTGTTTCTGCTTCAGAAAATGTAATGCCAGAAGTTAATAGGTAATTTAGTTGATCACTGTTAATTTTTTAACTAAAGATTCTGAGTTAGGATAAAAACACATAATGTGGAGGAACTACTGTTAACTGCTGGAGCTTTTACCTTTTTTTTTTTTTGGTCGAAGCTGAAGCTTTTACTTTAGATATGGGGAGTTGCTTCATTTTTTAGACACATGTTATTGGGACAACAGTATTGCTCTTTAACCGTTATTGTTTCCTCTGCAGACCGATTTCTGCTGATACTCACAATCAGAAATGTAATATTGTTCCTAAAATTGGAGCTTCAGCAAATAATAAGGTGGTTTCTTTGACTGAATAATACTACGTTGTGAGCAATATCTACTAATTTGTTATATGTCCATGTGATGAATTATGTTGGTTGCCCGTGGTGTTAAAATCTGGGAGTTAATTAAGAAAATAGTCTTCTCCAAAAATTTAAAACAGTCTGTGGAGGGAAATGATTTTTAGACCAGTTTTAATCTACTGCTTCGCTTTCTTTGACATTTTTTGCTTAATCAACTGCTTTTTTTTTTTCCAGGAAACAAAATACCGAAGGAAAAAGCATGATCCACCAGTGGACCTCTTTGAAAAGGTATGTCGAGTTTGAATTTATTTTAAACTACCACTCGATGGTAGCTTCTTCTTTCATTATTTTTTTTTTCCTGAACAGCATCTTCACCACGTTGGAAGCATTGTTAGTTTTCTTTTACTAAACTTTGTCTAGAGTATTGAAGAGTTATCAGGATTTCACTTATTGTTTAATTCTCATGGTTGGTCAGCTGTCCTTAGAATCTAAATTTCATCTGAATTCAAAGACTCGGTCGAAAGTGCCTCCGGTCAGAGAGGTTGGTTCCTCTAAGAAGGTCTTGTTTCTGAATCCCCACTACCTGAGAATGGTTAGCATGATTTTGATGGTCACTGATACAGGTTCACTTTATTTGATGGCACAGGGATTTAAAACAAAATGCGGTGATGTTGATTCAACAGGAATATGAGGTAGACCCTGGACTAGACTGTTCTTCACGTTAACGAAGAACAGCTAAATCAATTCGTAAGTTTGCATCAGATCTCACACAGTTACATCAGCAGATGATAGAAAAGGCGAATTAGATATCACCCAGTGTCATCGGATGGCAGATTCAGTGTGGGAGGGACAAGCAGATTGCTGGAGTCGGACCACAAGCCGGCATTGACAGGTTAGAGGAAGATTTTTCATTTGGGTGAACTTCCATACTAATGCTTGGATTCATCACTGACTAATAACTTTGGGGGTATCAGACGAGGCCAGTCATATCTTCTTGTACCAGCTGTTCGAGATGACTGGATCCCATTGTGGCTTTTTCAACGCGAAGGAATGCCTATTCTTTTCGGCAGAAAGTCGTACAGAGTAGTCATTAAAGATGCATGTGGGTCACCATGATTGTGGCATACACCACCGATCGCAGTACTAGACGCCGCATGTAGGCCTTTGCTTTTCCCATCCACATTTGGAAATGTGATCTGAGGTGCACCTGCCTTTGTGTGCCTTAGGAGCGTCAACATCAGGTGAAGAAGGCATCTACAGAAAATGATCCCAAGAGGTCACCTGGGTATAAAGGAATCGACGGGTAAAAATTGCTCTTATAAGGATAAATGTTGCAGCTCAAATCTTTTGGCATCCGCTGAGGATGGCTGTGCCCAATTACAACGGTACTTCCCATAATTTAAGCCTTTTTACTTGGATGGGATATGCCAGTCTGCAACAACAAAATCAATTTTCATGGCTTTGCCTTTCCACAGTTTGTTTTACCGCGTCGGTCAATAGAATTTGCATGTAAGAGATAGCTGTGCCCTCGTACCTTGTAGAAAATGCAGGCATGAATGATTGGAGAGACATTAGTGACAACTACCTTAGCATGTGGATCAGAATCACAAAGGATTTTTGTCCTCAATCTCCTGCCAGTTATCTATATTTCTTTCTCAAATTATCACGGTCCATAGGAAGTTATATTTGCACACAGTCGTTCCTCGACGGCAGGCATCCAAGTCATGGTGACACTTCATGGCTTAATCTTCAGCCAAATCCAAGTCTCTCATATATGCATAGTCCATATATACAAGGGAAAACTAGGTTCCTTTTTTGTTCTTGCCCAAACATTCAGATCGCTGTTAAAGCACTCTTTATATCATCCCTTCATTGACTGACAGATGTAATTTGGCGTCTACGTTGTCAGTGCAACCTAGCCAAATACCATTGATGTCCCTAGGGGACTCCTTTTGCATGTGCTCTACGACAATTCACTGCATTTAACACTAGACTTCAGGAATGTCACTTGCGCTTTCGCTAAAAGAGCTTGGATCAAACCATATAAAAAATAATGGGGGTGCTATTCCCTGCAGATCAGCTACGTGCTCAGTGTTCATGAGCAGAACACTGAGTACTCTGAGCATCTATAATGCCAATGAAATTGCACAGTAAATTAGAATATATATAGACTTCCAAATAGTTTCTTGCAGGATTTAAAAGAAATTACCAAGGCCAAATGAGAACATGAGATGCACAAAGTACCTGTCATGAGAACAGGCTCCTTTTCTAAGTGAACCACGTGCAGTCATTCATTGCATCATTGGGCAACATAAAAGAGAAACATCCAGCAGGTTCAACCTAGAGAAAATCTACCATCTACCATCTTCACTTTTTACATTTTCCTTTTGCTCTTAACAAAAAGCTAAACTTTACTTAATGTTTCCTCTCAAGTTAAACTAGTCCCACAAGGATCATCCCCCAAAAATTTCGGCTATAAAGGGGAAGGGGTCAGCAATGTTTGGGGGGACAAAAAGATAAACCTCCTCAACGAAGCAATCCTATGCTGTAATTAATCGAGAACACTACCCAAGCAGCTGCATCCTCAACATCTATAAGCCCCTATTTCCTCTTTCTTCCCCAAAGTAGAAATTAGTGTGTACAAAATCTCAAAGGGTGTTCTTGGAAATAACTTCCCGGAACTGAAGAAACCACTGAGCATCCGATGTACTATCCTCCTGATGAACTTGAGGCAGCTGACTCATCAATTGCTGCTGTCCTTTGTTGTTTATAACGAACCGTGCATAGTCTATGGTCTTGATAGAGCCAGAAGAAGGCTTCGTGGCCGGCGCTGGAAGGAGAGAGACCAACACCCTTGCAACCTCATGCATTGTCGGTCGCTCTGAAGGGTAGCGCTTAGTGCACAATAGAGCAAGCTGGAATACCTTTTTCACAAGCGATATATCCATGCATGTGACAGAGACCTCAGGATCTACAGCTTCCATTACTGTGTTATTATCAGCCTTGGACAGTATCTAGACATGTGAAACGAACAAGACAGCATTAAGATATTAGATATAACTGTTCATTTTAGGACTACGGCGAGGTACACAAGAAAAGGCCGTACCATTTGAAGCAAATTAGACTCATTATCAACAGCCTTCTTCCCTGTCAAGAGCTCCAATAAGACAATACCAAAGCTGTAGACATCCGATTTTTCAGTCAGCCTAGATGTCCGGGCATACTCAGGGTCAATGTAGCCAATTGTTCCGAGCACATAAGTCGAGGCATGTGTTTTTGCAGTTGGGAGGCACTTAGCAATTCCGAAATCTGATAGGTGAGCCTTGAAATTCTCATCAAGCAGGATGTTAGAGGATTTAATGTCCCTGTGAATTATCCGAGGATTGCAATCGTGATGAAGGTACGCAAGTCCCTGTGCCGCCCCAACAGCTATTTTCAAGCGTGTCTCCCAATCAAGTTTTACCTTCTTTGGTGGTCCTATTAGAAAACAAGACGAAATTAGTCTCGAAGTTGTGTTTCCAAATTAGTCACAAAGAAAAAGGGTTTCAGTATTGGTCACCCTTTGGAGGAGTTATGCTGTCATACTATGAAAATGTCAGGATGCATCTTGTTACTAACCGGCAAACAATTAGCATGAAACAACATAATTGAACAAAAGAGTTCCAGAATTAGAGCTAACCGTGAAGAAGATCCCACAGGGAACCATTTTCCATGTAATCATAGAAAAGGAGATTTCCATAAGGAGACAATGCATAACCATGAAGGCTGACAACATTCCTGTGTCTGATACTTCCAATGGTTTCAAGCTCAGTCTCAAACTCTTGCGAATTGTGAGGATGCTGATTGTAAAGTCGCTTAATTGCTATTGGCCGGGAATTCTTCAATACACACTTGTATACTGTACTTGAAGCACCGTATCCAACAATATACTTTTCACTTAAGTTCTCAGTGATTCTCATTATATCATCTAGCGTATGGATAGCCATATCCATGTGAAGAATAACAAGTTTTGGAGGACCTAAAAAAGAGACAGGTTCAAAGGGTAAGTATCATAGGAAAGAAATGCATGAAATTTCAGTTGCTGTCCCAATGTAAATGGAATGCACATAAAATTTGATTACACTGCATGGTCGTCTTGCAATTCTTCACCGGTTGATCCGGGCGCTTGGACTTGTAAATGGTGACGATTACCATGCATAACAAAGTGAGAAATCCCACCATCGTACAAACAACTACAGTTTTGGAGAAAATTCCTGGGGCGCAAGTTATAAAGAATTGATTTATCATAAGTGTTGGACAAAAGAATGACGGCACAAAAATATCAGACGATATCAGGCCATTACCTCGGGGTTTTGGCACAGAACGGTAACATATAGAACCCACCCAATCACCACACAATAAATCATTCCCTATAAAACTGAAGCAAAATATCCATTAGTGTAACTATAACACAAAACTTGCAAGCATAAAATCTCTTGATTCTTTTACCTGTTGGGAGGAAATCGTGAAAAGTTTCGAAGAGCCGGTACAACTCCTGATAAGTTGTTGTAGGATACATTTCTGAAATACAAGCATCATGCTCAGGAAAGCTTTGAATAGAACAGTGAGGAAAAGAAGTTGAAATTTGGAATGAGAACACACAATACGGTGAGACTGAAACACTTGCTAAGTTGATCCGGAATCTCTCCATCCAGGTTATTGTTATTCAGTATTCTGTCATACAATAGCAAGGAAGACCAAGTATGACTTTGCAATTTCGCAATGTCCAAATATATATTGGAGACTCATCCAAAAATATATGCAATAAAGACATAATATGACCAATTACAAAAAATTAGCAAGGCACCCTACAGAGATACAATGTTCTGCAACTGGCTCAATTCTGCAGGAATGGTGCCAGAGAGATTGTTGAATGACATATCACTGCAAGAGAACCATTACAGTGGGTATAGGTGTGAAACGCAAAGAAAAAAATCACCGAAGAGAAAGAAAACGCTGAAAAGGAACTGACATGATCTGTATGCTCCTGAGATTCCCAAACTCTGATGGCAATGGCCCATCAAGATGATTTCTGCTTAAGTTCCTGATAAAAGCCATTGCAAAAAATTACTGCTATAAGATGAGTTCAATGAGCATAGACGACAAGAAGAATATAGCAAGCCCACAGCCTTACAGCGTGAGAAGATGCTCCAGATCACCAATAGAAGGAGGAACCACCCCTGTAAATTTGTTTTTTGAGAGATCCCTGTGATCAGAGCTACAATAAGTTCCTTGCATCAGAAGATTAACCCCCAAAGAAAATCTAACATCAAACCATACAATGTATCAAGATTGATGGTACGCCCCAGTTCAGAAGGTATGCTGCCATTAAAATTGTTTGCTGAAAGATTGCTGCAAATTGAGTCATTTTTGTCACTTAAATAGTATGGACACTTCTTTGAGTTAATCAGAACGATTGAAATACTCATACGAGTATTTTATCAGACATACAGGTAAGTCAAGCTCTCAAGATTTCTGAAACCAGAGGGAATAGAACCGCTAAGGTGATTTCCATGCACATTCCTGTGATGCAAGAAAAAGAAATAAAATCAATGGATGATCGCCATGGGTATATGTATGAATTTACATGGCAAAGCCAAAACTGCGGTGACTGAAAAACATATAATCATCTTACAATTGATTTAACGCTGTGCAAGAGCTTATATTACCAGGGATTGGTCCTTCAAGGTTATTGTTTGCAAGATTCCTAGCCATGTATCAGCATTTCACGATCAATCAGTTGATCAAAAACTTAGTAATCATAATCATAGATCAGCAAACAGAAATGACATAGGAAACTCACAACTCAAACAATTGCTCTAGCTTCCCAAGTTCTGGAGGAATAGGACCATCAAGCTGATTATCATTCAACTGCCTGGAAGAAGGCGGCATATGAAAAACTCCAGAAGTCAACCGAGTATAATCTAAAGAGTTCACATGGCAAGAAGTTTCTTACAAATAACTGAGTTTTGACATATTTCCAAGTTCTGGAGGTATCGGTCCACTAAGCTTATTCCCATGGAGATACCTGTCATACAATATGCATGAACTAAGACCTCAAGACAGAAACAAGGGCAAGATTAACAATATCCCAACAATGAACTTACAACTTTCCAGTATAGGACAGGTTTCCAAGTATTGGGGGAATTGGTCCAACTAATTCATTATCACTCAGATCTCTGCAACAAGGACATGGAATTAATAATCCTATTAAAAGAAAAAAGGGTTATTCAACAAAATCTACATTTTTTGACTATCAACAGAAAAAATGAAGTTTGAAGGTACATTGTCACTTCAGATAAAAACAGATAAATCAAAAGATTTTGAGATACGTACAGAACAGCCAGGGCCTGCATCAAACCAATAACTTCAGGAATTACTCCAGTTAGCCTATTCCCTTGCAGAGACCTGAGACAGCATATTGTTTATTCGTAGCCGTAACAAATCATAAGACTGCAATTATGTCTGGCGAACATGAAAAACTAGTTATAATGTGCAAGAGTGAAGCTTACAGGGTGGCCACTTGCAGAAAGCCAACATTGTATGGGATCTCGCCAGTTATCTGATTGTATGAAATATCCCTAAGGCAAACATCATCGTTGATTACGAATACAACCAAATAACAACGATAACAAGCCAATGAAAGAGAAAGTGACTTACAAGATCTCAAAACTAGTACAGTTACCGATGTTGTCTGGAATGGTGCCAGTCAAGTTATTGCCCCTTACATCACTAGAAATATCAGAAGCATACGGAGTAAAAGATCAATAATACGGAGTATTTTCTAAACAGAAAGCATAGAACCACCACGATTATCAGCAGCGCCAGTTATCACTTACAAATACCAAAGACCAGTCAGTTGACACATATCAGGGGATAGCATACCACTCAAAAAGTTTCCACGTAAACCCCTGTGGAATTTCAAAGCACAATGAACGTTAGTGAAAAATCAAAGACTTGCAAGTTAATAGTACCAAATCACTTCATCCAACACTACATCAGCTGAATAGCAGAATGTAACGAAAACAGACAGTTTAAATTAGTCACATTTTCAACACTTACAGATATTGCAATACTTCATTCCAGTAAATTAGCCTTGGTATCTCTCCTATAAGTTGGTTCCGAGCAAGGTCTCTGAGGCACAGAAACAAAAGATAAATGGATGAATAAGAGAGACCGGTGGCAAGAGATATAGCCCATGCATTATACAAATTGAGTACAGATCGAACTAACAGAGTTTTTAGGTTAGGAATTTGCGTAAGGGTAGAAGGAATGGGACCAGTCAACTGATTGTTCTTCAAATTTCTGCATGAAAACAGTTGATATGCAGTGATCAGCGTGACTTCATCTAAATCCTACAGTATATGTACCAAATGGCATCATTGCAACCATTACTCACAGAAGCTCGAGTTGCTTAAGCTTAGAGATCGAGTATGGAATGTCTCCATAAAGCAAATTATCAGATAGATCCCTGCAATTCAAATTCAATTAAACTAATGAGCATCACATATTTAGATGACAATATAAAAATAATCACGAGGAAGACAGACGTTTCATACAAGTACACCAGAAGAGAACAGTCTCCTATTTCATCAGGGATTTGGCCTGTCAACTCGTTACCCTGTAACTCGCTGCCGTTAATAAAAAAAAATGAGAATCTAAGTGAGGAAAAGATAGCGAAACTGTTTGATGCACATATAATCCAAGAGCAAACTAAAATAGTGAAAAGAACACGTCATACATTGACTCCAAGTTTCTCAAATCCCCAATGGCCGGTGAAATTTCGCCTCCTAGGTTTAGGTTAGATAGATTCCTTCAGCAACGAAACCATAACCACAGTAGACGCATCAGAAAATCTCTTACACATATAAATATTCATCAGCGTCATTCTTCAGCTAAAACACAGAGCAACTGCACTGCGCAAGGGAGAAGAGGAGCTCACAAGGACACGACCGAGAGGCTAACGTTGTCGCAGAGCACTCCTCGCCAAGAGCAGAAGTCGCCATTGTCCGCACCGTCCCAGCCGAGCAACACGTTAACCACGTCGCTAAAAGATGCCTTGACCGTCATCAAAGCTTTTCCTGCTTAAGTCATCAAACCGTATTACAAAGCCAATACAGAGTCGTCACACGGAAATGGTAATGGAAATCCAACGCTCGAACTAAGTGCTATCAAAATGTTCACAGGCAATAATCTACCGGCAGAGGATTATTCCTTCTTCACTTATAATATAATGATGAAAACGAGGAAACGAATGTCTCGAAAAGCAGAAAGTCGGAAGTCGGACTCTAGTCCACGCTGCACTCGACAAGTAACTAGTGAAAGCGGAGACACGAAACGCATGGCGAAACAGAGGCGTGGCAACCCAGGAACTAGCGAAGGTCAAGACAAAACATGCGCTGGAAACCTGGAGAAAGATCAGGCGTTACGAAACGAGCGCGTTCTCTGTCCAGGCGTCACGAGCTAAGCGAAGAGAGAAACGTTTTCGACGACGGAAGACACGAGCGACAGCGGCGAGAGACGGCGAGAGACGTCGAGAGAGAAGAAGGACCTTCGTCGTAGAGCGCCGAGGCGAGAGGGCAGCGGAGCGCGAGCGCGAGCGCGGCCACGACGGCGAGAGCGAGGACGAGCGGCGGAACCTTCCTTCCGCGACGGAACGCGAGGTCATCCGCCATCGGCACAACCGGAAGAGAGAATGGTGAATGGAGAAGAAGAAGAAGGAGCGGCGAGCGAAAAGGTGACTACTGGTCGTCTTCTCTGCTTCTCCGGCCTCAGCTCTCGCCGAGCCTATCCGCCAAGCGCATAGTACAGTAGAGAGAGAGAGAGAGCAGCAGGCGTTTGGCGTGAAGTGTAAGGCAGGAGTGAGCAGAGATGTTATGAAGCGTAGGGAGAGAGAGTGGGGAATGCTCATGCATTTGCTGTTGTTTTAGAGAGAGGTGGGGAGGGGGGGGCAAAAAACTAACGGCGGAGACGGGACGGAGAGGATCGCTGACGAGCCTCACCGGGCCATCATTCGTACCTTCGTTTCCCAACGCGAAACACCTCCTACGTTTTCCGATACTGCCCTTCCCCGTAACGGACCACGTGCCCCGCGTATAGCCCGTCCGCCATTATTTTTCTGCCGCAAAATTATTCATTTGCCAATTAGCCAAAAGAGAAGGGAAATTTGGATGCAGGCTGTGCAGCTGCTTCGATCACGAAGGCCCAGCATTAAAAGGACGCTGCTCCGGTTCGTATAAAGCTGTCTCTTCTTTGCTGCTGTACTCCCTCTCCCCTTAGGCTCAGCTTTATTTTTTATATTTTTTTTTATATTTTATGTTTTATGCTGAAACGGCAGAAAAGAGATTGGGGAAAAAAGAAAATCAGCGCGGGACATATATGCTCCGATGGCTAAAATGATCGTGCAGCACAGAGTGCGGAGCCACGTCCCTCCATCGGAGCCGTCTCGGGAAGCTAAGATCCATCCCCAGCCGTCGGATCTACGCGCAGCGCAGCCTCTCGCTATGGGAATAATAAAGGGGGGAAACTTTTTTGACTTATCCACGTTTTTGCCACGTTTATGTTAAAGACCAGCCAGACCAAAAAAAAAGAATTTGTTAAGTCCGTTTGGCAATTTGCCAAATAATAAAAATTTCTATTATTTTATTTCTAGAATCAATTTGAGAACAAAAATCCGTTTGTTAAAACTTTTGTGCCTAGGCACAATTTTGCAAAAAATTATTTTCAAAATCAATTTTGAAACAGAATCAAGAAACAAAAAAAAGTAGTTTCGTGATTCTGAAATAATTTTTCCATTTCTAATTCTTCTTCGTTTTCTTCTTTTTTATTTCTTTTTTCTTGGTTTGTTGTTCTTCTTCTTTCCGGCCTGCCGCCGCCTACCTCCGGCCAACCGTCAGCCACCGGCCACCGACCACCGGCCATAGGCCAGGGCTGGCGAGCGCAACTCGCCATGGCTGGGCGAGGCTCGACCTCGCCTAGATCTGGCGACGGCGAGGTCGGCAGCGAGGACCGCGACGCCCTCGCCGGCCCTGGCCCGTGGTCGGTCACCGGCGTCGGCAACCGGCCACGGCCAAGGAAGGGAAGAAAAAAAAAGAAAAAAAAAGAGAAAGAAATATTAAAAATTCAAAATATTATTAATAAAAAGAATTTTTGTGTAGTTACCAAACGCATTTCTGTTCTTTTTCTATTTTAAGAATAGAAATTTTGGGCAGTTACCAAACGTCTTCAAATGCTTAGAAATTGTTCCCGAACACAAAATAAAAAAAATCATTTCTAAGCAGAATCTGTTCTCGGGCATAGAACGGTTGTCATGCACAGCCTAAGGTCAGCCAAAATCCATCTCTCTCCTGTTTCTCTTCGTGGCACGAGGGGCATGTCCATGTCCGGGTCGCTGTAATGGCCAATTTTTCTAATCGCAGAAGCCACTCGCCAATCTCTAACTTCTGACCTGTTGGTAAACTTGTGAATAAATTGAAGTGGGGGGAGTAATTGAAGTTGACATTTTTTCTCTGTGCAATCAATAATTACTTTGACTTTAACTCTCGTAGAGAATTAACTTTCGTGCAATCATTTAATGAAACAAAATCGTACCATGAGAAATAGATATAGACATATGCATATAATGGCTGATTCTATTTTCTTCGCTACGTTTGTTCGTATACATTTAATTTTGAAGGAAAAAAAAAATGGGATAGTCAGACTTAGATCATGGGGCAATACTTGATTTTGTTCCAAAGGGCACGATACTTGGGAACAATTTTGTCCTAAAAGGTTTGATACATCAAAGAGGTTATACTTGTTATATTAGGTAGATACAACATTGAAAATTATATCTAAATAGTCACGACCCTTACTTATTAACACACTCGTTCACTTCATTAGGTTTTGTAATGGACCAAAGGAAACTTGAAAATAAATAATGACGAATTCATATTTGTCCCTTTCTTCATCTCCATCATGCTATATTTCTTTCGAATTTATGGACATTGTTGAAAATACCTTGAAGTGCGTCAATATCGTGTTCCCATGGTTTCATTGTATCATGAAATTAGTATCTCCAATTGAAACGTTCGCACAATAGCGAGGAAAAATAACTATTTTGAAGAAAGTTTCCTGTAGTGCGTTGCCTCAATCTATATTCCGATGTTTTCTTCTTTCGAATGCAATCTTCTTCATTTTCTATTCTAAATTTGATTTACATTTTATGTTTGTAACCTTATTCCACAACCTGCATGCCCTCCTAAGTCCTAATGGAAAAAAAAAGGGATCTTGTGCTTGCTTAACAACACAAAGAATGGCCATGTACTCTGAATGGTAAATTATAAACATTCATATTTAATTATAATTAATATTGTATGTCAATAAATTTTAACTCATCAATTAAAACCATATGAACATATAGAAGAAAATGCATGAAAAAGAAAAATGCTACCCGTCACACGAACTTAGTAAGCATTAATCGAGGCATTTTAATAATAGCCGATTTCAAACAATGAATTTGTATCTCGTCAACTAGTAAATCACTTTGTTCGGTTGAGCAATATTGTATCCGACACAGCATCTGTCTCTTTTCTTCCGGCGCTGTGTCGTGTTAGGGCCTGTTTGGTAACCGGTCAAATAGTACTTGAACAAAAGAAGAACAGAAATCCGTTTGGTAAATTTTTTGTTTCCGAGCACAAATTTATTCTCAAAATTAGCTTTGGAACATAATCAAGAATTAAAAAAAATTGATTCTTGATTCTAGGAACAAGAATCAGAACATCGAAGAGAATATTTTTTTTCCTTTTTCTTATTTCCTTCTTAGCTGTGACCGGTTCTTCTTCTTTCCTGGCCGATGGTTAGCGACCGGCCACAGATCAGGGCTAATGAGGGCGAGGGCTGGACCCTCACTAGCAAGGGTGGGCCTCGCCTATGTCCAGCGACCTGGCCATGGGTCATGGAAGGAGAAGAAAAAAAATATCTATTAAAAAATTTAAAATGTTATTAATAAAGAGAAATTTTGTGCCATTACCAAACTCATTTCTGTTCTTTTTTTATTTTAAGAATAAAAAAATTTTGCCATTATCAAATGCCATCAAATGCTCAGAAATTATTTTCGAAAATATAATATTTACCAAACGTACCCTGAGTGAGTTTTGCATGAGCTTGTGCGAATCCCAACAAATCGAGACGCAAGTTCCTGGGAATTTCGTTCCGGTGCCGGCGAACGAACTCCGCCGGGAAGACAGTCTGTCCCGCAGACGCACGCGACGCGAAACCTCCACTGCCGGGACGACGCGTGGCGAGATTTCAGGGGACCTGACAGAGACAGTAAAAGGTCGCAGGTCGCGGCCCCCAAAAGCATGAAGGACACAGGCGGCGACTTATTCAAACTCGCCGGAGGCACGCCGTCAGCCGCAGCCGACCCGAGAATGTGGGCCCCGAGGGCGGAGAGAGAGAGAGAGAGAGAAAGACTGCGACACTGCATTTAATTTTAAATATCGGGGTCCCTCAAAAAAGATGGGCCTCTTTGATGTGATGTTGGCTTTCCATCGTGTCAGCGTGGCTTTTCTTTTGAATTGTTTTTTTCTGCTCTTTTCCTTATTTCAACGGTTTTATTATTAAATTAAATAAATTAATCTGAGAATTTAATGTTGTTGTTGTGCGGGAAAAGGTCGTAAGAAGAACTCTGGAAAAGTAATCATTGAGGTGAGATTCACCGGTTGTCTTATCCCCGGAGCCGTATTTCCACGTGGACTAAACCGGAGATTCCAAGTTCCCATAAAAAGTAAAACGTCGTTAATATCTGCAACTAATGTCCTTTTGACGAATATTTTATCGAGTCAAAAAATTCAATTAATTATCTAACGAGCGTCTGTAACCAATCGCTGATAGTATTTCCTTAATAATCGCTTGATCATGGGATTTGCTTGGGATTAGTTGTTATGACTTGGCAAGCTTTTGTATTATGTGTACTCTTTAAACTTTTAATTCCATTAATTTTTGTGAATTTTTGCTATTTACCGAAAAAGAGTCACAAAAAATTTCGAACCATACCTATTGTAACATATTCACCTTGAACTTTTTTTATGACATTAAAAATTTCAAAACATGTCAACTATAACATATTTACCCTTAACTCTTTTATGTGACACAAAAAAATAAAAACTTGTACTTATGTAATACATTTATCCAATTGAAGGTTTCGTTGGATGAATTTTGAATCAAAACAACGTCGTTTTTATTTCACTCAAATCATGTGAGCGTTATGTCAATATTATTTACTTTCTAACGTCCATATGGGCAATTTTTCACGATTCTTGTTTACAAAATTTTGACGAATGATAAACGTGTTATACAGGTATGAGTTTATAATTTTTTATATCACAAAAAATATTTAGGATAAATTTTATTATAATGAATATAATTTAGAGTTTTTAATGGCTTTTGTAATAAAGATACTGAGCATTGCAAGGTCTGTTTTTATATTTTTCGTGGCCAGTTTGCTTCCTGCTTCTGTGTGTAAGGATAATGATTATTCTTTTGTTTTTATGTGCGAAGGGGAAGTAGATCAGTAATTACACCTGTCCGCTGGTGCTGTTTGGATGGCAATTTGACGGGCGGTCAAAAGTCAAAAGAGAAGGTCCGCCGAGCGTGACCAGACAAAAACAGTGTTCCGTTCCATTACAGCGGTACAAACCGCCAAGCCAAGGCCCAACACAACACGAAACCGGAACGAGATTATGCGCGAACGAACGGCGAAGGAAACGAAAGATTGGGTTGGGGGGGGGGGGGGGGGGGGGGGCCACCAGCGCTTTGCACAGAGAGGGGGAATTGAAGACGGGATTGATTATACGCATCATAGGACCCGTGAGTGGGGCTATCAGCTACCTCCCTCCTCCCCCACCCTACACGTTTACACTGCTTCTAGGTCCTTTGCATTATGCAGTTACTATTATTGAAAAAAGTGATGAAAATCATGTCGCTTCTTTACTTTTCGCAACAAATAACGCTCCTCCATATTTGAGAATTTACACAATTATCTTCCTCGCACTTTACGATAGATATTAAGTTCCATCTCTTGCCTACACATCAAATCGTTGCTTCAAACGGCCGTGGCCGCTCTTTCACCTCACTTGAGAGGCTTATTCAGTCGGTCGCACCCGCTCCCACGTCTCCCCTCTCCACCACGAGTGCCACCGTTGCTGTTTCGGAGGCCATCGCCGCCTCAAATCGTAGGCTGGTGACGGTTGTTGCGCTAACTCAAGGCTAGGTTGAGGTCAAACAAAATATACTTGCTGGCCATGACCACCGTGGCTAAGCTATGTGTAATGGATAATTATCTTTTAAAAATTGTTAAGTAATTAATTTAAGAAAGTTTCACAAATTTTAGATGCACTATGTGTAATGGATAATTATCTTTTCAAAATTGGATAGTTTTGAATAAAATAAACTTAATAAGCGATTAGGAGCAATAGTTACTGATGTATATTTTTATTTGTAAAAGGGTGGAAAGTGGCGGGCCCTAGTGACTCTTTCCAAGCATTCTCGTAAGGAGTTTACCCTCGTAAAGGAATGTTGAGTTTAAATCCTAGTTATTTCAGACAATCACCGATCTAAAGGTCAAAGGTTAGCAAATTCGTTCTCGCAATCCTATCAAGATGCTTGCAATTCAAAAATTTATGCTTGGCACTGAAAAAGGGAGGAAAATCTCTTTCGCTAGATATCCCTCGCGATCTTCTTCTTTTTCTAAAGTAGGAAATCAAGTCTGATTGTGCCCGAGAGGCTAGAAATATAGATGCAAAAAAAAAATGAAAACCCGAAGTTTCAGCTCGGGTTATTTGAGAGTCAGGTAGAGTTTGAGTCAGCGAGAACACGCATCTCTTATGGGATTGGGTTGGGTTGGGTAGCATGGAAATCCGACCCGATCCATTGACACCCCTGCTTGGCAAGATTAGTTGTTCAAATATTTGCTCGTGATGCAAATCAAACTACCGACTCCACGGAAGATACTTCATATTCAACTAATTATTAGTTTTCAATCTCACGTCATGCGTGCGTAAGATTAGTTTTCATTTCTTGTGAAACATAATGACTCCATAGGAGAATTCATAATTTAAAATGAGAGAAGCATTCTAAAGTTCCCATTGGATGCAAGGATGAAGTTGGTTCTTTCATTTCCAAGAACAATTAAGAAATTTTGTCGAGTTACATATTCTTAGTGGAAATTAAATAGTTAGACTTCTTAATTTCGCCTTTTATTCTTCTGTTTTTCTATTCAAAGCTACAATTAGTCTACATTTGGTAGTCGGGATGATTGAAAAGAGACGATCCTATGCGATGCCACGAAACATATCCACGTGTTGCCCATCACATGCCTTAAAAACATCACGTGCAACACGTGTCTTTTCCGATCATAATTTATAATTATTATTTGCATGTGGAAGTACGATAAAATATTCACAACATCCCATAGAGTAACCTTATTAACAACACCCTCTCGCTTCTGCAAATTTTCAAAATTGCCCATAATTTTGTAAAAAATTACCAAGATACCTCTGTGATGCCTAGTTTTGCCATTTTCACATTTTTCCCCTTCAAGATACAATGCAGCCTTTTAGCAATACTTCAAACACATTTTAGGCATGTGGGAAGCTTTTTTTCGAGTCAAACAATCACAATGGCTTAACACACAATTATTGAAACTTAAATACCCATAGAGTAAAATCTAGACTAAATGAACAAAAAATCAATCAACAGAATTCAAGAATACTAAGTAGATCATTCTGACTTAATCCATAGAGTTTTCACTTATCTTTAATGAAGCTTTTAACAAGCAAAGCCTTTAATCACCTTGAAATCAATATAGACACTAAGATTAACAACCCCCGTTCTTTAGAAGACAACAAAGCTGGTTTGATAAAAGAAAGCGAAGTCCATGAATAAAACTAATATGACACTAGATTGAAAGTGAGAGTTTAGACTTCGATTGGGTTGAGTAAAACTGGAATGGGAAAATTTGAACTTGAAGATGTTAAAAAGATGGAGTTGCATATTTCAAAAGAGGAAATGGTTATATCTCTCTCTTGTCTTTCTCTTTTACTCTTTATCGAAGAACAAATTTAACTCACATTTATCAACTTGGGTTAAAAACAACGATATCAATAAACTAGAGTTAGTAATATATGTAAAGTTACGTGGGTTAAAAACAATATGTCATGCATGAGGTCATCTTATAAGCAGGTTCAATGGATTCAATCAAGAGCGTGTGGTTGAGGTGAGAATTAAGACATTTGTTCAGGTAAAAGAGGTAACAAATGATATGTTCAGTTCTCAAGAGCGAGGTAAAAGACCATATCCTCTTATTTTCTTTCTCTTCCTCTTCCGTAGCTCTTTTTTACGTTGAAGCTTTGCGACTTCTCCATACAACTCTTTTTCCACGAAGACCGACGAAAGAGTGGAAGTTGTTTCTCCTCCATAGCTCTCTAGTTCATTCTTTTTGTCTTGCTGGATTTGACATTCACTAGTTGATCTATCTGGACGATGTCTCTATAACTCGTCTACATTTTTTATTATAGTCAAAATTGTGACTTTAGAATGCCGCAGTGATCTCCTTCACTATTTATGGTTTAGATCACCTAATAATCATGGCTTGATTGCTGGAGATTGTCTTTGTTTGTGTATGTGTGGTTAGTAGTGAATCTCGAGTGATTCTAACCATCTCCATTTGTGCATTTTCATATTAATTTATACCGACAAACACTTCCCACCAAACAATGGAATTGATATGATGCGAAAATATCTGACTTTATAATTGTGATTCACCAAATAGTTTATAGAATATAGCAAAATTCCTGGATTCTATGTCCCACCCTATCCAATGCTTGCTTCTTATGATTTTTTTAAAAAAATTTATTGCTAAAACACTTTCATGCTAGTTGACAATTTTTATAATTTTTTTGAGTTTTTGATTTTTTTCCCTTCTAAATCTGACGAGGGCCGCGGAGACCGGGATGACCAGCGGCAACGAGAGGCGACCAATGATTCAAGTTAATAAATTATATCTATCACAATAAAAGTTAATAAGTTAAGTAGTTCGATATGAGTTTGTTAAATGGGGGTTGAACATGGGTTTATTGCAAACCAATATAGACCCATGTAAAATTAGGCTTTAATGTTGCAAACCCATTTTGACTCATTTTTAAATTTTAAGTGACCCATATTCAACCCGGACTCACTAAAACCGAGTTAATAAATAGGTTTGTGATCCATATTGCCACCTCCAGCGCCATGTCAACATTATTTGTTTTATTGCATTCATGTAGGCAGATTTTTAATGGTTCTCATTGACAGAATTTTAATGGAGGGTAAACGTGTCACACGAGTTACAAGTTTAGAATTTTTGGTGTCACAGAAAAAAGTTTAGGTTCTATAAGGCTGCAATGATTTTTTCTTTTGGTCGCTACGAGGCTGCAATAATTTCTTCGGCGATCTTTCTTTGAAGAGCTGGTCAGTGGTTATCGTCAATAATACGGGCCATGGATTTCGTCGATCGTTTGGACCAATTCCTCCTCGTTGGTCTCTCTCTTTTTCTTCAAAACATCAATTTGGGCTTTCACAACAAGAAAAGCCCGCGAGTACGGTCCGGTCCTCTGGCCCACGACACTCCGGAATCGCATATTCGCGCCACCCTTTTGGAACTCATCACCCCTCCTGCAGTTGACACGTGTCGCCGCTTGCATCTGCTCGATCGCCCATCATCATCGCCACCATCCAACGAAGCGTGCTCGCCACAGGTTCTTACACCCCACCTAATTCCCTCAACCTTGGGGAAAATAAAAGGGAAAAGCGGTTGACGGTCATCCGTCACTCCGCAGAGAAGTAGTGGAGCTCCTTCGCTCTGCTCGAGCTCGTCATCCATGGCGTCGATTTTGAATCTAGCAGGCGCAGGGCTTTTGTCGTCGGTGGCGGCGCCGGGGCGGAGCAGGGACGGAGGATTCGCCGGTGCGGTCGGGAGCGCGAGGACGAGACGCGTGGTGTCGGTGAGGGCGGAGGCTCAGGCCATAAACCCCGAGATCAGGAAGAGCGAGGAGAAGGTCGTGGACTCCGTCGTCGTGGCCGAGCTCTCGAAGCCCCTCACTGCTTATTGTAGGTAGGTCGCCGATGTGGCTTTCGATTTTGAAGCTCACCGTTTCGAGTTCGTTTCGCTTTCCTCGCTTTTGGTGTATGGTTTTGCGCAAGTGCGGTGGAGTTATTCCTGGACAAGGTTGGTGTGATTAGCAGTTACTCTCGTGGACCTGTTCCGGCACTTGCGTCGGCTGATTGTGAATGAAACCGCGCATTTGAATTGGCCCTTGCAAGAGAGAGGAAATTGCGTCGGTTCATTCTAATAGTCCGAGTCAATTACATCACAGAAAAGCGTGGGAGGGACCTGTAATCCGACACTGTACATGACGTGATGAAAGATAGACATCACATGTTTGTTATTTCACCGAAATTAGCTATGTCTATCCAGCTGTTCAACTAACTTGGAATATGATTATATTTCCGCTGCTACATGCTGTCGTGGCAAATTACCCACGGAGGAGAGACATGACTAATTGTGAAAATGAAATGTAAGCATTCTCTTCATCTGCATTGATGAATGGCTGGTGAATGGTGTCACTATCCCTAATTGCTCAAGTGCGAGTTCGTTTTCTGGAATGGGGATAATGCATACTCTGGAGGTGCATTTGGTATGTGGGAGTGGAATGCGGGATGGATGGATGGAAATGGGCGTGAAGATGGACAGCATTATTGAATTCGGTCGCGGTCGTAACTCGTAAGAGGAAAGATAGAGAGAAATTTCAATCTTCCTATCGGTTTAATCATCTCGATATTGTTATGGAACGAGGGGAAATTTACCTTCTCGATTTACTGTATGAAGGACTTCTCTTGGGAATCTAAGGGCATAGTAAACTGCATTAAACTATGTATGTGAACGATTAAGATCAGTTGATCCAAGTGGACTCCATTGGCATTGTTTATAGAAACTCAGTGATTTCATCTGGTGGATAGTAAGTCATATCTTGATGAAGTCAAGAAATCTGCTTCAAACAGAAGTGACAATTTTAGCATAATGCGTCCTCCTTATGAGTCTTTTGTTTTTATCAATTTCTTTTGCTTGGAAGGAAGATCGTTTTAGTATAGTACTTTCCTGCATACGTTTCTTGGATTGGTTGTGACGCTTGTGCAGGACGGCTTAATGACTAGGGATTTACCGACTTTATTGCACTGTGTCGGTTCACAGATAATTGGTTGAAGCAATGTCTGAGAATTTTGTGCTTTTACTGGGGACATGTGAACTAAAGAACTCCTATACATTCTCAGGCTGAATCATGGTGTGTAAATTACGTCATGAAATACGTCTTCTGTTGTATGATGTCTCATATTGTAACTCATCTCGTGTTTCCTCGGTTTTTAAACTTGATTGCAGATGCTGGAGATCTGGTACTTTCCCCCTCTGTGATGGGAGCCATGTGAAGCACAACAAAGCTACCGGGGACAATGTTGGTCCTTTGCTGTTGAAGAAGCAAAAAGAGTAGATTTTACTGTATTCATAAGGCCAAATTTGGCATGTTAAGCTGAAAGTCTGAATTTTGAGCGTGAGGTGAATCTTGTCTGTCATACTACAGAACAGATTGAGTTGCTGCTCCCTTAATGAATAAACTGAATCGTTGATCGTTTAGTTGATGTTTTCTTTCTTAAGTTTGTTTGCATATTATTTATGCCATGACTTTTGAAGCTGGAGGGTTACCCCACTATTACTGCCATATCTCTAATCCGATGGCCCTCTGTTTTTTTTTTTTTTGGTCGGAGGTTTTGAGGTCCTTTCAATTGATGATTTTGTGCCATGTTGTAATGGTACTTGCCCTTTTTAAGCTCGCGTATATCTCTCCTTCACAGGTTAGTCTCGTGGTTAATGTATCTAAGTTTTATGTTCCTGCTATCTATGATGCTTTTACCCTTGCTGCATGTTTATCAAATTGATAGAATTATCGAATCTACTCTTTGATATTATTTGACTCCACTTAGCGAGCTGCAAGCACCTCTTCCTTGTTGCTTACTTGAACTTTGGCTAAACTGGGTTGCCAAGCTCAAATGGAAGTAATACCCCTGGCTATGGTTTTCCTAGTTAGAAATACCATTATGTTCTCAGAGAATCGGTCGAAGCTCATCAGTCCACGGACGCGAGTTTCTCAGCAGACATCCAAGCATGTACTGTGGGGGATGAATTTGAAACTGGTATTGCTTTTGCTGCTATCCTCTGGTGTAATTGCTTTCACGTTGCTGTCGATTAACGTTGGATTTGGTGGTCGGTAGAATCCACCAGGTACATGTTGCTATCATGGAGCAAGAGGAAAAATGTTCTCTGGCTTGGAGATTACTGAGAAATCTCACATCTAATTCGTTAATATTTGTGTGCATAGGTATTTCTGTTCCAAAAACTTAGTTTGCTGCTTTAAGATTATCTGAGCCGTTGGTACGAGAAGAAAGAAAAATTGTACGCAGGTAATTTTTGTTCGTCAATGAAGTTATCATCTGTCCTTTTTCTTAGGCCTAGGAAGTGGGAGCTTATCTTGGCCAGCAGCTTGCTAGAACTGCCAGGCCTAAGGTGCCAAATCAGCGGTTCGAGCGAGTTAGTTTTTTACTTCTTAGGCCTGGTTCGTCCAGTTAGGCCTAGTAAGAACAATACTCTTTTTCTTTTTTTAAACTTTTTAGTTATGAGTAAGCTTTTGTATTGATATTCTCATCCATCCCGACATGGACGAGCTCGTCCATCTCCGAGGTACAAGTTGGGAATGATTACATTTTGCGCCCCGGGTTTTTGGAAGTGTGGCTGCTCAGCTCTTGATTCACCTTTTGCAACTTGCCCCTTGATATGTTTCGGCAATGTGCCTTCTGATGTTGACTCCACTTAAAAATTTCTCACATATCTAACTTCGTTACTAGTTGTGGAAGGCATGGCCACATATCAACTATGTATGGCAGGAAAAGTATAGAAACACATGCAACCGGAGCACATTGCAAATATGAATTGTCAGGGGAAATTTGCGATAACCCTAGAAATTTGGAGGAAATATGTAATTTGACTCTAATCTTAAAAATTAAATTGTTCGTGCTAGGATTAAGTATGTAAGGAAAATTTTCTTCATATCCCGATCCCCATGAGTTGTACTGGCTGGGAATTTACATTTTTTGAGACACACGATCACTTTAAATATCAATAAAAATCAAGAATTCGAAGTGCCCGCTGCTTCAGCAACGACATGCGCTTGAAACAAAGTCCGCAAACCCCACCATCTTTCTTTATTAGTTGCAATTGGGTTATGGGCTCAGGACATCGATTTGATATTTTGAGCCTGGATTTGGCAATGCCACCTAAGACGGTGGTAAGGTCCTAATTGATGCCGTCAAGAGGATAGAGAGGCTAGTTTGATAAGGAGGGGATCGGCGACGTACGACAGTGGTGGGTGGCGACATGATTTGATATCCATGGGGTGGTGGAGGCGGGTTGGAGGTGATTGTGTAAGGTTGGGTGTTTTTGTGTGTGCAAAATTAGGGCTTTTTGGTGTTGTTCGCAAAATGATTGTGTGTGATGGGGCGGGAGCGAGTCTACTAGAAAAACATGAACGAAAGGACAACCCTAAAGGAGCAGCAAAACTTGCCCAACAATTATAAGGTACTTTTTTTTTTTGGTTCAAAATAAGGTACTTAAAAGAGAGGCGAGTCAACTAGGGGTGATTCGTTCCTGGTTCGATCCGATTCAATGAAATCGGTCACTTAGGGCTTATTTTTTTTTTGGTTAAACACTTAGGATTTTAGTTCTCATTTTACTAGTTTTTGTCAATGAATTTATGTCAATGAAGTTCACTTTGAATTTAGTTCATATTTTACTAATTTTTATCAATGAAGTTCACTTAGGGTTTAATTAACATTTTCCTAATTAATTTAAAAAAAATTAAAATATATATAGTTGGTTCGGTCCGGTCCGATTCCCCCTTAGAACTAGGAATCGGATTGCCAGAATACCGGTTCCACTTTTAGGAACCAGAAACTAGATCGACACTCTTAAGAACAGGACCAAAGGCAGTTTCCGGTTCGGGTGATTTGTTTTGCACACCCCTAGAGTCAACCCATCGAAAAAAAAAAAAGGGAAACGGCGGCGTGAGTTGGGCAAAACGACGTCATTCTCCGGCTTTTTCGGAGGCGGTTAGCTGGCTCCGGTGCCTAAGCTTCCCATCCAACGGTGGACGTCGATTTGGAGTTGCCTCCACCATCCAACGGCCAGAATTCACTCAACCGCCAAAGCCATATAAAAACCAAAACCCTAGCTCGGTACTCCTCCTCTTTGTCTCTCTTTCTCCTGCTTCTGCAGCTCACCGTCTCACCATTCTTCAAGCAGGAGAAGAGAAGAGAACAAAAGCCCCCCCCCCTTCCCCCGCCCCCCGCCCCTAAACTCCTCTCTAGCCATTCCTGTCAGCCTCTCTGTATCCGACACAGCTCCATCGATGCCTTCGATAGTTGTATCCGATCCAGTCCAATCCTCCGAGAACTCCAAAAGCAAAACCAAAGAGAAGAAGATGAAGGCGAGGGTCCAGCTCGAGGCCGAAGGTTTCGAGTCCCCGGCGTCGGACAAGAAGCACAAGAAGGAGAAGAAGAGCAGCAAGAGCTCCGAATCCAAGCTCCTGGAGCATCAGGAGGCCGCGAAGAAGGAGAAGAAGAGGAAGGCGCTGGAGCCGCGCGAGGACGACGACGAAGACAAGAGCGAGACCAGCTCCGAGCTGGTTGACCCTGAAAATTTGAAAGGGAAGAAGAAGAAGAAGGCGAGGTTGAGCGATGGCGAAGATGAGGTGGTTCAGCAGGAGAACCCCAACGCTGTGTCGAATTTTAGGATTTCGGACAGCTTGAGATTGAAGCTGAAGGACAATGGGATCGAGTCGTTGTTTCCCATCCAGGCCATGACGTTCAACATCGTCTTCGATGGGTCTGATTTGGTTGGCCGCGCCCGCACTGGTCAGGTATAAAAATTTTATTTGAGTTTCGCGGGATTGACGTGTTGATGGTCGCTTGCTTGTTTGATAACTGCTAATTTAACTTACAAATTAGAGAAGTGAATGGTCTGGATGTTGGTGTAATAATAGTGTGGTGGTGGAAAAGGGTCACGAAGCGGACCTATATGAAAAGATTAGTAGGTTTTGTTTGCTCCGCAAGTAGTGAATGGTCTCGATTTACGAGCTCGGCGAATACTGTTTTATGACTTGCGGAGGCTGCTAATGAGTTCGCTTGGTTGTTTTAATTAATGGTATGACAAAGCAATTGTAGTGTAGAGTATAGCACAGTGCAATTGGTTCATGAAACGTCTTTCGTCCATTGCTGGTCCTATTTCCCTGTATTTCACACTCTGAGTGTCATTGTATAAAAGCAATTTTCGGTTGATCTTTTGAGGCATGCGAACCTACAGCTAATAAACCTTTTGCTTTGTGGCATAGTCATCTGTACATTAGTTCACTGCTTTTATTTGGTAATATAAAAACTGAAAGTGTGTAAAGACTGTTTGGCCGCTGTCGCTTTTCGAGTTTTTTAAAAACAATTGGCTGCTAGGAACATGAGTTTTTGAACTGTTCACTGATTTCTGTAGTTGATGAGTTTTGATTTTTTAGCACTGATTATCACCTTGTTCACTGTGTGAATTGTACCAGGGCAAAACTCTAGCTTTTGTCTTGCCCATTTTGGAATCTCTGACGAATGGGCCTTCAAAAACCTCAAGGAAGACAGGATATGGTAGGCCACCAAGTGTTTTGGTGCTTTTACCTACTAGGGAATTGGCCAAACAGGTAGTGCGATCAAGCTTATGGAAATAATCTCATCTCTTTACAGAGATAGATATCTGACATCTTTTACTTTATCATATTAGGTCTTTTCTGATTTTGAAGTTTATGGTGGAGCGGTGGGCTTAACATCATGTTGTTTGTATGGTGGAGCTCCTTATCACGCTCAGGAGAGCAATTTGAGGAGAGGGGTCGATATAGTGATTGGAACACCTGGCCGTGTGAAAGTAATTCATTGAATTGGAAGCTTGTTTGGTTTTCTTTCACTTGCTGGGAATGATGGTCATGTTTACAGCGTTGATCTTATTCATTTCATCTTGTGGCAGGACCACATTGAGAGGGAAAATATTGACTTCAGCTCTTTAATCTTCCGTGTCCTTGATGAGGCTGATGAAATGCTAAGGATGGGTTTTGTTGAAGATGTGGAGCTAATTCTTGGTGCGTGTGTACTAATTTTTTTTGCTATGAAGTTTCTGGTGGAATTATGCTCCACTTATTTATTGCAATTGCAATTATTATTAGCGATGTTGTTGTTTTTTGAAATTTGACAATAGGTTTTTCGGTTTCAGCATCATGTAGCAATGTTCCACTATTAAACAAGAGATGTTTAAATCTGATTTTAGAGCAAGATCTTAATTTTCTTTTTCTGCCTTTTAATTTCTCTACTACATGTAACTTATCTCTTATTGTGCATCCATTAAGAGGGGCACAAGCCAATATTGCTATTCCTCTCCTCGAGGCTTGTCTGAGTAGGTTTATGTAAGGCATTATCTAAGCTGTAGTTTGAATTTTGATAATCTCCTGAGATATTTGGAGAATTACTATCTCAATTCTGTGATTTTTTCGATTTAACCATGTTGCTGATAGATGTGCATATACTTATCCTTCAATTCTTCTGGTTCTTGCAGGCAAGGTGAAGGATATAAGTAAAGTTCAGACGCTGCTCTTTAGTGCTACCTTACCAGACTGGGTGAAGGGTGTACGTAACTCAATCTGGCAAACTTGTTTTGTTGTTCTGAATTTGTAACTTACTTGTCAATGTTTGGTTTTCCGTTATTTGCTGTTGTGCAAACTTATCTTCACCCAACTTTTCCTGATACCGTAACTTTGCATTTCCAGATTTCTTCCAGGTTCCTTAAACAAAACAAGAGAACTGTAGATCTAGTAGGTAATGAGAAAATGAAGGCAAGCACCAATGTTAGGCATATTGTTATCCCTTGTACAAGCTCGGCTAGACCTCAGGTTATCCCAGACATAATACGCTGTTACGGCAGGTTAGTTGTTTCCATTTTCATTTCTTTAATGCTGCGCTCTTTTGTTGGTCAAGAGATTTACTGAACACTCTTTAAACTTTTTTCTCTGGTTGAACTTTCTTTAGTGGAGGCCGTACCATAATTTTTACTGAGACAAAGGAATGTGCTTCTCAACTTTCGGGATTGTTGCCCGGAGCGCGGCCCTTGCATGGGGACATACAGCAAGCCCAACGAGAGGTAAATGATGAATATGCAGAATCTTTATAGGTATTATTTCATGTAAGAGTATTAATGTTGTAACACACCGAAGAGGAGATGAACAAAGAAGAGAGAGAATGCTTTGTTATACTAAATTACATGACTAGGAATAGTTGGTTTACCTGCTTTCCAGTTGTCAATCACATATAGTGGGTGACAATGTTGTGCGAGTTCCTTACTGTGTTAAACAAGCCAACCAACCTAATTTGCCTAGTAGTTCATTTCCTTGGAGAGTGCTGATTTAATGATCTGTGGTGGCTGCGCAAGGTATAAATGATTAAGGTAATAAATGTTACATCCAGAGGCAAAGAGATTGGTCTGTAGCAAAAAATTCCATTTCATTATAAAATATTTTCAGTGAATAAAGGTAGTTGATGCTTTTAGTGGGGTACCTACCCTCTGATCCGCGAGTGATGAATACACTGGTATAGGCTTCAATAGAATGAATTATGAGTATTTGTTTTTGGATCAGATTCATTGGTAGGTCCAGCATCATGACTGTGGAAACAATATTCTTTTGTTAATCTACAGGGGCTATCTGTTTAAGTGATGCATTCCTTGTATGTCACTTATTCTCTGGTTTCGTGTATGCAAGTATTTCTAGAAATTAACTCTCACACTCTAGGGCATGTTTGGTTACACATAAGCAAAAGCAAAAAGTACTTCCTGCCAAAATTTAAATTAGTATTTGAATTTGAGAAAAACTATGAAAAAATTATATATGAATTTACGTGTCAATACTTAAGTGTTGTGATAATTTCGAGAATTTCAGATTTAAAAAAAAGTGTGTGCAAGCCACAAGATTTATATTAAGAAAAAACAAAATGTAAAGTCAATCCAGACACACGCTTAGAATGGCGACCAATGACCATCTATATTAAAATGGCTGAAACCTTTTTGCCTCTTAATTAACACATGACATGCTTTTCCTTGCTTAAACTTTACCTCTTGAGTGCAGGTTACACTTGCTGGTTTCAGGTCTGGCAAGTTTATGACGTTAGTGGCCACGAATGTGGCCGCACGAGGATTGGACATCAATGATGTCCAGTTAATTATCCAGGTATGCTGTATATGGTATGTTTTGATTTGCTGTTTCTCTAAATGCAGTCGTGCTGATAGTTGGCCTTAATTTTTTTTAAGTGTGAGCCTCCGCGTGATGTTGAAGCCTATATTCACAGATCTGGACGCACGGGGAGAGCTGGTAATTGGTCAACTTGAAACCTGCATTTTCCATAGTTTCATTATTTCTGCAGCTCGCCGGATGCTGAGGGCAATGTTGTTTTCTAGGCAATACTGGAGTAGCTGTCATGCTGTACGATCCAAGAAGGGCAAACGTATCTAGGATTGAAAAAGAGTCTGGCGTAAAATTTGAACACATTGCTGCTCCGCAGCCAAGTGATGTTGCTCAAGCTGCTGGCGTCGAAGCTGCTGAATCAATAACACAAATTTCTGATAGGTACAGTCAATTCTTTTTGCTGAGAAGCTGAATCATTGCCTATAACAACGAGATGCTAATATCTCCAAAATGCAGTGTTATTCCGGCATTCAAGTCTGCTGCCGAGCAACTACTGAACACGTCTGGCATGTCAGCAGTAGAATTACTTGCAAAGGCTCTTGCTAAGGCTTCCGTAAGCTGATTGTTTATTATTTTCTTTTATCGCACTTCCTTGACATGCATCTCTTTTCCTTCTTTCTTCAGATATTTAACAAATATAATCTGTACTCTTCCTTTTTCAGGGTTATAGTGAAATAAAGAGCAGATCACTGCTCTCGTCACTTGAGAACCATGTAACCTTACTTCTCGAGACTGGAAGGCCCATTTATACACCTTCGTAAGTATGCATGATCTGTCGGCAAAAAGTTGTGTTGCTTTGCAGTACTGCTTTGTGTAGATATTGCGTGGATGCGGGGGCAGGCCCCCTTCTAGCTTTGGTATTATATTCGATTCTCACCTGATCTGACTCTGGGCTTATATATCACTTCGATTTTTAGGTATGCTTTTGGTGTCCTGAGGAGATTCTTGCCTGAAGATAAAGTAGAGTCCGTGAAGGGTCTTACTCTCACAGCTGATGGAAATGGCGTTGTATTTGATGTGGCAGCTGAAGATCTGGATACTTTCCTTGCTGGTACTTAAACTACAGAACTCATCAGGCTCCTAAGTCATAAGTGATGCTGCACTTTACACACACTTTTCATAGATTTTTCTCTTATTAGAGCGGAGTATGCTGCGAGTCTATCAGCCTAGTGTAGCGCTTCAGTTAGATTCTCGTTATATGGACAATGATTGATTTTGGTATTTATTTCCCTCCTCTGGATTGCAGGTCAGGAGAATGCAGCAAATGTAAGCTTAGAGGTGGTAACAACATTGCCGCGTCTCCAGGAGAGAGACCAGTCGAGAGGGGGAAGATTTGGCGGTGGGGGTGGTCGTGGCGGCTTTGGTGGTAGGGGCGGTGGTTTTTCAGGGGGTAGAGGTGGTAGTTTCTCTGGCCAAAGGAATGGCCGGTTTTCCGGTGGCTTCGGTGGCGGGAGAGGTCGCAGCAACAATAGAAGGTGATAAGTAATCTGTAGCCAGTTCCTTGGAGTCGGAGCTTCCAGAAAGAAGGCATCAACTTATGTCGATGCAGAAATTTTGGCCGATTTTATGATTTTAGGAACGTAGCCTCAATTGTTTGTAATGAACATACTGTAGGATAAGTATCTGGTACCGTGGTCCTATATTATCCTAATATATTTGGTATATTTTCTCAGTCAACTTCGCTTTCTTTTTCATAATTTTTTGTGGAGCTGTTTAGTGTTGTCTCCACCTCCCTATTTTTAGCTTTTGTTGCAAACGTGAGTTGTACGCTGGAGTATATATTCTTAATCAGTTCAATATAAGAGTTGTTTTCTACTTTTGTGCTTTTCAACGGTGGAACTGCAGTGATGTTCGGCCAGACCACTCTTTTGATCTTCTACCAAGTAATTGGATATACCCGCGTAGTTCCAAGGTTCGAGTTTGAAATGATAAATCTCATGTACGTATGGTCGTGTAATGTGCTCTCTTCGTGTGTTTCATGTGTTTCGTATTAAAGATAATGGTCAAATTTGGTTATATTTCTTGAAAATGGAACACTTAAACGGGAAAGCGAAGGGATCAAAATCACTTGCTCTCCAATCGAAACGAGATGTTTTCTCCGTATGACCAAATTCGCGATTTTTTTATATCCAGTTCCAGCAATAAAATAACCCCATCCCGATAAATACCGAGTCCCCAGTCCACGAGAACGGGTCTTCCCTCCCCCAGCTCCACCCTCATCGCAACGGTCGATTTTGCAAATCGCAAGGCTAATTAGCTTCTCCTCTGCGCTTCAGAGCCAGTCCAATGATCGTCATAGCCCCAGCTAAATCAATCGCAATCGCGAGCCGCGTTGACTTCCATCATCCATGTCCGCCGCCTTGATCAGAATCCGCGAGGAGGAAGCCGGGCTGTCCTCGCCGGCGAAGGAGAAGGCGGCGTCCCGGGGCGCGTACGGCAACCGATGGCCGCTCCTCCTCGGGCGGCTCCGCCACCAGCTCGGCGGCGCGGGCCCCAAGCTGAAGCTCCTCTCCTGCGTCGTTGTGCTGGGCCTCGTCCTCTTGGTCGGTTCGAGATTGAGCTCTCTCATGGGATGGAACGTTCACCATCCTTCTTCAGTCTCTTCCCCTACAGGGTATATCTGAATAAATTTCCGGGAGATTGTGTTTGATTGTGTTTGCTTTTTACAGTGTTTCTGCCGGAGGTTATTGGGTCGCGGCTTCTTGTTTCTGCATGCATAATTAATAATTATGTTTTTGGGAATGATTGTAGCTTGCAAATTGTGAAATAGCGTATTGTGTTCTGGTCTCAGAGAAAAATCACCTGATTAATTTTCAGTAGAAACATTGACCGGTCCATGTCCTTTTTAGTTCTAGAATGTTGGTGATTCTTTTGCTCTACGATAAGCTCTGTTCAGATAATGGGCACTAAATTTGCTATTTGCCGTGTGCTTGATGAATGTCGAATTGGCGTCTTCTAGATTTACGTTATTTTGCTGTAGCTTTGATTTACTGATTTATTGTTGATGATGATTCTGTGATGTCTACATAGTTTTCGCACGCGCTGTCTGCTGCTTATTTGACTCGCGCGGTGCTTGGATTACGAGATGCGATCTGTAAAATGGGAGCGTGTTCTCTGCTTTTCTCTTTTGATTTGCAGGGGTGGTTACACTGTGCTAATCAACACATGGAACCAAAACAACCATCTTAAGAAAACTGTCCGCCACTATGCATCCTGCGCTGGTACCGATGCGATACGCGTCATATGGAGCGAAAGTCATCCGCCGCAGGAGAAACTGAAGTCCCATCTCAACGAAGTTGTGGCGTCAAAGTCTCATAAGCATGCTCTTAAGTTCGATATCATCAGTGATAGTACCGTGATGAGTAGATTCAGGCCAAGTGGGGACATCAGTACTGATGCAGTTTTCTCTGTTGACGATGACGTAATTATTCCATGTCCTACTCTGGATTTTGCTTTCACGGTGTGGCAGAGTGCCCCTTCCACCATGGTGGGATTTGTTCCTCGTGCACATTCGCTGGAAGCAGAGGTCAGATTTGTATCTTTGATAATTCTATCATTTGCGGGAATGAATAAGATCTTGGAGAGTTGTTCTGAACATTTGGTAAAGTGGTAAGAATCTATCCTCTAACTCCATGATGAACTTACAAATTGCAAAATGGACCCTGCTTCGAAGAAGGAGAAGATGGCCTGTTGTACTTGTATATCGCAGTACTTTCGGGAAACTCCTATTGGGTTTTCTCTAGAAATCTTTTAGGTGTCGTTCTTTCTATATTTGAGAATTAGCAGTCTATAGCCACTTCTATGTATTAACAGAGAATGTCGTGGAAAAGAAAGGATTCTCACCAGAAGTATCATGGGGGAAGTAACAAACAAACTCTATTATAGAAGATGTAACTAACAATAGGCACCAAAGTTATGCCGGGAAGAATAAATTTGAACCTACTTATTTTCTATAAAATAAGTATTCGCCAGTGGTTGGAAAAGAGTTGGGGCTGACTGATTTCCAGAGTATAACTGGAACGAGAGGATTCGTCCTGAAGCTGTCACTGAGTATATTTTTTGACCTGTTGCAGAGAAATGGTATTCCTTATTACAAATACGAAGGATGGTGGTCAGTTTGGTGGAAGGGCACCTACAGCATGATTCTCGCAGAAGCAGCATTCTTTCATAGAAAATACCTGGATATGTACACCTATATAATGCCATTGACAGTTCATAATTATCTTACCAGGGAGAGGTACAGCTTGCAAAGTTTTTGTAGAACAATGACTGCACGGTGCTGCATTTTCAATTGATTCTTTATGTCCATGAATGAATTGAATTTCATATTTTCTTATGCTACTCAGAATTTGTGAAGATGTTGCGATGTCTCTGCTCATTGCCAATGCCTCTGGTTCTCCTCCAATTTGGGTGAAAGGTATTGATCTGCCCAAGCTAGTACCATATTGCTTGGAACTACTTGACGAACAAGGGAAGATATGTACAGATTGTCAATTAGATTAATTATCTGCCCAACCTAGTAGCTTATTGCTTTTCCAACATAGATAAAAGCCAGTCCAACTGGCCTCTTACAAGGCACAGATGCAGAATAATAGTAGAGATAAAAAAGATGGGAACTTGAGTATTCTTGAGAGAAAGTAGAAAGATGATCACCCTTCCCTGAAAGAAGCCTCATATAAGCTAGACTCCTTTGCATTAGAAATAGTCAGAAATGTAAGTTTCGATGACTCGGGGTCTTACCAATGACCTCATGGTACCGTTAAAAATTGTGTAATTAGCATGATATGCAAGGTGCATATTCTAGTCAGCTAGTTAATTAAGAGTTGAGAAAAATCCCTACTCTATCATTTCCAGGTATGCTCTTTGCTAAATTCTTTCATGATATCATCTTACTAAGCAAACTGTTTTTGCTAATTTCTCTTGACAAAATTTTTTCAGGAAAGACTCACAAGATAGGAGCCTCAGGTACAAGCAGTTTAGGAGGGCATGCCGACTATAGAAGCAGATGCCTGAATGATCTTCTTTCTCTATATGAGACTGTGCCCCTTATGCATACCAATGTGAAAGCTGTTGATGCAAGACAGGAATGGTTCTGGTAAATCGTGCTGGTTTCATTTAAATTGTGCCTCCGACGTTTCGGTTATTGCCGTCCTCGTTTTGGACTTTGGGCAGTAACTTATTGCTCCTAGATTATTGTACATTCCATTGGAGCAGCTAACTCGAGAAAGAATAAAGGAATTCCTGGAACGGGACTCAAGTTGGCTCATTGTCACATTGTTTAGGGTTTGACTGTTAGTCTATCTTTGACTTAATGAAGGAACTTTGGATCGTGATCATGTTACTCCAGTTAAGCAATATACCCATCTTTCTCCTTTTGGCTGTGATTATCGTACAACTCCAGGTTATCGATGAGGAGTTGCTTCATTTTTGGTGGGAAACTTGCACAAATCAATGGGGCCCTTGAAGTGTAATGCATGCATGGGACAAACTACTTTACTTTATCAAAGAGGGTCAAGCTCGATGTGGGTTCCTACTTCTATCTCCATTTTTCTACCTTCGATCTCTTCTTTTCCCATTGATCAAATGGGAATTCTATAAGCAATTTGGAACTATTCACGGTCAGTCGTTGTACAGCCTCGTTCTCATGGGCCCGGCTCGATCACGCTCATTAATCATGGCCGCTCTCACAGAATCCGACCTCCGTGATTACACCCGACTTTCGAATCTCTTCGTCTCGAGTCATAAGTCCAGAATGCGTCCCGTCCTCGAACCGGATCCAATGCTGCCATAGACTTATTTGTGCTTGTCCCGTCTGGCGGCGACCTTAAAACCCCAATTCGAGTCGAGATGGACGAGATTGAATCGGATCGGCCCAATTGCCTCTTGGAAAGCTCAAAAAAAGAAAAACAGAAAGCCCATAGAGTAGTAAAACCTCATCGGCTGCCAATCTCTCTCTCTCTCTCTCTCTCTCTCTCTCTGTCTTTTTAATTTTGAAAAAGACGGGTCAAACAAACGTTGATTAGCGAACTTTTGCTTCTAATCACTTTATTAATTAGTTAATTTAGACCGTGGGCATCCTTCGATACCCAAAGAGAAAAAAGAAAAAGAAAAAAAAGGAAAAGGAGACGAGAATCTCTCGACTCTCGCTCTCTCCCTTACCCAGTTTCATCACTTCCGCTTTCCCTCTCAGGAAAATTATTATATTAATAAAAAATATTGAGAAAGAGAGGCGACTTTCGAACTTCAAACTCAGCAGAGAAAACCTCCTCCGTGCTGCTCCAGCTCGACCGAGCTCTCCCTCTTCGAATTCCGTCGTCATCGAGCCACACCAGGTACGCGCCCTCTTCACGTTCGATCCGACAAAACTGTTCGCAATCTTCGATTCTCCGTGCGTGTACGTGTCCGAAGCTTCTGGCGGTTTCGCGCTCTGGTCGTGTTTTCGCTCCGGGGTGGGACGGGTAGTTTTTTTCGCCTGATCGTGTTCTCGATAGCGAAACCGATGTCGATTCTTTTTTGTTGGAGTGATGGGGCGAGGACCTGTGCAGAGCTCGTTGTTCAGGACACCCTTTTTTCTTTTTTCTTTCTTTTGCGCCGAACTCTTGGAGAGAATTCTAGATTTTTTTGAACATGAACGTTGAATTTTCTTCATTTCGATGTTGAGATTGTGGGTATACGCGCATTCAGCTGGGATGCCTATTGCTGTGGTGGGTTCTGGATTTGGGCTGCGTGAAGTCTGTATTGAGAGATATACAATTTGGTTGCTTCAGGACTATAGTGCTGTGTGGTTACTATTGTGTACTGAAAAACCAAATTTACAATCTGGATGAATGGTTTCCCTTTTCCGTGAAATAAATTGTATTTCCGGCTTAAACCATCTGAAGAAATCGAAGGAAAGACTTGCTTCATTATTTTGCCCCTATTGTGAGAACATAAAGATAGGCGAGTGTCCAGGCATACCTACATGCATCAGTACTCCATCCCTGTGATTTCGTTCAAAACATTCCTCGTCAGTCATGCTGGTTTTACACATATCAAAGCATCTAGCTAGTTCCTTTGGGCATTTCTTTCCAAATTTCACGCACACTGGACGACTAACCCTGCCTTGTAGGTGGTGTTAGCCAACTAATTTTATGCCATAAAAAGAGTTTCAAGTACAACCGGCATATCTAGTTGTCATTTTTCTTTCTCACCTTCTTTTCTTTTTGTGTGTGTGTGAGTGATTTTGGGGGGGGGGGGGGGGGGGTGAGGTTGGGTTTCCAATTTTCTTTGATGTAGGGATTCAGTTCTGATCAGCTGCTTTCCTAAGAAAAATTTGAGAATCTCCTTTATATTATTAAAGAATGCTTGAGATATTGTCTTTATTGTGTCTATTTTCAGATGCATTGTCAAGTGTGCTTTTTCTTCAACAGAACTCTTGGTTGTGATATTTAATTCATCTTTGTCCGGCCGTCAAGCTTACTATCAATGCCTTTGCCCTTCTCACCTCAGTGGAAAGATAAGGCGAGTGGCTTCTTTTCTTCTTCAGGTAAGAGATTATTATATTGCTAATGTTCTTCTGGACATCCTTTACTGGAATTGCTTGTCACATTCTCAAGGGTTTTATGCAGGTGTGAAGCTTAAAGAAGCTGGGCAAACTGCAGGAACATTTGTTGGCGAGGTAGCAAAGGATGCTAAAGGCAATGTTGCTGAAGTGGCAGGGCGAGTTGGGTCAAAAGTCAAGAGTCGCTGGGCACTGCTACAGCAACCATCTACCAGACACGCAATGCAGGAGCGCCTCATAGGGGCAGCAGCATCAACAGGCTCATTTCTAAGGAAGGGCATTTCAGAGACAAAAGATAAGGTTGCTGTTGGCAAGACGAAAGTCGAGGAGGTACCTCGGTTCTGCTTCAGTTTGCGATTTAGATTTTCTTGTTACTATTGTTATCCAAAAATTCACAACACAGAGATGAAGTAGTAATTTATTGGTTTAGTATATAAATGATCGACTCTCGCAAATTGTATAATAGCAGCATCAAAATTATTGGTGCTATGTAATTAATGACTTCACAAATAGCAGGATACAAATTATAGTTCTTGACAAAGTCAATGTATTTCTATTGGTTAATCAAGAGGAAGTTTACTCATTTGATGTTGGAATTTGTTCAGGTGGCGAAAAAGACAGCACAGAAAAGTAAAACTATAATTACTGATATTGAAAGGTGGCAAAAGGTAGGATTTGAGGAAACCCTCTCTCTCTCTCTCTTTCTCTCTCTAAAGTTGTGGCAAGTTCCTAACACATGACACTTCACTGATTGCAGGGAGTTGCAAGCACTGATGGTAAGTGGCTATATTGTAAATGCAGATGGGTGAAGTCATGGGATATCGATCATATTTTTTCTTTCTTCAGGTTACAGTGAAGACTGACAATATTTCTAGGCTTAAACATGAAATGTTGCCAGTCATTACTTGACAACATTCTTTGAATTGATAAGCAATTTCATGATCTATTACATAAGGTTGGTATCTATATGTAGGTCACGTAGGCCGACATCATCATTTCTTATGGAATTTCCCAGCACGTGTGAGATGCGACATTAATTAGAAATACTCAATTTCCCGAGAGTGAATTATCTGAATCTTATTGTTGATATATTTTTATCTTAGTTCCGGTATAAAATGTTTTCTTGCCGGTAGACAAAGAAACTGATTGTCATGTTTTGCCCATTGGGGATATGGTGTTTGGACTTGCCAGGCATGAAAATGGCAATTGCAATATTGATGAGTCCAGTGATTCGTGACGTTGTTTGACAATGCAGCTAGACGATCCTCTTTCTTGATTTGTTAGTGAAATAGGTACAACTTTTGTGAGATTTTCCTGCTTGACTGCAATTGAATTTGCCTTTTCATCTTTCTATAGTATTTGGAGTTCCGATTGAGGTAACTGTACACCGCGAAGAGTCCAGCCGGCCCGTTCCGAAAATTTTGGTCAAATGTGCTGATTACCTTGTATTATCAGGTATTTAATTTTAGGTCATGCTAAGCTTGTTTAAATATGCATGGTGCACCAATTGTCTAATGGAAATTATTTTGGGTTCTAACTTGTTTATTAGGGCTAAATGCTCCGTATCTGTTCAAGTCTGAAGGAGATAAGAAGGTTATCCAGCAGTTGGTCTCATCATTCAATCTAGGTATCTCAGATACTTTATTCTTTTCAAAAGCACTTTCATTTATTTAATTTGGTAGGTGTTAATAAAATTTTGTCACTCCAGATTCAAATGCATCTCTGCCAGATGGTGTAAATCCAGTGGACATAGCAGCCTTAGTCAAATGTTATCTTGCAAGCCTTCCAGAGCCTCTCACCACTTTTGAACTTTATGAAGAGATCAAAGGAGCTCGTTCTAGTATAAATTCAATGAGAAACATACTAAAGAAGCTTCCGACTGTGAATTTTATGACTTTGGAATATATAACTGCACTACTGCACCGTGTGAGCCAGAAGTCCCTTCTGAACAAGGCAGGAATCATCTCTCTCTCTCTCTCTCTCTCTCCAGCCTGATTCTGGTCAATATTCTAAATGTCTTTCTTTAGAAAGCGGTGACAGATTATAGAAGATATCAATTAACGTGCAAGCATTAAGTGTGTAGCATAAGTAAGTGTTACCTTTTCATATATCATTACATAGATGACGGGAAATATTAAACTTTATCAAAATAGAACATCTACATTACATGATTGGCAATCTAGCATGATCATAAGCAATAATGGTTTCCAGTTCAGTTAATGTATCTGAAGTTATCTCTTTCTTGATTATTTAACCAGTTTTAGCATAGTCAAAGCATCCTTGACATGTTAGTCTTGCTTTGTCAGTCCTGATGCCACTGTGCTGTGTTCCTTGGAAGCATGTGAGATTTTTTTTTTCCTGTGAGAAGCTTGCATGGTTATCCTTTGCTGCTTCCACATAATCCAGCAGGACCAGTGCTGGAAATTATCATGTAGTATTTGTCTGCTAGCGAAGATTATCATGTGCTGTATGCCTGCTAATTGACTGTGCAAGACCATCAATTTTGTTATTCTACCTTGTGGAAACCCGGAGACTGGGAATCAATCCTGGTAAAGGCAATGTAGGAGAGAGCTTTGCAGGCCATCATCCTTTTATTTCATTGTATGTATACATCTGGCGAAAGTGAGAGATCTACAAGTTATGAGTTTCCCTACGATTTTGGGAAAGTCCATTCTATGCAGGCATATATTATATATGATGTTTCTTGATATGATTGAGTTCTTGCATGTATTTTCTCTAACATTCTGGTCAAAATGCTGACTGGAGTGGTATATAATTTAATTGACCGGCTTGTTGCATGGTGCTTATTTCTTCAGATGGATGCACAGAGTTTAGCTATGGAATTTGCTCCTTTGATTATATGGCAGAATGGGCAGAAACCTGAGTATTATAGGCAGTACTGGAATGATCCAAGCACAAGTCAGAATGGCACGGACACAGCGCCTACTTACAGTGCATGGGACATGCTTGCAGGTTAGCAATCAGATATATTGTGTTTTTGCATAGATGGTTTCTTCTGTGCTGAGCATGTTGGTTCATGCACGGTGGATATGATGCATAATATTGTAGGCAGTGGGATATGTTAGGAGATAAACCATTTGTTGCCTTAAAAGTGAAGGCCCTAAACCTTTCAGTCTTGCAGGCACCTTGTCTTTGAAGTGTACAGCCATTGGATATCTATAAATCAAAATGTATTATTGCCAACACTTGGGCCCATATCCAATGTCCTTGAAGGCCAAAACGATCATGTTTTTGTTTTTTTTTGGAAAGGAATGTAATTTGTACTCTACAGAAACACATATTGGTTATTCTCATTCCCATTCTAATTGCAGAAGATGATGACTCTGCCGTTGCGTCATCCATGATTCCCTTGGATGATGGGACTCCAATGGATTTTGGTGCCATTGAGGTTGTTCAATGCCTCATACAACATCACAATGCCATTTTCACAGATGCCAACGAGACAGTTTGGAGATAACTGAGATTGAAGTCCGTCCTTGTACAGAAAGCGATGCTGACCATTTGGATCGTGCATCATCAGCCGCATCATCAGCTTCAACTGATTTATTCCTGATGCTTCCTTATGGCCTAGTTTTTGGATAGATAATGTAAATGTTAGCGGCGATTTAGACATTAGTCCTGCACCCTAGTTTCTTTTGCATGTTCAATAAATATTTTGTTTCGCAATAATTTGTCTGCTTTGGAGAACTTGCATCTGTAGTGAGAAGATTTTGTCCTCATCATCCATCCACGAGGAGTGATCTCTGTTATGCAATAAAGAGCCGTGTCTTGTTTTCTGAATTCCCTTTTCTATGGGCCTGTGCCAATTGCAGAATAGCTTGTTTTGGCGCTGTGAAAGCAAGCATAGGAAAAGCCTGTGTATAGTAGATGATATGACCACTCCATTCCCCTCCTTTCCTCTTTTGGAAGCTGTAGGCTTTTGCTTTGATATGCCTAACTTCGGTCGACCTGATATGGCCAAATGCATGAAACTCGAGCAAGAGTTCGTCGGGAAGCTCGAATTTGGGGAGAGATTTTGAACTCCAAGGACAATTGATTTGATTCTATCGACCGTTTGTTGGTGATTGTATCTTGTGATTGTCATTTCTTCGGCCGGAATCTTGTAATTTGTCATTCATTTCGGTTGTTTTGGTCGGAACGTGTATAATTGACTTCCAGATTTGGGCCAAAGGAATTGACTTCCAGCCTTTTAGCAGCTGCCAATGGACAGACCGGCCCAATTTTTTGGACAACCAAGCCATCGATGGGGGCGAGGGCAACAACGTTGGCATTGGTTTCTCGGGCTCGAGCCGAACCAAAGTAACGGACCGGTGAATCTACGAACCGGAACTGTGAGATCAAACGAAACGCCGACCAACGACTTTTCTCGACGCATTTCTGCCCATAAGGTTCCAACAGCGATCGTCGCTGCACTTTCTGTCCCTCCCGGTTAGCTTGTTTTTCTCTTGTTTTTACTGCGAATCTTCCTTCCTACAATCGGATTGGACAGGCATAGATCCATGGAAAGGAACGGGGACGATTCCATCCTCGGAGGTGATGACGCCATTGCCAGCTCAAACGCGGGCATCGCCGGCGAGACCTCGGTCGTGTCCTCCAATCTGATCTTGGACCGCGTCGGAGAAGTGGCTCTCGCTCTCGATCCCGATGGACTGTCTTGGAAGTTGCTCGAGACCCAACGCAGCGTGAGCGCCTTTTTCTGTTTTCAAGAATGTGCGGACGAATGCTCATTTTCGCGCATGATTTTGTCGTGCTGTTTCTAGATAGGCGGCTGATCTTGGCCAAAAAAGAACAGTTGTAATAGATTAGATGAAATCTCAAAGAATCCATGATTCAATATATTTTCATAAAATTATAAAATTAGAATAGTTTCATTCGCGAGGAGCCGGATGAGAAGAAACTCTCATGTCCGGTTCTGTAGTAGAGGTGGAATTGAGAAAGAACCATCAACTGTAACCCCAAAAGAACCAGATTTCTCAAACAACATAGAGGAAGAATGAAAGGAATATCTTATCGAGGTAATTGTACTTGTTTCGGTAGATATGCTCTTCAGGCACTTGAACCTGCTTGGAGGTGATTGAAATTACGTGGTGTTGTAGCTGAGATTCGCGCTTGCAATGAATATATGTGCTCTGAATTAATAAGTTAGTATTTTTAGGATCTTAAATATGTCTTTTTAAACACTTCTGATGATAAAACGTGTCAAGTTCACGACCTTCTCTTTACTTGGAACAGGATCAATCAGAATGCTGTGGCATTAAACGCTCTCCTTCAGAGGCAACGGATACCAAACTTGCTGATATTTATGCTGTGGAGTTTATTGACCATGGTTTAATTCCTGAATCAAATCTTTCGAATCCCGCAAGATGTCTTCTAAACGAGGATTCGCAGGTTCGTTTTTTATTTGTAGTGGTAAATGCATTAGCATTATGAGGCAATGGTCGCTGATGGGCATACCTACAACGGAACAGATATACCGGTTTATAGTTCATGGAGTCCAAAGGTCAAAGTCTCATCCTTGCCGGTGTATCTTAGGCACATATGTTTTTGGTCATAAAGATCGGCAAGTATGTGAGATGTGGGTAGATCTAATTAATTCCCGTATGGACAAAGAAATGCAAAGGCCGAAGAATCTCCTGGTACGGTCTCCCCAGAATGCCACCCTTCCATGAGCAAGATATGTAGAGTAATTGGCTGCCTGAATGATCATAACTCAGTTTCCAGAACTCTTCCATGTTATCAGGTTTTTGTTCATCCGAAGAGCGGAAAGGGAAATGGCTGTACAACATGGGAAACTGTTTCTCCTATATTCTCACGCGCTAAAGTGCATACGAAGGTTCACATTCTTTTCCTCCTAAAATTAGTGATAATATCTCTGAGATTTTCTTGTTTGTTAATGTATATAGAAGCTGTACTTTTCTTATAATTATCCCTGCCAACTGGACTGGACTTTACTTGAAATAGTTTTACTTGTTTATCTATTTTAATAGTATCATGGTTGTTGTTTTTCCCTCTGATAGCACTTGCAAGTGTCTTTGCATATCTTGCTGTCTGGACTACTTTTTTAATCATATTTGGTGCTTGGACTTTAAGTTGAGATGTCTGCTGCGTCACAAGATCCGCAAGCAACTTGTCTCATTTAGAAGCTTTGCACAGTGGTGTGCCGGCGTTATTAAACTAACATGAGCGCGTGGGAGGAAAATTCTCTCCCTTAGATGGGTATGAGTAAATGTGCACACACAATAATTGCTTCAATATCTTTGAATTTTTTAACCAGGTGATCGTGACTGAGAGGGCAAGTCATGCATTCGATATGATGCTGGCCGCCACGAACGAGGAGCTCAAACAATATGATGGCGTTGTTGCTGTTGTAAGACATGAAATCCCTTCGCATTCTAGTTCATATGTTCCAATTTTTAATGTGTAGCTGGTCAAGGTCTGACTAGTTACATCAATAGATCTTAAATGGAACTTCAGTTACATGTGCACAGAACCAGGCAATTGCCATGACTAGCATCTTACAACACATGCCTCTTGTTACAATCATAGATTATTCATTGTAACTGATTTATCATATCGCACGGTAAGGCAGTAAATTTCTTCTGCTTTAGTGCTAACTGTTCAGAATGTGACAGCCAGCGCTTTCTCCTTGTATACTTAAACATGAGTAACTATGCATGAGACCTGGATTTTCAAACATAAATGGTGATACAATGTCTTTGGTATGGTACAGAAGATTCAATCCTGAAATGAGCCAATTTGTTCAACTTGCCTAGACAAGCATTTTTCTTGCTGCTGCTCTTTACATGTTACCTTTTTTCCAACCATACTGGTTACTGTGGATCAATGTTTTGGCAGCATTATGAGTGAGTGGTTTTGACATATCTTTTTCGCTGAAAAGAAGTGTTATGAATCAGGGTGGTGATGGTTTCTTCAATGAAATTCTCAATGGTTTTCTTTCTTTGCGGCATAAAGCTCCTTATCCACCTGCTCCAACAGATTTTGTGCAGTCTCTTGGAGATTGTGGTGATTTGTCGATGCACAATACAAATGAAAGAGGTACTAAGAATCTTTCCAGAATGAAGATCAGTCCCCAACCCCCCCCCCCCCCCCCCCCACCCCGCCGCCGCCCCCCGGTTATTTAATCATGCTTTTTTCTTAATAATTAGACTGAAACTTGTGGTAAGAGGGGTGAGTCTGATATCAAATGATTATTTGTACATTGCAGGAGCTGAAGGAGATTCTGGCACTTGCTACCCAGGTGAGGTTTTCCAAACAAAATCAGTTTTTAATTTTTTTATGCATTAATCTCATTTCACTGTGGAATTATTCATAGAAAAATCACTTTCTGTTGTAAACTGATATATAGAGCTAGTTTGTCACTGTTTAACTCTACAGATGATGGTTCTCAGTTCCTGCTCCCGAAGGAAGGATTTCGATTTGGAATCATTCCTGCTGGTTCAACTGATGCTATTGTGATTTGGTACTTTCAATTTTCTCCTCGGGCGATTCTTGTCCTCCCTATTTAATTATGTTGGGACACTTACCTCTTACATGCTTTAGGAGTAGTGTCTTTAATGACATATTTGTGATATATAGTTTTTGATAAATATGTAGACTTGGAAAGGCCTTTCCTTGTTTATGAGGGGCTGTGATATTTTGTTATCCCCGAAGTTCTTCTGGCTTCAACAGTAAGACGAAAGAAACTGCTTGCTGAAACAGACTTGCATGACTAAACACACTTTGAATTACGGTTGATCAGAAACTGCAAATGAACAATAGATAAAGTAGAGCCAATTGTCTGTTGATTGATTGACTAGATTCTCCATTGCTCTTGTGAGTGCTATACCTGAGAAATTATATAATACAACTTCACCTCTGACCACCAAAAGGACAAATCAGATTTTGCCAATCGTGTAATTTTTTAAACTTATGGAAACTCAAGCTCCTGACATTAACTTTTTAGGTCATATATCTAGCAGTGGCACGAGTGGTCAGTTACTACCCCATTCCTAACTCTGGCCATTTTTCTTTTTTCTTCTGCATTATCAGATTACTGTTAAGTTAGTTGACAAGTTTTATATTGTTTTGATTGCTTATGCATCTATTATGAATGCAAGACTGAATTTCTGTCCTGTAAATAACTTAGTTTAGCCAATTATTAGTTTGACCGTTTTCATTGCATCACATCCGGTGCTTGTGCTTTATGCAGTACAACTGGGGCTCGTGATCCTATTACTTCTGCATTGCAAATTGTAATGGGGAAAAATGTGCCTCTCGATATAGCTCAAATTGTAAGATGGAGGACAACAGCTGAATCAAAGGTTGAACCTTGTGTACGATATGCAGCTTCTTTTGCTGGGTAGTTTCTCATTATTACTGATGCCACATACTGCTGCAAGACAGTATATGTCTTTCCCGAATCTTTTCTTTACTGTCTTGTTTCCATTCTATTATGAAACAGATCTTTCATTGTTATTGATTTTTTGGGTGGAAACTATCCTTCTAAAGTAGTATGCTTGAGAAGCAGGTATGGGTTTTATGGAGACGTCATTACTGAAAGTGAGAAATACCGATGGATGGGACCGAAGAGATATGATTATGCTGGAACGAAAGTGTTTCTGAGGCATAGGTATACCTCTTAGTAGGCTTTATTTTCTTTTGATGATATGCAGACTTAGTGACTTGGTTTGGTATAGAGCCTCGTCTTTTTGAAGTTGAATTGTTTAATATTTTTGCTTCTTTTTGAAGAATTTACTAAAATTTACTTTGAATTTGTTTCTTTCAAGTATTTATGGCGTTTTTTTCCTGACATGCAGATCATATGAAGCTGAAGTAGCAGTCCTTCGAGTCAATTCTGAAGAAATGCATCCAGCAGAGGGAGGTCATTGGCGTCACCACTTTCGAGCGCTACGTGGTTTGAATAAACGTCAGAAAGTAATTTGTCGTGTTAATTGTGAGATCTGTACTGCAAATACTGCTGTAAGTTCTCAATCAAAGCCAGATTCACATCCGGGTGAAATGGGTTGGTTGAGCTTCAAAGGGCGCTATCTTAGCGTAGGGGCTGCCATTATCGCATGCCGCAACGGGAGAGCACCAGATGGTTTAGTTGCTGATGCACATCTTGCAGATGGTTTTATGCACCTCATTCTGATCAAGGACTGCCCTAGGGCCTTTTATTTGGGGTAATGCTTCATCAATCTCTGAATCTGGTTTTTCTTTTGTCCAATGCTTACACATAATTTTTGGTGTTATCTTATTCTGAAAGCTTAAAGCGACAATCAGGATTAATTTAACAGGACACTTAAATCTTGTCTCAGCTGCGCAAATTATACAATCAATCCACCATAAATGAAAGGGTTTTATGAGTCCTTTCGGATTTGACCATTTCAATTCAAAATTCCCCTTGCTTAAGATTCATAGCCTCTCATGATCTTTTAATAGTGTCATAGTTGTGACTTTGTTGTGACCAACAGGCATCTTTTGCAGCTGGCAAAGAGAGATGGAGAACCCTTGAACTTCGAGTTTGTGGAACATCATAAGGTAGTTACTTTAATCATATGTTGTGTGTTCTTTTCCACTGGTTTAGAGTGTTTTTACCTTGTTGACACATTTTCTTCTTGATGAAACAGACCTCAGCCTTTACTTTTAGATCTTCTGGCAACAGCAGCATGTGGAACTTGGACGGTGAACTCTTTCAAGCGCACCAACTGTCAGCGCAAGTATTTCGAGGCCTAATCAACTTGTTTGCTTCTGGACCTCCGGTTTAGAAGTTAACCACGTGTTGTCATCCTCTCAAGAAACATTTTTCATTCCATAAGAGTTAGATATATACTCCACCGACTTCTGTGGCAGAAGGAAGGATATATCGGAACTAGATTATACATTCTGCAGAAATCACGAATTTGTATCTTGAGAATGCCTCCAACAGTTGATATCACACTGTCCTTTTCTATGAGCACTGTCAAAAGGATCTCTTTTTGTGAATTAGATCCATCTACTTGGTAAATTAACAGTGTTTTACGGTGCTTCCCTAAATGAGGAGCGGACCGACTTACAGTCATTGTATGTGTGCATAAACAAGGCGAAATTTCAGAAGGGATGTGTAAGCTATCAATAATGACCTTTCAGAAAGGGAAATTCCCTTTGCATTGGGAGAAAATAGCTCGTCTAGAAAATGAAGATTTCCTTGTTCCTTATATGAAAAACATCCCAGGTTCTTGAAGTGTTGAACTGTTGATAGACTTATCAACTCAACTATCTAAATCCCCTAACAATACCTTCAATTTGTAACCTGTACCGAACAATACCTTCAATTTGTAACCTGTACCGACAGCTGAATTTTGAAACATAATAAAAAAGTGCGATTTTCAGGTGCAAATCTCATGCCTGAAGGTACCGGACACCATTCTGGAGGCGTGAAGCATGCATCCTATTGCTATTGACAAACTTCAGCATCCTTCAAGTTACACCACGTCCGAACTTTTTCTTCAAATTCTACAAGAAAAGTGACTTACAAAACCATTGTCCTCATGCATCATATGTTATAATTGCAATTTCACTGTTTGTTTGCAGACTGCTGGCCCTTATATCACTGAAAATTGCTACTTTTTTGCTCCCGACATAGAAATTTGTGTCTTGCACAGAAGAAAGAGAGCCTCGAAATATCGAGAATATTCTCAATATTTGTTCTGTTTTTTTCCCTTTTTTAAGCTGGATACCTTTTGTAGAGAAGTAAGATATGGAAGCCACCATGTTATGGGACTTGTATATAATTTCATGGACACTTGGGGGGGAATGAATATCTCCATCTCTCACACAGTTGACAAATTTTTAAAATCAAAAGGCATTTAAGAGTAGAAACGAAGAATAATCTTTGATCTCTATTTTAGTTCTGACCAACCCAGGCGACATGCCCTCCACTAAGGTTCTTTAGTTCTTGCTTCTTGACAATTCGTTGTTAGGACTGGGAAAACTATTCTTAACCTCTCTGACTTAAGAGCTAAGCTCAACTTGCAATTCATTAAAACACGTTTCTGTATTTGCCCCTACTAATGCAAGCTACCGACTTTTCCTATATCATCACACTCAAGTTGACACTTTCACAAATCAAACTATCAACTTGTTCAAAATATAATATGATCTTTGCTCGACTCCATCTAATAAGAGAGATGGTCTAATCTGTCAAGTTCATTGCATTGTCAACTTCCATTAGAGCCTTAATAGCTCAATTCATTAATGTTTAAGAGGTGCACGATATTTGAAAGGCGTAGCAAAAACTCGAAACTTGATTATAAAATCCCAGTTTTGAAATCTCTCCTTGTAATTTGTAAGCATGTTGCAAGTTGTAGTAGTAAAACGCGATAAGGATGAAGATGCTGTGCATAACTCACAAATGGTGAGATTCTGTTAAGGACAACCAAACATAACATGTAATGACCCATAATATATCAGAAATTGTTTCTTATAACAATCATTACTCGAATTGTTGGAGTCACTCCTTGTCAATTTGAGCTTTGATATCGTATTGCTTGTAAAACAAGCAAACAAGAAACCGTTTAAATGGTGATAGATAAAAAAAAAAAAGAGTTTTCTATCACCAGATGAGGAAAATCATTGAAATAAATCAAGATAATTAGCAATTCACAAGGAAAAAGATACTGCTCATGAAAATGTTTCAGTAAATTTCTTAGAAAATAAAACACAGAATCTGGAAAGCTGGGATATGATGATTTTGCGTCCAAATTTGTTGAGGTCTCTGAATGACTTACGTCTCAAGCAACAGAACCAGGTGAAAGCCTCTGGTCTTGTGACTTGCCATTCATTAACGTATTCAATGGAGAAACAAAAAAGTTTTTAAGCCAGATGACTTTTGTATGTCTAGAAGTTCAACGGCAGACAAAGCATAAACTTCATGTCCTAGCTGTTGCTCAACGAGGACATACAACACCCCTTCTATTTGGAGATGCAAATGTGAAGTCTCTGCCCATTTTTGAAGAGAGAGAGAGAGAGAGAGAGAGAGAGAGAGAGAGAGAGAGAGAGAGAGAGAGCTAAAGTTTGATACTCGAAGCTGTTGAAGTACTTGTAAGTGGTCTGTCTTGCTTTAATTTGGCTCTGAATAAGGAGGCAGGGTTCCCCATGGAGATGAAAAAGCTGAGTGAACCAGAGGATCCATTGCCTCTGCAATCACCATTATCTGCAGTTGTTGCAGTAGCTATCAATGGGAAGAGAAAGAGTAAGTACGTAGTCAGGTGGGCACTGGAGAATTTTGTTCCTGAGGGAAAGCTGGTGTTCAAGTTGATACATGTACGCGCAGTTCTCTCATCTGTCCCTACTCCAAGTTGACGCTTTTATAGACCAATCTGATATTTTGTGAAAAATATTTATGGGTATAAACTGCTTCCTTAATCATAGTTTTGTTTCTGAATTCATGGATAAGAACAGCTTATATATACAAAAATTTAGAACATAAGAAATTAAAACTTTCAAGTATCATTCTGGAAAATCCATGTTATGTTGTCATGTCGTTAATGAAATAAAATGTAAGAGGCATTGTGAACAAAATGTTGCATAATATTCTATTCTTCGTCTTCTTCATCATCACGATCGTCCTGATTTCAGTGGGAGTCATGATTCCAATAACGGAAGTGAGAGAAGATGTAGCTGCTGCTTACAGGGAGGAAGTAGATTGGCAGACAAGTGAATTGCTCCATCGTCACAAGATAATGTGTGTCAGGAAAAAGGGGTGCCTTTTGGTTCAATTTATCTCCATGTTGTACATTCCTTTCCTGGATTCTCTAGCTTATTCTCTTTACAGCGTTTCATAAGGTAAAGAAGTGCTTACATTTGACTCGGACTTGCGTACAGGTGCTGGTGGATGTAGTTGTGCCTGAATCAGATGATGTGGCAAGTGCACTAGGACGAGAGGTTAATAAGAGCAATATCACCAAACTAGTCATCAGAGCTTCTACTCCCGGAATTTCTCAAGGTACTTCCTCTCCATGTAATTATTGGCTAAGTAGCACCGACACCTACATGCGACACACTACGGCAAGACACGACACGTCAACACGTCATTTCTCAAAAAATAGAGAATTTCAACACGTTGGAACACGTTGTATATTAAATATATATTTTTATATAGGGTTAATACCACAAAAAACTCCAAACTGGTACACCTGTGATAAATTTACCCAAAACTAATTTTTTGATCACCACCTGTGATAAATTTACCCTCTGTTTCCGTTAAATTTTATCGTCAAATTGCTGAGGTGGTTGACATGTGGCAGTTGACGAGTGTACTAGTTTGGGGTTTTATCCTCCGTTTGTCATATGTGTACTAGTATGTGATTTTTTGTGGTATTAATACAATTTAAAGGAAATTAACGTAGAGTAAATTTGTCGCAAATGTACCAGTTCGGGGTTTTTGGTGGTCAAAAAATTAGTTTAGGGTAAATTTGTTACATGTATACCAGTTTGAGATTTTTCGTGGTTAAAAAATTAGTTTATGGTAAATTTGTTACAATTGTACTAGTTTGAGGTTTTTCGTGGTATTAACCCATTTATATATACACGATAAATTATTATTTTTATGATTTTCAATCAAATTAATTTGATTCAAATCCATAAATAAATAATTAATAAAAAAAGCCTAGAATGAATTTACATTTTGACCCATAATTTATTGAAAATGTTTAAAATTGACCCAGTGCGTGTCGGAATGGCGAGTCAGGATGCTAGACTCGTGTGTCGTTGGCATGTACGGATCGTTGACCACGTGTCGGATGTCTGACACCTGTCGATCATGTGTCGGTCGCATGTCGGAGCATGCCGGACACGCTTCGACATCGACACAGAGGCCCCCGGAGAGTCTCCGTGCTTCCTAGATTATTGGTACAGTGTAGACATGAAGAAAATACTGCTTTCTTAATTCGGGATTATTTTTGCTGACTTCTTTTTGATATGGAGGAAATGTTATCTTTTGAGAAGATGGAAAAGCTATTATGTACATTGTGTCACAAATGTTAGGTTGTTGACATGTAGACAATTTTTTTTTTTGTCCGTCTTACTTTAACTCTCAACTCATTTTCAGACTTTTGCTTTATCTCTTGCAAGGCGTGAGAGTCGAAATACACGTCTAAAATTACGCGTCCCCACTCCTAACCCGCCCTGAGAAGGTGGGGATTCAAACTCTCCATCTCCCCTTCCCAAGTAGAAAGGGTAGCCATTGGGGCAAACTCCAGTGATTGACAAACTTGCTTTCATGGCTCTCTTTTCTTAGAAAATTTGATTGCTGAATTTGAACTTAGGAGTTTATAACAAGGTTTGACATCAAGGATAACACGACTCATAAAGTCCTTCACCCCCAACTCAAATATAACTAGCTTCATTTTGGTTTGAACCTCCATCATACATCTGCACTTTTTTCTGGAAGCATACTATTCTGATTATAGCAAGTGGGTTCTGTTTTGCTAGGCCTAACAATTGTCTTATCAATATACCTTGCTGTTTTATATTTGCTTCTCTGGCACGTCTTTAAGACGAATTATGGGTAGTCATGCAATGCAACTTCACATGGATATAATAGTTATGAAACGATAAAGCAAGATAAGAAAAAATAAAAGAAAAAAGAAAATTCTTAGAGAATGGAGCATTCCAGCCGTTAAGGTATTGCTTTCCCATTGGTATCTTCAATACTTACTTAATAAGGATGCTGATTTCAGGAAAACCGATACTCTATCATCAACAATCTCGGCACGCATTCCAAGCTTTTGCACGGTATATGCAATCTCAAAAGGGAAATTGTCATCTATCCAGCCATCAGATATGGACACTAAGGGAAACTCTAAAGATGACAACAGTGACACAAGCTCTACCAGCAGTTCATCCGGTTCTGGCTCACGGAGAGGTTAAATTTTTTTGTTACCTAAAGATGCCTCTGTTTGTGCTAAAGATCACTGACATGAGGATGTAGACAATAGGTGGATCATATTGAAAATGGAGATAAATTATGCCAATAGGCACTCTTGAAATTCAAAGCGGCTATGCAAGTCTACAAATTTAATGTCATCGATATCTTCCAAGTAATTTTCTCTCTCTAGGGATGTCTGATAACTCAATCATTTTCCAGTACATTGCTCTTACTTTAATATGCATGAATTTCTCTCTCCATGTGGGTGAGGGTGAGATGAAGAGAAACTGAAAAAGTACACGGCATTAAATTTCCTAAGGATAAAGTGAATGTTGGCAGAGACTGGCACATTACATCTCCTAATATTAGTATGAGAGTTACTTGGTCCTATTGCTTCATTATCTCACCTCTGATATCCTTTCCTACCGCACTATGCGTGCAGGCTCTCAGGCTCTTTCAGGTATAAGTCAAATGTTTGCAAGACCGAGCTCTGTCGACACGACCCACTTAAGGTGTCAGTCACTAGATAGTGAGGAAAGGAATGAGACCATTACTACACACTTTAGCAGCTCTAGTATTGGGAATATAGTAGGCCGTCAGTCTAGTATACAGAGCTTGACGGCAGACACCGAGTCCAGGAAATTCAATCAAGGATCCATCTCTGATGCATTATCAGGATACTCTACAAGTGAAAGTCAGGTAACTTACACCCTTCTCTGGAATTCTTGTCTTGTTGCATTTGAGGAGTATTTTTCCTGTAAAAGATGGTAAAGGTCGTATTTGGTAGAATTATGTTTGTTCTATCATCACGTGGCAATTTGTGATAGGGGGAAGAAGACTTATATAGTGCTAGTTCAAAATTATTATCTGTAAGTAAGAATTAGTTCTCCTGGTGATTAGATTTCTCTTTTGATACCAACTCCGTAAGCTTCACTTCAATTTCTGTGCAACAGTAGCATGAAATGTACTATGAGTGGGTGAAGTTGCTCCACGACTCTCTAACTCGAAGGAAATACTATGCTATGTGCAGGCAAATCTAAACTTTGAGCTGGAAAAGTTGAGAATCGAACTCAGTCATGTCCGTGGAATGTATGAAATCGCCCAGAGTGAAAAGGTTGATGCCTCTCAGACGGTAAGCTCAACTTCAATGAACACCACCCACCATTTTTAGTCATGATGAAGAGTATCCTGAAAAGTGACGAGTTCCTGTCATAGCCAAAGGATATCGGCCTGATCCTTACTGTCATTCTCTGTGCTGTGATCCTAATTTAGTTACAAAATATGGCGTCTGCTGTTATTCGTTTTTATTTTCTGTTACTATTTTATTGCTTTAATCAGCTTAACAATCTCAAGGAATGGAAATTGGAAGAAGAGAGAAAGTTAAAAGAGGGCAAGGTTCGCGAGGAGATGGCCAAAGAGTTAGCAAGGCAGGAGAAGGAGAAGTACGAAGCTGCGAAGAAAGAGCTTGAATTGATGAGGGGTTTTACCGAAAGAGAAGCCTTAAGAAGGAAAGCGGCAGAGACAAAAGCCGAGTGGGATGCAAGAGAGAGGGAAAAGATCGGTAATGCTCTAGTGGATCAAATGCTGCAGTACCAAACATTCACATGGGAAGAGATTGTTTCTGCCACATCGTCATTCTCTAAAAGACTAAGGATGGGAATGGGAGCATATGGAACAGTCTACAAGTGCAGTTTGCATCACACAAATGTTGCTATCTATGTTCTTCACTCGAACAATAGTCCAAACTAAGCAATTTGATCAGGAGGTACTAAAATTCTTTCCCAAACTTCTTATCTGAAAAGAAAATAAGAGATGCGGACTTAGAGTTGTTTTTGTTTCTTTCACTTGGTCTATTACTCTTTGTTGAAAAGTACACGCGGAAAAAGATCTCTGGACTTCGGATTGAGTGAATATAAATGTGTGGCTTCTTGCCCTTGGATATGTCAGTCCTGTATGTTAATTCATTGAGACAACGTTTCAAGATTAATTCTCAGCCAGATATGTATGTTTATCTCCATTAATTAATGCAGACCTTCTATATGTGTCCGATTGATCTGTCTCTGGTCTTACCATCTAATCCATCAAAACTTCCGATAACAAGGTTGTCTTTTCAATTTTCCTTGCTTGCCTGTGGAATGATGGGCCTACATGTTTGACACCTTCGACTGGATGATATTTGCCTCTTTGATCTTGTTTCGCAGCTTGAGATATTAAGCAAAATTGGTCATCCACATTTGCTCCTCTTAATCGATGCATGTCCTGATCATGGTTGCCTTATCTACGAGTACATGGAAAATGGAAGTCTAGAGGACAGGCTGCTCCGGAAGAACAGCACGCCTCCCATCCCATGGTTCGACAGGTTTCGCATTGCCTGGGAAGTGGCCAGCGCTCTTGTTTTCCTTCACAATGTGAAGCCTAAACCAATCATCCACCGCGATCTCAAGCCAGCGAAAGTATTGCTGGATAATAACCTAGTGAGCAAGATTGGTGATGTTGGACTCTCGACTAGGCTTCACGCTGATCCATCTTTATCAACCATTTTCAAGAACACAGGGCCCGTCGGAACACCATGTTACATAGACCCTGAGTATCAAAGGACAGGATCGGTTTCTCCTAAATCTGACGTGTATGCTTTTGGGATAGTCATTCTGCAGCTTCTGACTTCAAAGCCGGCAATTGCACTCACTCATATGGTGGAAAGAGCAATTAGTGAAGGATCTCTAATGGAGGTCCTAGATGCAGATGCCGGGGATTGGCCACTCGAAGAGACAGAGAAACTGGCTTCATTAGCGATAAGCTGTGCCGAACTTCGGAGAAAGGACCGGCCTAACTTGAGAGATCAAGTTCTTCCTGTCCTAGAGAAACTGAAAGAAGTTGTTGACCGCCAGGGGTGAGCAAGATGGACCGCTCAAACCGGGACCGGACCGGACCGACTGGTTTGGTCCGGTTCTCGAGAATATCGGTCCGGTTCCCGGTTTCTAAAAGTGGAACCGGTTTCCGAGCGGTCTAGTTCGCGGTTCTAGGGTGGGAACCGGACCGGACCGATAAATATATATTTCTAATTTTTTCATATATATATATGAAAAATATTTAATATTGATCCCATTGGAACCGATTGTTCAATTTTTCCGTATATTATATATTTTTTCAATTTTTTTTATGGCCTTAAGGGATCAAATCAGAACTACAAAGGAAAAAATGGAACAATCGGTTCCCGGTTCACAAATAATATTTAATATTGGTCCCATTGGAACCGGACTGGACTGGACCAATGGTTCGATTCGGTCCACAGTCCCAAGACTAGCCGGTCCGGTCTCCGGTTTTAGAAACTAGGAACCGGTCCTCCTGATCCGGTGGTTGGACTGGACCAAAGCGGGAACCATACACCCCTACTGACCGCGTCAAAGACGAAACAAACTGGGTTAAACTTGCGCCTCCTAGCCATTTCATTTGCCCAATCAGCCAGGTACTGATACTCCTATTTTATTCATTTAATGTAAGCATGTTTCCTAAAATCTCCTTTAAGAGTTGAAAATGCTCTCTCTTATTTGCCTTCTCATTCTCTTCCCTTTCTTCAGGATGTGATGAATGACCCTTACGTCGCTGCGGATGGATACACTTATGACCGCTCAGCGATCGAGAAGTGGCTTAAAGGCAACGACAAATCCCCAATGACGAACTTGCCGCTTCCGAATAAGCATCTCATTCCAGACTACACTCTTCTCTCCACAATTAAGGAGTGGAGATCCCTAAACTATTGAGATGTACATCTTCACTCGATGTGCACATGGATGCTCTTTCCAAAACGAACTCATAAGTTGTGGGAGTGTCCATAATTCCAATTGCTGCACTACTTATTTGTCTTGGTTTCGGTCTGTTTCTTTCTTTCCTTGTCATTTCATTTGCATCCCCTACAATTTCAACTCTCGCGAAGCCGAGAGGTCTACGCATAACGTATAGAATCATAAAGACCAGAAAACTCATGCCTTTAGCGCACTCAAAAAGCGAGAAGAAGAAGAATGACGTCGAATGATTGACTGCAAGAGAACATCGCAAGGTCCAACAATTCAAGAGATGGCAAACTCAGCACATTGTAGGATGAATTAAACACATGATTAAATTTGGTCAAACCACCTCAAATTATTGCCTTTACTCATTGTAATACATTAACTCGCTAAGCATTTAAAAAAAAATGTCCTGCTGAAAACACAAGTCTCTGTAATATAAATGCTTGGTGATTAGTTCTGTTAGTGGCATATTTAATAAGATAATAGAGCTTTCTCCTCCCAACCACCGAAAATTTGCCTTCTAGTTGAAGCAAATAGAAAAAGGCTGAAAAAGCCAATAACAAAAGGAAATAAATATCAATATCAGAGTCACCCGAATTGCGGTGGCACGAGGGAACCGAGACCAGAACAGTCAATCATTCATGCATCACTGCACATGCCTTTGGGATCTGTCTTCCTTAATTCTGCTCGCATTGCGTTGCATTGCATAAGATAATCTCTCTCCATCCCGAGCCAAACTCATCTTTCATTCATGCCCTGTTAGACACGTTCCCTAAAATCTAGTGTTCCGCCACCCCACCCAAACCTCAGCTCTTTCTTCTTCTTCTTCTTCTTCTTCTTGTCTTGCTTACATAGCCTCTGTAAATCTTGCTACAGCATTATAACTACAAATTCAACTCTCTCGCCCAGTTTTCCATCCCTGCTTTAGCAAGGTCTGCTTTCTTCAGAGTGGAACACCCGCCCACGAATCTTGAAACTCTTTACTGACCATCAGTCAGATCAAAAGCTGCATCTTTGCACACTTCTTCTGTCATGAGAAACACCCACATGCTCAAACTCATTTTTGGACTAGCTACAGCTGCGGCTGCATTAGCTCTGTTCCTCTTCTTTTACTTCTACCGAAATGTATCAAGAACAGATGGTCAAGGAGCAGACTTGGAGAAATCAAACAGACCGTACGAAGATCAGACGGAGGTGGAGGACCTGATGACGTTCCGAGGAGGCGAGGATCTCACGATTGGTGAAATCTTGGATGCTCCAGGAGAAGTCATAGGGAAGTCCAGTTATGGGACACTGTACCGGGCTGTGTTTCATCAGAGCAACTCACTGAAATTGCTGAGGTTCTTGAGACCGGTTTGTGTCATAAGAAGTGAAGAATCTGCCGAGGTGATTGAGACTTTGGGAAGTGTTAGGCACCCAAATTTGGTTCCTTTACTGGGGTCTTATTCTGGGCCAAGAGGAGAGAAATTGCTGGTTTATCCATTTTATAGGAAGTGGAATCTGGCAGAGTTCATCCGAGGTATTCCACTATCTTCATTTCTTATTAGTGATTCTTGATTCTTTATTTGCGCTTCGTTCAGTATTTCTGTTTTTTACGGAATTCGGGAAGATGACAAAGGGCCAGATTCAAGAGTTTCTGAGTTATACCTATGTCTCTTCTGATCGAAACGGAGATTTTTGGTGGGGACGAAAATGGCAGTGATCTAATAATTTCCCCCTCAATTGGCTTTTGCCAGCCATCGCAATGTTTTTAGTTTACCGTGTACTTTTGAGAAAGTGATAAATTTTCCAACTAGATTGATGCCTTCCTCTCCTCAGCATTAAAACCAAAATTTCGTACATTTTTCAGAATAATTGATTCTGTGAACTGAGTTATTTTCTATTTCCATGCTTTCTTGTCAGTGTTCTTTTTCAGTCACAAAAGAATTGAACACAGCATGCTGTTTTATTTTGGTCCTCGGACCTGCTTTGGTTGGATTAATCAACCTTATTGATTTATAGTGTAGTATCAAGAGATCATGATCTTACTAAACACAGAATTGTCCTAATGGGCAGATGGAAACAAAAATTCTCACAGATGGGCCACCATCTACAAGATCTCAATGGGCATAGCCGAAGGATTGGATCATCTTCACACGGGACTAATGAAGCCTATAATCCACGGGAATCTAAAATTGAAGAACATTTTCTTGGACCACAATCACCAGCCGTCCCTCTCGGATTTCGGCTTGCATTTGCTGTTTAACCCAGTGGCTGGTCAAGAAATGCTCGAAGCATCGGCAGCTGAGGGCTACAAAGCTCCTGAGCTCATCAAAATGAAAGAAGCAAGTGCAGATTCCGATATATACAGTCTTGGCGTGATCTTGCTCGAAATGCTTACTGGGAAGGGACCAATCAATGGCAAAGCATCTTCTGATGAGGAGACTTATCTACCAAACTACATCAGAAGTGCAGTACTTGGTCGTAGAGTCTCAGAGTTATATCATCCTGATATTCTTTTGAGCAATGGAGGTGGTAGTGATGATGTTTCAGCTTCAGAACAGCGCGTGCTCAAGTTGTTTCAACTTGCAATGACTTGTTGTTCTCCATCTCCTTCCCTCAGACCAACCGCAAAGCAAGTCCGATGGAAGCTTGAGGAAATCGAGAAATGAGGACTGGATTAGAGTTCATCAGACAGAGATTGAATCTGCTAAGTAATAGAAGTATAGGTCTAGGTATACTCTGACGGTTAAATTAATAGCTGAGACTGTGTCATTTGGTGAGGCCCTGTGACAGTGACAATGAGAGTGACAGTGACACTATGATGTTTCCATATCAATGGAGTTTCTTTTACTAGCAAAACCTTTGAACGTTTCAGCTACCCAACAAACAATAGCAGATGCAGTGACATTGACTTCCAGGACGGTTTTGTTTGTGGGCATTACTAATTCCCTGAAGAAACAGGTGGATGCGTCAGCCATTCAAAAGGATTGGAGAATTGTTGATTTGGGTTTTGTCCCGTTTCAAGATTCTTGATTGTTACCACAATTATCAGCTACAACAAATTGTGGATTCTGGTGGTCCCATCTTGATTGTGGAGGCTACTAAATCCTGAATTTGGAGCTATGTCATTGGGATTGATAATTGATATGGGTGTCCAGATCTTTTGTTCATTTCTTGAGTAAAGAATGTCAGGTACCAATGGAAGCTGAAGTGCTCACTGGGTATCACATTTTTTATTTTTGCTTTAAAGATAATCCCCGTTCGTAGTGATTAAAGAATATCTGGCACCAATGAAATGTAAAGTGCTCACTCAACGTTGGCATATTTTAGTATCCTGGTTCCATTATTGGTGATTAAATTTCATTCTTAAGCCATTAAGAAAGGTTTATGTCAGGGCATGCACGCGTTAGTTGAGATAATGGATTTGTCCTCTTCGATAAAGCTATATCAATCCAGCGAAATGATATTGGATTTTGTGAATCTGAAGAGGTATCGATACTAGAGAATTCACTAACAAATGAAATGAATTGAATCCTCTCTCATTCTCTCTCATGTACGCACAAACATCATTCCTTGTTCTTACAATTCGAGTTCTTTAGCTGTCATGGGTTGGTGGTGGGTGGTAATCACCCCTTGGTTGTTGGTGGTGGATCAATTGAGAGAATATATGTGGAGTCGAGGGAAAAGAATTATCCAAAATGTCATTATAACCCCATCTGCAGACAAAGAAATGTCACTTTTTCGATAATGGCACTCTCTTTTCCACTTTTATTTCTCTGACCAAAAAGGAAAAGAAGAATATGTATAAAAGAAAAAATCTTCCAAACGATGGACCTCCCTGGACCAGCGGAGAGTGACTCTTTAGAGACGGGCCAGGACATGCGGCACCCATTATTGAAAAAGAGGACCAGCACTAAGGTAATGTTCCACGCTTTAGCAAAATTGGCCCTGGAGCTTTTTGCTGCTTTGGGACCTCCTCTGCTTTTTTGGTTGTTCACCTTTCAAGGCATGGTTTAGTCGGCAGTTGCTTTTGAATTTTGAGCTATCCCTCTCTATAGCTCGTGGTTCATTCGTTCACTTGACCAAATATTTAGAGAAAACCAGTGATTTGAATGGCGAGATTGATAGATGAAGCGCCATTTAGGAGCATTGTGTCTTCTGGTACAAGTGGTTTTCCACCCAGTACTCAGTAGCACAGGGGCACCGCCAATTTCACCAGGGCAAAGAATCCCATGTTATCAGTGTCCGTCATTTCTCTGTGTCTCACCTTTAAAGAGAAGATATCAATTGATGGAAGGACATTTAGACAAGCACTCGCCATTGGACAGTAAAAGCTAAGCAGTTTAGTACAGGAGAATTGAGCTGGTGTTTACACTAAGCTCGACAAATAAATCTTATCAAAGTAAACTGAAACATGATGTGTCCATATCATCTTATTGACTGTGGTGAAGTTGCTCGTTTATAGACAAGAAATAAAGAAATACTGAAGACATCCATCGAAGTCTAATAGGTCTTTCCTAAGGGAAATTTGACTAAGAACAAACTGCCCCTCCAATAACGCAATGATTTCTCTTACATTTGTGCCACCATCTAATTTTCTTTAGATGGCTTGGAAATTTCTCAACCCCATCTCTTGGAGATCACTTTTTCTCTGAATCAGTTGTGCTCTTTAACGAGGTGAACATGAAGTTCCCAGAGAACATTGCCTCTTTGTCTGCCAGAAAATGATATAAATTAAGCTCTGTACTCGGGCGATCAAATGAAATCATATTTAGCACCAGCTATTCTAGATAGTCAAGTCAAAGTGGGAAAAAATCGTCATGCACATAACAGCAAAGAGCATGAAAAAGGTTTAGCATATAGCAGCTTCTGCTTCTGCTTCTGCATGTCAAGACATACTCCCACAGATATGTGACCTAGGGGACTTGAAGGTTTTCGAAAGATCAAAGGAGCTGAACACTAACTTTCACGAGGACAGCTTGTTGGAAGTCCTGTTTTTACTATCATACTCCCACAGATATGTAACCTAGAGGACTTGAAGGTTTTTGAAAGATCAAAGGAGTCGAACACTAACTTTCACGAGGACAGCTTGTTGGAAGTCCTGTTTTTACTATCAACAACAATACAAGGGAAGACGGGAACAACCCATGCATGCACAAAAGAAAAACAAAAATGTAAACATACCTGTCAAGGAGAGGCAATAGGATTCCCGACAAGCATACCTAGCCATTGCCTACAGAATACCCAAAGTCAGATACAAGTTGTGGCAAGGACTTCATTGCAGGGAAGATATCTTAAAAGATCTGACAAATATTTCGAAGGCTGGAATATCATCCATTACAGAAGATATTGCGTTGCCAATTAGAGACAAACTGTATCAACTCACGATTGCCATATTAAGCCCATTCAAGTTGGTGAAAACGAAATATATATCTACTTTTTGGAGAAAAGGGGCACTACTAATGAGCAGTGCAGTTTTCTTCGCTTCTAAAATTATCTTTTAACATGTGGAAAGCACTTTAAAGTACATGCCTGAACAGCACCTAGCACTGCAGTATCGTTTGGCGTTGGCGAGCCATCGTCAGAGAAAACATTCCTGCAGATCAAATATAATATTAAGAAGAGCAATAGAGAATTCAAAATCAGTTACATCTCTCTTACATGAAATAGGGAATCTAACCCTGATCCTAACTGTCAAAATGTCTGTCCAGGTTTGCCATGAACATCAATGAAATATTTGTGTAGATCTCTTTAGTCGAGACTTGAGAATGTACATTTTTCATGTGACGTTTCGCAAACATGTCCCATGACAACACCTCATAAGCTCTTGTTGGATAAGAAAGATGCACTACCTCCAAATTACGTTTGTCATCTCGTCGCGTTTAGCCTCTGGAAGCATGGCAGAATCATAAGCAACAATATTTCCATAAAATATTTTCTCCAGGTCCTTCATCCACCTGGTCAACAATAAGTTAACCTGCCAAGGATAAAAGGATTATGAAAACCCCTTCGCAAGACAGGTAGCACGTGCACTTCATTGATATCTCGAGAAATATCTAGTCACGGTACATAGTCTGCTTCAATTATAAGAATAGAAAAACAAAAGGCCAACAAGCCTTAGGCGACTAAAGGAGACCTAGTCACATACCCCAGCTTTAGATACTCGCAACTCCACATCATGATTGTAAATCTCATACAAGTATTGCCCAAATTCAACACCTTCTTTTCCTTCTTCTTTCAATCGACGTAAGCAAAGCCACATATGGAGTACGAGCAAAGAGAACGTAGTCTTAAAGGTCTGCTCCAAATTAAACACTGCATGGACAGCAGTCACCCTCAGACCACTTTACGCAATAATTGTTCAGTATAAAAAATTGAGTCATTAATAAAGTCTTACTTACATTCACGATGTTTTGCTCAAGCAGATTATCTGCCTTTGGATGCCACACACATATAGAATGCCTTCGTACTAAAGTCTGTCGCTCCTATGATTCTATCAAGCCATTAACAATTGACAGCTCTGGTCTAGAGGAATCACTATCTACTTAACAAATTAGGCGACTGTAGCTTCAAAAGAAAAAGCAAGTTCCGTGGTCAAAGCATCAGTTGCAACTTAAAAGGTGTTACTTTTCAAGAGCTTGAATGGACATTCAATTCCTCGCTAATTCATCATCGAAGTGAAAGGTCAGGAGAGGAGATTCGCAAGAGATGGCTGTGTCTTTTTTATTCTTGGTTTCTTCACATGCAGGAGCGGCTAGTAGAACTACATTGCAATCTCCGCATCCTGCTTTTAAGAGTTCTTTCACTTAACAACAAGGATTCGCCCAATCTTAGGTTATTAAGTCATGGTCCCAACAATATATAAGGTACTAACTCCACCATTCGCGACATTGGATTGCTTGAAAAGTGGAATGAAGAATCCTTATTCTGAAAATTGAATCTTAAACTTCAATATTAATCAACAGTTTCATGAACTACACTTTTTACCTAGCTAGCAAAGTAAAGATAGAGCTACCTTCATAAATGGCAGGCTTGTTGACTTGATGAAGGATTCGCCGGTACACAACATTTGCACCTCTGATAGATCTGCTTTGTTTGCTGTAAAAGAGCATCAGTTTGAGGATCACGTGGCGGATGCCTTCAACCTTTGGTTCTTCAATTCTTAATGGGGAATCTGGGGCCAAAGCCAGTGAACATGGCTTGGACCAAAACATTCTCTCCAGGCTTACCTGAAGGAACAATCCCGGTCAATTTCCATGACAAGGTACTGCAAGGGTGGATGCTATAACATGACACTGGAGAGTAGCAGGCAAGAATAAAGATTTTGATGAATTTCTTTCGGACAATCGCTACGCTTATTGGTACCAATATACCTACAACCATAATGAATTCAAAGCAGGAAAAAGCAGCATCGACGGAGCTCTTCAACACCTTGCCGGTATCTAAAACGCAATGACACCCCTCATTCGTATACAAGCTAGATGTGCTTTGGTACATACCGCTGGCCTGCCAGAGAAGTCATTCCCGGCATAATCAGGCGCAATGGGTGCTGAAGCTGCAGCCTTGGCATAGCTCCGATGAGAGAACACGGAAAGTTGATCTCCGACCTCCACATTCCTTATTGGCCTGACCCTTGATAGATGGCTAAGTGCTCTGCTCCATCTTGGAAACATCCTGACTCGCCTAATACAAAACAAACCGAATGTCGAGTGAATTACAGGAGCACGGACGCAACATAAAAAGTTTCTGGGGGCAAACCTAACCTAAAATCAAAACGCAAAATGCAATCTTTAAATCCTAACGAATTGTTCCACATAAGCTAACGATTGGACCGAAATCTAAGTCCAGTGAAGTCTTCAAAGAGCCAAAGCGGCGCGAATGTTTACCGCTACACAAACTGAACAGTGATCAGGAGTTGGGGTTAAAGGAGAAGAGCGTAGAAGAGAATGAGCAGACCGTTTCTTGATCCCGCGATGTTTTTCTGACACTGGTAGAAATCCTAAAACCCTAGACAAGGAGAGCGCGCACAGAGAGAGAGAGAGAGAGAGAGAGACAGGGCCACGTGGAGTCAGTTGGGGCCGTGAAGAACAAAATTCAGTTAGTTTTGTTTCGACCAATAGAAAATTGACATCATCTTCCGGGCCGCGGCCTAAACGCACGAACGCGAATGTTCCTCCGTGCCGCGCCACCGAATGACCGACCACCGAGACCTCGCCTCTGTTCCGCTTCTTCTTCCTGCCTCTTCTTCGTAAGTATCGCTAACCGTTGGTTTCCCTGTCGAATTCGAGACGCTGCCGATTGTCGAGCATCCTTGAGGCAGCTGATGAGCCGCAACAACCTCCCGATCGAGGTCTCTCCGTGGCCGTCGTGACCTTTTGGATCTGAGGCCGCAGCGGCCATGGCAACCTCAACCTCGGGTCTCCATTGATGTCCAAAGAGAGAGCGAGACAGAGGAATGGGCTTGTACGTACCTGGAGGAGGGGCTGCGCGTCGGGTCGGTGGTGAGCGGCAAGTCGGCGGCGTCTCAACAGACGACCGGTGGCATTGGTGACTGCGGCGGCGGCGGCGGCTTTCCCGGATTGGGTTTGAGGAGGGTGTTTTTCAGGCAAGAGAGGGTATTTTGGTCATTACAGCGGGTCGAAGATGCAAAAAGTTGCAATTTTGGAATTAGGGGAGCGTAAGTGATAAAGAGTCAAAATGTGGGAAAGGTAATTGGGAAATGTAAAACCGATTTTTGAACATATAATGTGATTTCATGAAGTAAATAGGCTATCATGAGTCATTTAGGTGCACTTCCAATGAAACTCAAAACTTCGTATATTTATGTTGTTTGGGTTTGTGATGCATGGGGTGAATTTGTTGCGGCACACACCGTGGATGAAAATATCAAGGAAGTTTTGGGAAAAAAGAAATTGATATTGAATTAATAAGTGACCTCTAGGGACTCTGTTGTGAATTGATGCGGAAAAACTAATACAGAACACAGGGATTTACGTGGTTCGATCACAAGGTGATCTACGTCCACGGGCGAGGCAAGACAAGATTCTACTATAATCAAAGAGAGTACAGTTTTCAGAAGTCGAAACAACGACAAAAGCTCACGGCTCACGAAACTCTCCGAAAACAAAATTCTCTCCGTACATCAATGAGAAAATCTAGCCGCGGTATAAATAGTGCTCCCCAAAAAAGTTGGGCCTATCGGCCCAACCCTCCGCGTCGCGAACCAAATCTCAATTTTTTCTCCACTTTCGCGTCGCACAAAAATATGTCGGGTCGGGTGATAAACCGGACCGAGTACATAAAATTCAAGACATATTTAACAAATCTCCACCTTGGCTTGAATTTCCCAAAATAAAACAATCAAGAAGCCGAACACATTCTCTCGGCATCCCTAAGCCTACGTGAGCTAACTCGGTGTAGGAAACAAGGGCTGCAACGAAAGAACATATCCACTTCAAAAACAAATGTAGAATTGTCATTTACCTCACCACCAAAGCCCCACAAGGGGCAAACTCAACCAAGCATGCCAATCAAGTTCAAGCAATGCTTAAACTTGTTGGCGGGGACTGGCTTGGTCAACATATCAGCAGGATTGTCAGCTGTACCAATTTTCTTTACCGTCATATTTCTCTCAGCAACTGCCTCTCGAATAAAGTGATACCTGACATCGATGTGCTTAGTCCTCTCATGATATGCTTGATTTCTAATTAAGTATATAGCACTCTGATTGTCACAAAAGACAACCGAATTGTCTTCCTGCTAGAGCCCAAGTTCGTGAACAAGATTCCTTAACCAAATACCTTCTTTCACTGCTTCTGCTGCTGCCATATACTCTGCCTCTGTAGTAGACAAAGCAACTGTCGACTGTAAGGTTGACCTCCAACTAATAGCCGAACTAAATAGTGTGAAAAGATAACCAGTTAAAGATCTCCTCTTATCGAGATCACCTGCATAATCGGAATCCACAAATCCCACGATTGAGGTACCGTTGGAACTGTTTCTATCAAACACTAGGCCCAACTCTACGGAGCCTCTAAGATACCTAAGTATCCATTTCACTGCCTGCCAATGGACCTTTCTAGGATGCGCCATATATCTACTAACCACACTAACTGCCTGCGCAATGTCTGGACGAGTGCATATCATAGCATACATAATGCTACCAACTGCACTGGAGTATGGGACACGAGACATCGCAGCCTCCTCGACCTCTGATTGAGGTGAATGTAGAGCTGAGAGTCTAAAATGGGATGCCAACGGTGTACTCACGGGCTTAGCGTTTTGCATGCCAAACCTCTCAAGTACCTTCTCAATATAACTCATCTGCGAGAGATATAACTTCCCTCCTTTCCTGTCCCTCTGAATCTCCATTCATAAGATCTTCTTGGCAGGACCCAGATCTTTCATCTCGAACTCCTCACTGAGCCGTTTCTTCAAGATCAACACATCTGACATGTTCTTTGCAGCAATGAGCATGTCATCCACGTATAAGAGAAGATAGACAAAGGATCCATCTGAACCCTTCCTGAAGTAGACACAACTATCATAGTTGCTCCTATAATAACCGCTCCCTATCATAAAGCTGTCGAATCTCTTATACCACTTTGTCTTGGTGACTGCTTGGACCATACAAGGATTTCTTCAATTTACAAACATGATCTTCCTTGCCTTCTACATAATAGCCCAATTTGGGCCATATAAATAGTTTCCTCAAGCTCGCCATGCAGAAAAGCAGTCTTCACGTCAAGTTGCTCAAGCTCTAAGTCAAATTGAGCAACTATAGCCAACAACACACGAATGGAAGTGTGTTTTACCACAGGGGAGAACACTTCATCATAATCAATTCTCTCCTTTTGATTGTAGCCTTTAGCTACGAGCCGAGCCTTGCATCTAGCATTTTCAACACCTGGAATTCCTTCCTTTTTCTTGAAAACTCATTTACACCCGATGGCTCTTTTTCCATTAGGCAACTGTACCAAGTCCCAAGTCTGGTTCTTGTGAAGTGATTCAAGTTCCTCAACCATAGCAATAGCCCATTTCTCTGATTCTGTGCAAGTAACAGCTTCCGTATAGGTAGAAGGTTCCTGAATACCCATATCTTCTGCTGTCGTAAGAGCATAAGCCACCAGATCAGAGAACCCATATTTCTGAGGAGGCCGGGTCTGCCTCCTTTCTCTGCCAGTAGCAATAGAGTATGGCTGCTCCACCTCATCTATAGCTTTCTTATTTGAACTTGAATCAACAGGAACATTTTGCTCGTTCAAAACATTCTGAGAGGTCTTTTTTGGAAGCTCCACCTGAACCTCCACCTCATTCATATCACTCTCATGTTTTCCTGCAAACTCATCAACAACTTTCCTTTGATCAAGCATATGCATTTCATTAAATGTAACATCCCTACTAATAATGAACTTAGGTGAGTTAGGTTCCTGGCACCATAAACGATAACCTTTCACCCCATCAGCATACCCAACAAAAATACATTTCTTTGCTCTAGGTTCTAACTTACCATCCTTAACATGATAATAAACAGGGCATCCAAAAACCTTTAGATTGGAATAATCACAAGGCTTACCTGACCACATCTCAAAAGGAGTTTTGCATTCTATTGCTGTTGAAGGAGAACAATTAACCAGATAACAAGCCGTGTTAACAGCTTCAGCCCAAAAATCCTTTTCCATGCCAGCATTAGAGAGCATGCATCTTGCTCTCTCCAATAGAGTTCTGTTCATATGTTCGCCACTCTATTCTGGCGTGGAGTGTGCCTAAGCGTACGGTGTCGAACAATACACTGCATCCGCACGGAATTCATTAAAATCGCCACCACATAACTCAAGACCGTTATCGGTCCTAAGACGTTTGATCTTCTTCCCTATCTGATTCTCAACAAGGGCTTTCCACTTCTTGAAGGTTTCAAACACATCACTTTTTCTTTTCAGAAAGTAAACCCAAACCTTCCTGGAATAATCGTCAATGAACGTCACAAAGTAAAGAGCACCACCCTTAGATGGAACCTGTGCTGGTCCCCATAAATCGGAATGGATATAGTCGAGTGTGCTCTTTGTCGAATGCATCCCCGTACTGAATCTGACTCTGCATTGCTTGCCAAGAATACAATGTTCACAGAAATCTAGCGAGGTCGTCTGCTCCTCACAAAGTAAACCACGTTTACTCAAAACTGTCATGCCACGCTCACTCATGTGGCCCAAACACATTTGCCACAATTTCGTTCTATCATTATCAGAAACAGAATTGCTTATGCCAAGGTTCTTACTGCAAATGATATAAGTGATTCACCTTGCTTCCTTTCATCACAACCAGATTGCCTTTTGTAACTTTGAGAACTCTACCTCCACCTGAATACACACACCCAATGGAATCCAAACTGCTCAACGAGATAAGGTTTCTCTTTAAGTCTGGTATATGTCTTACTTCAGTCAAGGTTCTTACTGCTTTGTCGTGGCACTTAATCCGAACAGTACTAATACCCACGACTTTGCATACAGCATCATTCCCCATCAAGACTGATCCACCATTCAATGGCTCGTATGTTGTGAACCATTCTCTGTTTGGGCACATGTGATATGATGCTCCCGAATCCATTATCCAAACATCATTGGACAAATTAACAGCAGAGCATGCCGTAAGAACACTATCTGACGCATTAGCCTCATTTTCGTTTGCAACATTCGCCGAATCTTGTTTTTGACTATGCTGCTTATCCTTTTTCTTGAGCGAAGGACAATCTGACTTGTAATGTCCCTTTTTATGACAATAGTAGCACTCAACGTTCATCTTATCTTCAGGTGGCTTAGATTTTGAACGACCAACAGATTTCCCTCGGAAAGCTTTATCCCTACTCTTGGTCCTGCCTCTCACAAACAAACCATCTGCTTTGTTTTCATTGGTATTCCCATTCAATTTTGTTCTCAGTTCTGTAGAATTCAAAGATGCTTTGACATCCTCCAAAGTTATGGATTCACGTCCATAAAGCATCGAGTTCACAAAATTCTCGTATGAGGCGGGCAGTGAACATAACACAATCAAAGCTTGATCTTCATCCTCGAGTTTAATATCTAGATTTTTCATATCCAGAACAATTTTATTAAACTCATCCAAGTGTTCCTGAACAGACGTACCTTCGCGCATCTTTAGGGTATAAAGACGCTGCTTCAAATAAAGTCTCGATGTTAGAGATTTCTTCATGTAGAGACTTTCCAGTTTCTTCCGAGAGACCGGCCGCTGTTTCCTCATCGGCGACTTCTCGCAAAACCTTGTCATCTAGAGACAGCTGGATCGCGCTATGCGCCTTCTCGTCCATCTCTTCAATCTCAGCCGAGGTCATATCGTCTAGATATTTTCCATCCAGCGCCCTAACCGTACCCTCTCGCCTCAATAAAGCCTTCATCTTTATTCTCCATAAACCGAAGTTGTTCTGTCCGTCAAAAGATGAGATCTGAAACTTCAAAGATGCCATCTCAAAGAACCCTATAATCGAACGCTGCTCTGATACCAGTTGTTGTAAATTGATGCGGAAAAACTAATACAGAACACAGGGATTTACGTGGTTCGATCACAAGGTGATCTACGTCCACGGGCGAGGCAAGACAAGATTCTACTATAATCAAAGAGAGTACAGTTTTCAGAAGT